TCTTTTTAAATATTATAATATCTCTTTTAATCTTATCTTTCTAATTATATTTACTTTCTAATATTAAATTACCTTTATTTCTAAGTTAGTTTAACTCCTTTTTTCTTTAATAATTCTCTAGCTTTCTTTAGTTTACTTTAATAAATTCTTTAGTAATAATAAGTCTCTTTTAAAATACTACTTTAGCTTTAAAGACCTAGATTCTTTCTTAGATAAATTAGGTAGTTTCTATAATTACTTTAAGAGGATTAATTAGATTTTCCTAGGTCTAGGATTCTATTCGTTTAGTTCTAATAGTTATAAAAGTAGTTCCTATTTTATTTCCTAATTAAGGCTAATTCTTAGAGAGTTTAGTATTTCCCTAGGATTACCGATAGGTTAAGAGAGCTATTATATCTTAGGTAGTTAAAAAAGAAGAATTAGAATTATTAAGATATATATTATATAGGTATATAGCCTATTAACTAGGTAAGATATAAAGGGCTTTTTAGAGGGAATATAATATATTAATAATATACTAAGACTAATTCTTATTAGTCTTAGAGGGGCCCCTAGGGGGTCCTAAACTATAAGGAAATCTATCTACCTATATTCATATAACAAATCCCTTACAGATCGATATCAAAATAGATATATAATAATATAGATATTCCTTCCTAAGCCTATATAGGTTTTCATATATTTCCCTCTTATATAGACCTTTATCTATTATAATCTATTAAAGGAATATAATTATATCTTAAATAATAGCTATTATAAGTATATTTCTTTATATAAATACCTATAAAGAATATAGCTATAGAGGCTAAATTTATACCTCTTAAATCCCCTACTACTAAAAACCCTATATAAGAAGCTATTCCTAAACGTTTTCTATATTATAGAAAAATATTAATATCCTATAGAACATAGTCTTTATAAAAACGTATACATTTTAATAGAGAATTAGTATAGGATCGAAAGCGAATTCTAGAAGTCTGTATAATAACTCCCTATAGAGAAGATAACGTATACCTATATATTATTAGTCTTAAAGAAATATAATACTTATATAGCCACCCTTTTAAAAGAAGTATAAAATACAGAATATATACCTTATCGGTTACCTCCTCTTTAAATTATTATATACTACCTTATTTTCTTTAATATATCTACTACTTTACTTTCTTTATTATAGAAACTCCCTGATATCTTCCTGATTCTTTATCCTTTTATCCTTTAACGTTTCTATTTATATATAGATAAGGATATCCGTATAGGGAAGGGAAGATAATTATAATAGATAAAGGTCTATATAAGAGGGAAATATATAAAAACCTATATAGGCTTAGGAAGGAATATCTATATTATTATATATCTATTTCGATATCGATCTGTAAGGGGTTCGTTATATGAATATAGGTAGATAGATTTCCTTATAGTTTAGGACCCCCTAGGGGCCCCTCCGAGACTAGTAAGAATTAGTCTTGGTATATTATCAATATATTATATTCCCTCTAAAAAGCCCTTTGTATCTTACCCAGTTGATAGGCTGTATACCTGTATAATATATACCTTTATATAATATGATAGTAGCAATTTTCGTATATCAGTAGCATTTCTCTTATAGGATATCTATATAAAAATAGAGGAGGATAGTATTAGTAAGTAAAAGCTAAGTAATATACCCTAAGGATTAATATTAGATAGACTACTTAGGTTTAATAACTATATTTATATCCTAAAAGAGACTATAATCTTATATAAAATTATAAAGATATATTATAATAACCCCTAGGGAGACTATTATACTAATAAATATATCCTTAAAGCTATTTAGTATAAGTTCTATTAGTATAGAATTATAAAGGATATAAGGGAGTATATATATAATTATATAAATTATTAATATAATTTAGTATATAAGTATAAGCTATATAGATTATTATAGCTATTACTAGTACCTAAGAGGCCTAGTAAGTAGTTTAATATAGATTTTATTATTAAAATATCTCTATTATAGTAGAATAGTAAGGTATATAATATAGTACTAGTCCTAATAGATATATTTATAAAGTATATCCTTTATCTTCCTTATATAAAAGAAATTAATATACTTAAGTTAATAGATTTATTATATAAATATATAATCCTAATCTTTAGTATATTAAAGAACCTAATAAGTAATAGGAATAGTCTTTTTATTAGCTAATTTTAGTTAACCTTCTACTTTCTCCTTATAGTTAAATACTAGTTATTTACTATATTCTACCCTTAAATTAATAAATAGACTAAATATTAAAACTAGATATTAGAGTACTTCTTATAGTTATATATTAATTAGAAATAAGATAATTAGGTATACTAGCTCCTTATTATAATATTTATATATAATATAATAACTTATAGTATAACTAGAAAGTTATTATATAAAGTATTAATAGGATATAACCTATCTATCTAAAATAGTATTAAAGAGTACCTTAAAGAATATTATATAGATATTATATAAAGGGTATAAGAAATCTAAGAGATAAAGAACTTTATAAAAGAGTGACTTTCTAAAGTAAAAGAATTAATAAAGTACTATATAGATAAATACTATATAGATAAATCCTTTAAAGTTAATAATTAGGTTTATCTTAAGAATAAGAATATAGAAATAAGTAGGCTAAGTAAGAAATTAGATTATAAAATATTAAGTCTATTCCTAATCCTTAAGAAAGTTAGTATATAAGTATATAAGCTATATCTATTCCCCTATTTTAGATTACTATACCTAATATACTATATATTAGTATTAGAATTATATTATAGTAATACTTTAATTAATAATAATACTCTTAAACTAATTAAGATTAATAATTAGGTAGAGTATAAGATTAAATATATCTTATTCTATTAAAGTAAGAAAAATAAGTCCTATTTAGTTAAGTAATATAGCTATAATAATATTAAAGTAACCTAGGAACTATAGTCTATAGTTAAGGATACTAAGGCCTTTAATAACTATAAGGCTAGGTTAACTATAATAGTAAAAATATTAAAGAAAAATAGGACTAAGAATATATACCTAAAATATAAGAAGCTTTAATTATAGATTAAAATTTAGTACTATATTTCCTATATTTATATATAGGTATAGGTAGGGTTATTATATCTAATTAGACTTAAATATTAATAGAGTAATATTAAAAATATAATAGAGTAGTAAAATAGACTCTATACTTAGGGTATCTTAAGAAGTAAGGGCTAAGTTTATAAGGATAAATAAAGTATTATTAGGTATATTTATATTAGGAACTATACTTTTCTCTATAATATTAATAGGAATATTAAAGAATTCCTTAACTTTAGAGATTTTCCCTATATTCTCTATAATTCCTAAGGCTCTAATAACTTTAGTAATTATTATAATTTCTATAGCTTTTATAATAGTAGTAACCTTTTTAACCTTATTAGCTATATAGGTTAAATACTTAATATTCTACTTAATAATATATATTTAGGGTATATAAGTATATATAGGTAATATATTAAGAGTAATATAAGTAATAGACTAAACTTTAGAAAGAAGCTATACTATTATTAATAATAAATTCCTTCCTATAATAATATAGTTAAAACTTATAGGAATATAACTATATTTTATAGAAGAGTAGTAAGTATATTTAGTATAACCTATAAGGGTCTTATACTTATAGTCTAGGTAGCTTTATAACTAGAAAAAGTACTATTAATAAGGTAATAAGCCTTTAATAAGCTTAAGGGTTCCTAAGTATAGAGGTAGAGTTATAGGCCTATAGCCTACTAAAAGATAATATTATACCTATAGATATAGAGACTTATCTTTCTTAGAGAAGGATAGTATAGGATAATAATATACTATTACTATTTTATAAATATAGTTAATATATAAATATAAAAATAAGGCTATTTTCTATAAAGAAGGGATAGATATAATATTAAAATTTCTCAGTATATTATATAGAATATAATACCACTAAATCTAAAGATATATCTACTATATTTACTAGCTAATAGTAGTACCTTAATTAGAATAATATTATTTTAATAGAAGTATAATTAGATATCGGTAAAGCCTACCTGGCCTATAGCCTAGCCTAGCCTAGCCTACTAATAGGCTAGGCTTTAGGCTGACTTCTTTAGCCTATACTAAATTATAGGCTAATACCCTAGGCCTATAGCCTATAATAGGGGCCTATATAGGCCTTATATAATATAAATAGGCCTTTAGTATATAGATATATAACTAATATATTTCTAACCTATATTATTATATATCCTAGTTATAGCTAGAATATTAGGAAAATTTAAAGAAGGGAGTAAAAATTAAGAAGATAGTACTATTAATATATTTTAATAATATATATAATTATTATCAACCCTACTCTTATACTTCCTCTAAGATATATAAAATAGAGTAATAGACTCTAGTAAATCTAGCTAAACTCCCTTTATCTTATTATTACTATTACTACGTCTTAACAAAAAACATTTGTGCAGAGGCGGCCATTTCTGGCCTCAAAGGGGGCCGAAAGTGGCCTCCTCGGCACAGTTCTTCCGCACACGCACTTTCGATCCCAGAGCCACGCGCTCCTCGCCCGCCCCTTGTAACGTGCACCGTCACGTTCTTGTTCGGGTCATGTTGGTACCTGGGCGCGTGGCTCCCCTTCCCCTGCCCTCGAGCCCCGCTCCTGCTTTCCATCGACTTCTACCCACCTCCGGGCCTGCTCCTTGAGCGCTACCATGACACCTCCGTTTTGTGAGGTCGCCAAAAATGGCACACTCCATCCCAGGCTCATTGGTCGCTGGGGCAATGGGGTCCATGACTATAAAGCTGCCAACAGACCCTCCTCACTCTCCTACCCAGCCCTCCTCTCACCTATCCTTTGCCAGTCCTTCCCTCAGCGCGTGCCTCACAGTCGTTCGTCATCCCCGTTGATTTGTCTACCTGCCTGGAGCGGCTTCGCGCACATCTTAGTTTCCCCAGACGCAGCATGAGCGACGTTGCAGATCTATCCTCTGCGACCGACAGTGACACTTCCGGGGTGTCTTTCCAGCCTGATATCGATGCGACCGATGACTCCGATTCTGGGCAAGCCTCAAATTCAACCGAGCTGACAACTCCGGAACCCACCTGTCTTCCTGACAATTGTAGCAGGCCTTCCACCCGTCCAAAACGACCCGTGCGTCGTCCAGCGGACGCTGGTGTTCTGCCCGATTTCAGCGATGACCCTGATGACGACACGGACGAGGACATTGCAAACGTACCACTTGATTATGGGCGCTCAGAACAAACCAAGGTTCGGGGTCGACGAATAGAAAAGCGCTGGGACAAGTGAGCATTTATTCAGACCTACGCAATGGGGAGGCGAGTACTGATGTGAGGCGTAGGTACTGCCGAGTGAAGGCTGCTCAGGCTGGTGCGCTGTTGAAATGGGATGACCCAGTGGAGGCACTGCGCGAGGTTACTCCTAATGACGTGCATCGTTTTTTCAACTACTGCATGAAGCTGAAGTATGGCGAAGGCGGTCGTCATCTGAAGGGAACATCGAAAGCGAGCGCCCTGAAAGCTGATTGGAAAGGATTTCGGGGTTACTATCGGAGAATTACACGGACCAGGATAACTGCCGAAGATAGCGAAGAGATCAATGCGGTAAGTTAATCCTCTTAGTCTGACGCTCTGAGCTGACTGGGTTCTAGGGCATTCGGAAACTCGTCGATAAATTCGACCTCGATACACAAGAACGGGGCAAGGAGCCGGTGTACGTCCAAGACTTGACTGAATTGAACGAGACGATTCTCCGAACTCAGGAAAGACGATTTCATTTTGGATACGAGCGAATCCAGCTCTGTCTCTTCAACATGCTCGGTATTTATACCGTGAACCGTCTGCATGCTCTTCTTTCGCTACAGTTCCACCATCTACGTTTCTCCGTACAAGATAATCCGGACGGGGGCCCTCCCGTACTTTTGGTGGAGATCAAATCGGAGCATACAAAGCGATTTCTCGGAACTTCCCAAATGTATGTATCGTGCGTTGAACCCGGGCAATGATGATCCCAATATTAACACTACTTCTTAGTAACAATTTTCCTTTCCCTGAAATCATCAACGATCCGTCGCTTGTCTTCAGCCCTCATACATTCATATTCGGTATACTTCTTTGGCTCCAAGCCTTCGAAGTCCCTACGCTTTCCTCCATGGAGCGCCTTCGAAAGCTGTTCGTCCAAGGTGGCCGACAACAGATGGAACTACCATTGAAGCGCGAAGTCGAAGGCTATTATGTCTTCTGCAAGACAGACGTAATCAATGGACGTCCAGTTCTTCAATAGAACCAGCCGATAACCGATGGCGCCATGTCTAGGCGTCTAAGAAATCTAGGGGAGATTCACGGCCTCCTTCAGTCAATGTTCGCCCATCGTTTTCGCTATAGAGGGGGAAAGATGTTAAACGAAAGCAGCGCGGTCAGCGAAGCACAGCAAAATCTGATCATAAAACACGCTGACACCCGCACTTTCTTGAATCATTATCTTCCACAACACATCGACACCGATATGCAGAACGTTATAAACGGCCGCGAATCTAACAAGTCTCTGATGCGCGCGATCACCCGGATGAGTAGGTGGATTGACAAGAGACGCCCTCGGCATCTTACTTCGGAGCAACGAGCGTCCCTTCGCGAACATCCAGAATATGTCGAGGCCACTCGGCGAATGAAAGAGCAAGCCGAGGAGTGCAAATGCGATCCCAGTGCAGCGATGCAATCGCGATTAGAGAAATTGAAACGCGAAACCTCTAATACATTCGGCCGGTTGGAAAGAGCACTGAGACGGAAGGTGCGCCATGAGTTCGACCGCAAACAGGCCATCATAGACATTGAGCGACAGCTCTCAGGGGCTGCTGTTGATGACGAAGAGGCGAAGAAGGTACTTCAAGTCGAAGACCAGATGCTACCGGAGCAGATTGATCTTCTAGAGAAATTATTCACATGGCCTACCTCTCAATCCCTGGAGGCGGAGTGGCAAAGAAGGAACGCTGCCGTGGCTACGATCTCCCGATACTGTGGTTTCCTTGAAGGTGGACCATTGCGTGGGCGACGTAAACGGGCTGCACCAAGTGACGGGTTCGATGAAGAACAGACCAGCGTGTTACCAGAGCCAGCCAAGAAGAGTTGCAGCTCTCCGGAGCCTTCGCAGCAGGATATTCTTCTTGTGAAAGCCGGAAACTACATCAAAAAGGCAAAGAAGCCTCGGCGATGTTTTCAATGTTATGGTGACACCGAACTTCCCATTCATCGCCGCACGCAGAAATATAGCGAATATAAGTCGACTCTACGACACTTTCGAGAGAAGCACTTGCAGGATCGAAGGTGTCATATGTGTGACGAAGATCTACTACATGAGATGCATCTTCGCAGGCATGCAGAAGAGGTTCATCGCCTCAGCACTGAACGGAATTACTACACCAAAGAAGATACGGGATCGGACATTGATACCGATTAATTGGGAGGCTTGCAGGTGTTCTGTCAAATTGAAGTACTCTATTTTGTCTTTGCTTAAGAATCAACCTCGGATCTGGATAATATTTTCCGTGATAGTGCTCCATTTTCCAACTTCTTCAACTGGAGATAAGTTCTGTTTGATATATACTCGTCGCATTAGAAAACCCCTTATAGCAATTTTAGCCTTCCTATCTACAGCAGCATTCATGGACGTAAAAGAACAGACCCATAATACGATAGGTTTTGGAGACAACGACAGCGCCCGACGCCGAAGAGTAGTGAGCATGTCTAGGTTCATAATATCAACAGGCTATTTAATGTTTCCCTTTTTACGTTATTGAGAAGCGGTCTTCCTGGATTTGATAACTTACCTGCTTTGTTCAGTATGTACACACGAGACAATAATAACAAGCCTTGATGGCAGAAAATCTGAATCAGAAGGCTCGAGGGGTCGCAGTTTCAAACCGCCAAATACCCGTGTCCAATTAGCCTTCCGGAGAACCACAAGTTCCCCACTATCGTGTGGCCGAGGGTCTACTTGGAGTTCAAGGATACTTTCAAGTTCGCGGTTTAGAACAAGCTCATTCAAAACCACTGTCCTGGTCTGGTCTTCCAGTAGCCTTGCTGCCTGAGGCTTCACGAATTCTCATCTTCTATAATTCCCATCCTTGTTCAGTTCCACGTGCTCAATTATTATACACACGGTCATGGAGCCATACCCATAAAACGATAGTCTTGCTGTTGTCCGAGTGTAGCTGGGAATGTTTCCAAAAGGCTGGGACAGACTATGGATCAATTGATCGATCGATTGGTATGGGGTTTCATAGATCCCAGTCTAGTTCCACGAAAGTGTCAAGGATATACATCAAGCACACGGAACGGATGGAGATATGATCTGCGCGGGACCCACATGGTGTATATGAGTTCCCCTGAACGCGAGGAAGCTACCTTTCTTTTGCTTCCTCGCACTACGTCTTGTATCTAGAGTCAACTATAGTTGTTCCTAATATCGATTACTCATCTTGAGACACTATCCACCCCTATGTATACGTGAGACCCTCACAGAAAGCAGCATCTATTCCAGGAACGCAGCATCTATTCCCAGGAACGTAGCTGATGGTCTGGAGATCCGTTAACTCCTGGGAACTCATATGTTGGCCCTGGGAGTCTTTCCACCACAGCATATGTTTATTGCTACTCAAGCTAAGAACACAAGTTCGTAGATGTAGACTAACCAGCTAACCACGATACTCCAGTTTACGTATTAGGGAATGAGGCGGAGTATGATATCATCGAACTCTCTATGGAAACAAACGAATTTAACGCTGTAGTACGCACTACATTACGGTATCATTATCAATACCTCCCTCGCACTGGCATCCTCTGCAGTTGAAGTTCGAGAAGAACATTCTCATCAACTTTTTTTTAAGAACCGCAATAGCAATTGCCGGCAAATCCGTCAGAATTGCGATACTCTCATCATTGTTCAGGTATTCTTGGGCGTGGCATGAAATTGCCTTGATTATGGCATCCCGAAGCTCAGTCTCGAGAGGTGGAAGAGTGACCCAGATCTCTCGCACAACAAATGGATGTCTCTGGGCATTTTTGTCAATTCAGTTGATGAGACGAGTTCTTGCAAGCTGTTTTAGGGGCGCAATGTCAAATTTGTCCGCTGCCATAAAAACTCCGAGGTTGTTCCACAAAACTGCGTGGGAATCTTTAACTTCGCCCGAAACAGACTTTTTGTCCTCAATGTCTGGAATGCCCGTGTCATCATAATCTCGAATATAAAGAAAAGTAACCAACTCGTTGAATGGTTGCTAACTCATCATCAGGTAGGTCGATTTGCGATGAAGCAGCCTCCTTACGACAATGTTACTCATGGCCGCCAACCTTGGCTTAGACGGACACTATTTACCTTGAATCCTCCTTTGACTCAGCATCGAAAAATGATGACTGGCAACAGACTATGGCGCGGTGTACTGCGAACTTACGGCCTTCGCATGATATCGTTAGGTCGGAGTACCTACCTGATTCCAGGAGGCTTTGCAAGAGTGGTTGAAGATCTGGAAACCCTATATTAAATGGAAGTAGATAAAATAACATGAGTTAGACAACGTACCGGGCAACTATCATCCGATGGTTTTAATTGCCCAGCTATCCGTATTCCTCGAAGGTATAGACGTCATCACCACGACACCACGACCCCGCGTGTAACGTAAGTGGAAATTCCGGCGTGTCGTGGCCAGATGATGCCATGTGTGCTTCCTTGCCGTTCCGATTTACGTTACTGTTCCGCTCGCTCTGGCCTTTCGATGCACACATAACGGAAGAAGCTAGAAGGCTCGAGGGGTTGCAGTTCCAAAACCGCCAAATACCCGTGTCCAATCAGCCTTCCGGAGAACCACAAGTTCCCCGCTATCTTGTGGTCGAGGGCACTCGTGAAGTTAAGAATACTTTGAAGTTCGAGGTTCAGAACAACCAGATCCAAAACCTCGGCCCTGGCCCTTCCAGTGGGTGGCAACAAAAGCGGTCGCAAGAATAGCGGCATCCAAGGCCGCAAGATCAAGGAAAAGGAAAACCGAAAACTTCAAGAAGAACCAGACCCACGCCCAGTCACGGACCAAGCAGGGCGCACCCAGTTGCAGCAAAGTAGGAATCAGGCATCCCAAGCGCCCGAGAAATACTAAGTTCTCAAAAAAGCCAAGATATGCCAACCACCCACCCAATGGTTGGAAATATCTTAAATGTAGAACATGGTATCCTTGATGCTCTCGGATACACGACCACCACTTTCGCCGGCCACACTACCCGTCGGAGTCGCAGAGGGAGTCGGGTCGAACAGATCACTCATGTAGCAGCGAGCACGGGTGCAGACGAGATCGGCGTAGTAGGCAGGCGGACAGAGATGTGAAATGCAGGTCCTTCGATAATGATGGATAGTGGGAAGGCGTTTTGAGGCTGTGCAAATCTGGCAGGATGGCGACCACTCAATCAAAAGCCTCCCACTGGGCGCGAAAAGACGTGGCTGATTTAAGGTTGATTTTTGCGTAACCATAATATGCGATTAAGACAACTCCTTAACAGGCCCCAACTCTTTATCCCCCCATTGATTGGAGTCCGCAAACACAGCAAACATATGGAGTTCCCTGTTATCCTCGTCTCTGTAGAATAGAACGAAGTCCATCGTTGTGAAACAGCGACGAATGAGTATCAGCCAGCCCTTCGCGGGGAATTGGTCCAATGTGAGAGATTTTTGCGTTCTTTTGAGTTCCTTGGCGACACGATGTCTTGGCGGCGAAGGTCGTGACTGGCCAAGCATTTGCCAAGCCACTAAAACCCGCGAAAACATCGCATTACACGCGCTCCGCACTCCTGAGGCGATGAAAGAATGAAAAAGACTGAAGTTGAAAAAAAAAGGAGGGAGGGGGGGGGGAGGGGGGGAAATTGGATATGTTCGAAGGTTCTCGACTCTCAATTCTTGCCTCTCTAGGTTCCTCTCATCATTGGCTTAACGCCAAATTCCCTCAGTAATCTAAAATATAGTGACAGAAATCAAGGTAAGGCGAGCGTACTGGTAACATTCACAGTGGTAAGATTCTCTAACTAAAATGACACTGCCCGGATTTGACAATTTGGTTGGACATAATTAATAAACAAAACGCATAGTCAATCAGTCACATGTTTCAGCCGTAAAAAGACCGGGTAATCAATGTAACACCTTGTTTCTTGACATATAGTTAAGCCCATTTGCCGAGCAGTGCCATGAGTCCTGCACCAAGGCAGAGCAAAACAAATGCCGAACAAACGGTGCAAGGAGAAGCCCGACGCATATATGAGCTGAACAGGAACTCGCGCGCTATTAATTCAATAAGGCCAGTGTAAATAAGGATGCCTGCCGAGATAGCATCAAAAACGCCGTTGATTATCAGTGTCGTCCGACCACTAGGTGGGTAGGTATTGCGCACTCCCAAGCCAACTGCGATGGCAATGGGGGTAGTCAGACCATAAACTACGCCCAGAACGTAAGGCGTCCACCCCCTGGAAGTCGGCCATGGAATCATGGCGAGGCGAGATCCCAGACCTAGTCCCTCGAATGTCTGGTGGAAGGTGAGAACGATATAGAGCGTGGTGAATTCAGAGCCCGCAACTGCGAGTGTCAGGCCTATGAATATCGAATGGAAGATAATTCCAAATTCCAAAATGAAAACCCCGATAAGCTGGGCTGCATAGTCATCCACGAATGCGAAGTTGCCTTCAGCCATCTCTGCCTCTTGGTGCTCCTGGGGACGGCTCAAATTGTCTTCAATCGGCAGGTGACTCTTAGCCTGATCCCAACCACCAAAGTTATCAACGCCGCGAAGGCACCGACTTCCGTTATGGACGATGTCGTTCTGTTGACTCAAGTCGAGATATGAATGGCGCATAATCATCAATTCCACCAAGAACATGGTAACAATGGTCATGAGAATGATGCCCTCCACCCAGGGATACCCCGAGATAGGACCAGTCAAGCAGTCATCCCTTAGAGCCTCTTCCGCTGGAGCAAGCAAATGAATAAAAGCAGTTGCAAGGATGACACCAGAGCCAAAATATTTGGCTATAAAAAAGGCCCAGTGTGTGATTCGCTCCCACTTAGCACCCACTGCCCTCGAACGTATCACTAGCACAGGGAAAACTGCTGCTATCATCGAGCCAGCCATGATGACGAAAATAGATGAAACACGGAGGCTCAGTCGACCGTTATACTCATTTCCGGTTTCACAGGTATCAGTAATGTCGCCGGTATCCCGCTGGAGGAGAGAGCGTAACAGTTCCGCGTCCATCCTGATAAGGAAATATTTTGAGGATTAAGTTCCAACACGGGCAAAGATGGGATTGAATGACTTGAAAGAAAATTCTGCAGTGATACGCGCACTGAAATCGGACTTGTTTGCGACAGTGCACCAGAAAGAGTTGATAGAAAATTTTATAATAACTGTCTTTAGTCCTCTTTTAAATATGCCATCGTCCACCAAGGTCCTCGCTTCGCAAGAAGGATGAGTTACTCGAGGTTTTTTTTTTTTTTTTTGGCAAGAGTCTATGAAGGCTTGGTCAAGGAGGTGGACGTCGGTAAAAGAGAGGCAGGCTCATAGGTAGGCATATGATTGGACAAAGGGCTAGAGACTATGGATTCCATATTAAACTTCGCCAAGAGGCGCTAAAATCCGCGAAAACACCGCATAGAATGAATGTCCTTGACCGTATAATCCTCTGCCTTTGCTTCCTACGATTGCAAGAACATTTGATCACCCTCAGAGACATCGAACTCTTCATAATTATCTTTTTCCACCAAATGCCAGGCTTTGCATTCCAGCTCCGCGCAATATGCACCCTTCTTGCAGTACAAGCTGCTCTTGGTTCCCTACGAACGTTCAACTTCACCGTTCATAGCGCCCAGCGCAGCCCAGGTTTGCAGATTGATTCCTTGCCTTCGTCAGACGCTAATCTTAGTTACCGATAGATGGGTACTTCCGTGAAGTCTACGTAATCAATGGACAGCAGCCCGGTCCGATGATTGAAGTTGACGAAGGGGATGATGTGGAGGTGTTCGTTCGCAATGAGTTGCCAGTTAGCACTACTATCCATTGGCATGGTATGTTATCGTCAGAGTATACGTGGCGGCTTAACTAAGCACATTAATCCAGGGATACTACAGCGTGGAACGCCAGACATGGATGGGGTCCCAGGAGTAACACAGGTGCGCACTACTACCTTCTATCACCCTTCAAGCACTGAAGACAGTCGTCACTAACCTGGGTCTGTAGCACCAAATACCACCTGGAGGAAATTTTACGTACAGATTTTCCGTGAAAGACGAGTATGGGTTCTACTGGTATCATTCGCATTTCCGCGCATACTACAACGATGCTATACGGGGCCCACTCATGATCCGACCAGCACCCTCTCGTCGTCGACCGTTTGAAGACATGGCTGCAAGCAGAGTTGAGCGTGAACAGCTGCTACAGGCTGAGAGGGATGCGGTATCTATCCTCCTGAATGACTGGACACACGATCTGTCGGACACAATCTTTAGCCGGTACCTCGAAACAGGTGCCTTCCCCAACTGTGTTGACAGTATTCTGGCCAATGGCCTGGGAAGGGTAGAATGCCTGCCAAAGTATATGCTCGATGCAGGCCCGGGGTTGGGCCTGACGGACGAAGTCAATGCCACACACCACAACCCTACTGCGACAATGGCCACATCGGTAATGCAAATGCCAACGATGGCGAGAAGAATGGAAGATCCCGCCGATGACAACCCCCACGGCCAGATGTCCATGCCTCCAATGAGCACAACCAACCCGTCAGAGTCAACCATGTCCACAACGGGCGGGATGACTATGCCCAGCTCAGACACCATGGGCGAGTCCGACACCATGGGCGAGTCAATGAGGTTGGGCCCTCGGGGCTGCATGCCACCTATGATGTTCAGGCAGGGATACGATATCAACTCGCTGCCATCAGAGACATGTGTGAACACAACATCACAACAGTTAGTGGTCAACGCAAATGTATCTCAAGGATGGCTTGCCCTCAACCTTGTGAATTCTGGAGCTGTTAGCAACCTTAAGGTCTCTCTTGACAGTCATTCAATGCATGTCTATGCTGCAGACGGACTCTATGTGACCCTGCAGGAGGTTAAGGTAAGATATCGTCTTTCCATGGTTATTAAACTACCTTCCTCTAACCTTGACAGGTTCTTGAAATCGCTCTCGGCCAACGATATTCTGTGATGATAAAGCTTGACCAGCCTGCCGGCAACTACTACCTTCGATTCGCTACTTATCCGAATGGTGATATGCAGCAGGTCTTGGAAGGCCAGGCAATAGTGTCCTATAATGTCAGTGGATCAAAGCTTCTAATCCCACATCGCTGCTATTAACACACTGGGTAGACCACCGGAAACGATACACAGGATATCTCGGTTGATCCAATGTCTGTTTGGATGTTGACTAACGGATCCGCTACACAAGGGGCCAATGAACTGGTAGAATCACGTCTGGCACCGTTTGAGGGTAATAGACCTCCCACTACAGTTGCCGATGTCACTCGGTTCTTCAATATCAATCAGACCGGCATTGTCACCTGGGTTGTGGACCAGTATCCGTATACTGAACCAACGATCCCAATCATCTACGGTAACAGGTCAGATGGATGGAATTCGAACACCACCCTCCATTTACCGACGAATTCGACCGTCGATATCGTTATGAATGTGGCAAATTCCTCGATGGATACGGTGTGACCCCCTACGCTACTTTTTACCGCGCACGTACAGTCGCTGACATGTATTAGATGGGCCATCCAATGCACCTTCATGGCCATAAATTCTGGGTTCTAGGTTCTGGCAGTGGCTCATTCCCTTACCAGTCGGTCGCAGAAGCGCCGTCGTCCCTTATTAACCTCGACGACCCTCCGTACAGGGATACCGCGAATTTACCACCATCAGGATGGCTAGCAATTCGGTGAGTTTAAACCTAACCTGCAAGCAAAAATTTGTCAAGCCTAATGGCTAATCATGCAATAGCTATATCACCGATAACCCGGGCGCATGGATACTTCATTGCCATATCCAGTGGCATATTGTGGTCTGTCAACTCCCCTTTTCACTCTCTCCATTGGCGGGCAATCGCTTACGTTTGTCTATATAGTCTGGAATGGCGCTGGTCTTAGTAGAGGGCGAAGATCAGCTCGATAGTTTGATCCGGCAAGGTAATAACTCAGATCCAACTACACCAGCCATATCCGGGACTGCACCGTCATATATTGCAAACTTTTTTGGAATTTTAGTCGCTCTCGGTACTGTGCTGAATGCACTGGTCGTGTTTTCATAGTGTGCCGCTGATTGCAACTCTCCGTCTTTATGTTTTCTTGGCTAGATCTGCTTCTATCCACGCACAATATAAGTGAAGTATGCTCTACTGGCAGCGCATGTTTACGGGTTCATTAGATACTTGATGCATTATAGGAATATGCGTACAACAGCAGCCTTCCTAACTAAACTGGTTTAATCTCCTATCATCTGAAATCCTGTAAAGAGTGAAATCCGGTTCCCCAATGGCTATTTTCGAAGTCAATTTGCCGCAGGAGCAAAGCTCGGCAGATTTGCTTCATCACTGCTGAACGCTTCCGGCAAAATGGTTGTACATGCGTTCCCTGTAATTGTCGATTGATACCATTCTTCCCACTAATTCCTATTTATGTCTATCACTTTTCTCTCTTCGGCGGTTTCTGGAACTGCCAAGACATGGGACTGTGGTACTTTGGCGTATTTTAGCGTGGCGGTGCTTATCGATGAAGAGTTTCGGGAACCAGCACCAAATCTAAAAGTGCACTAGCCAATGACTTCCTCGAATACCCAATTACTGTCGTCCTCAGCCATTGAAAGGGACTCAACGTTCTCCTCGTGGACAACCTGGTGATCAGTGACGGACGTATTGAGGATGGTATCACGTTTTGCGAGGGCCCAGTACTCCAGGGTGGAGAAAGGGAGTACCGGAGTAAATGTATTATGTATTTTACGCACTAATCGCGCATAGAGAGCAAGTAGGCAAACGGGAAGGTTCTTGATGATTGGCCAAAGTACCTAGGTGGGTTTATATTTGAGTTTACCATCAAAGCTGAGAATGACCGCGACCGCTACGACGTAATTCTACGCACTAAGCGCGCATCAATAACGAAGGCGCAGATATTTTGTTTGAGCTAATCAATAGGTAACCCAAATATGGAGCTCCTTGGTATCCATGATTAATGACCCGGGCATGTGGAAAGCTATGTCCAGTGGCGAATGGCACTGATCGGACGTGTATATTAATTCTGAATGTACCCTCGCTTCCTTGGGTTAACTGGCCCGTGTCTTGCCATTGCGCTAGCGGATCATTATGTCGGTGGCTCGCGGGCAGTTATAAGGTCTAAAACTGAACACTATAAGTCCGGACTGATCGAGGAGCCTTAAGCTGTGGATACGAGTGATAAGCTACCGTTTTTAACTACTACTTATATTACATAGCTGGCTGTAGTATCTATAAAACAACCTAAAAGCTAGAACATAATCCATCTCGGTGCTTGAACCAATCAGAAAGACAGCCAGCCATATTTACATTAGTGCGTAAAATTACGTCATACAGTTGCTCGAACGCTAGCGCTTATCAGGAATTCTGGACAGCACAATCATCGTGCACTACATGGTCTTGCCACATCGAACCGAGTAAGTAATTCGTGCGTAAAGACAGCGGAGTGTACAAGTGCACTACTAGGACATCATCGGAGTAAGGGGCAATAGGTGACTATCCCTTTTGAAGTACTGATACCTGACCAACGATAACTATGACACTGACGATTACAACCTATATGCAGGAACAAGTTTTGTGACGTCGCTTCGCGTATTGTGAAACTGCCCTACATTGCCATGTTTGCTGAACTGTAGGCAAACTTTTCGTACCTGCCGAATCCCGCAAAGTACAACTTGGCAGAAGTGTGGCCAACCAATACCCACTCTTGAAAACATTCAAACTTGTGGTGTGCGTATAGCCTCTCGTCACTGAGCGCCGCAATGTTGCTTGATGGAGAAAAATGGGCTTGTGAAGCTTGCGTGCGGGGTCACCGCGTCAGCAATTGTCACCACCATGGTAAGTCGAAGATGGAATGTGCGTGCAACTTATCCAGTGAACCGAAAACTGATCTTTGAATTGACCGGCCTTTGATTCGTATCGGGAAAAAAGGGCGACCAATCACTCAATGTGCTCACTGTCGCGGTCTACGCGAGTCACACACTACTCACATAAAGTGCGAGTGTGGTAAGAACGTTTACGATGAGGACAACTTTCAATACGCTGGTGAGCAACACCTCAGAAGTGAGCACCCCAGCGGCAATAACTCAACTCGATATTCATAAAATTCGATAGGGAATAATCATCAACGATGTGGCTGCATTCATGGACAGCGCTGCATCTGTGCGCTAAAGAAAGAGCGTACTCCATATCCTGCCCCAAGGGTGGAACGGCCTCGGTCCCAGCCTGCTTCCATGTCGAAGCTCGTGAGGACCCCGTCGGATCGACAAGCTAGGGGTTACGCTTACTTTCCCCAGGATAATAGTAATAAGCTTAACGCTGAACCCAACGACATGTTGTCAGCCTCCGGGATGCCGTACCCTGCTTTACTATCGAACGTTGTTTGTTCGTCATCCGACAACGGCTTTCACTCTGGAAACAGACTTTTCCCGGCGCAGGCTGCACTTTTGAATAATGAAACCTCCTACAGTGGCTTCGGCAATTCAACAAAGCGCCAAAGTGTCCTGTCAAATGCGAACCTAGCCTGGCCTGGAGATCCTTCGCCACAGTTCTGGAACATATCGCAACATTCTTATCTTCAACAAGGTGTTCCACAGTTTGGCTCCTTTCCTATGGTACCTTTGCCTGATCTAGGGAACTCGGACGGAACCTCCGCATTCCTTCCTTCGGTCTTACCCAGCTTTGATAAGATTCCTGCTGAGTTGGCTAAGACGGACGTCACTCCTGCGGCATTGTCGCCAGTGCTCTCCACGAGTACCACGAGTACAACCAATGTGGCTTCCCAGCAGACACATGAAGAAAATTTGTTGAATCTCCCTGTTGATGTGTATGACTCGGCTGGTCTCGGTACTCTCTCAGATGACTGGACAGACTTTCCGAGTGGCACGTATGACCCCACCCTTCGCACTGCTACCGACATACAACCTCCCTACACCAGTTTTGATGTTGGGACCTATAGCTTGGGGTTGCCGACGCTCTCGTCTAGTGATAATACTGTACTTAATTGTTCTGATGAAGTTTTCGGTCCCGAAAATATCCAGAATGATCCGCATAATCTTCATAGTGTGAGCTTACAGATTGGGAGTGGAAGCCAATTTGGATTTACACCGCGATAACGACCGAATGGCCTCGCTGTATTGGAATGGTCCTTGGACTCGGATCGGATATCAATTTGACGTGACAAGCCTCAACAGTGAAGAGTATCCAATAAATGTGTCCCCTATTCATGAGGGCGGTATCTTAGGAGACGTCTCGGTTATTGTGGCACAGATTGGTCCGTCAATTGTGACACTAGCATTTCAATCACTGTGTTTTCACGTCCCCCAATCTCAACGAAAGTTATCACCTATGTCGGAGACATAAAAGGTGCTCTTTCGAACCCTAATCACTTGACGTATGAATTCATGCAGGTTTTTGACTGACAGTATATTATATAATCAGGGAGGTGTGGCCCGACGATGCAGAAACTTGTGTCCAGTCACTGTAGGTCGCCTTCCGGTCGACCTTTGAGATTGCGAAACTCGATGATGGCACGGAGGACATCACGTTTACCTTGAAGGTCTTTCAGGTAGAAAAGTTCGATATCGCGATAGCAGACCGAGTCTGGAAGATCTTTCAAGGAAATGTGCTTTGGAAGGTCACTCTGGAAGGTGTCATCCCGTTTGCGTTTACCCAAAACTGGATTACCAGGCGATGTGTCTTGAGGAAGCAAGACACCAGGTCGCGTACCTGTAATGGCGGACCAGAGCTGGACTGTAGCAAACTGAACAATCATGCTCCCGTGACGAAAAAATCTCGAATGGGCCCAGTGATGCCGGTAAATCACACCAAAAGCATCCACATCTGGAGTATTTTTGTCCTTTATTCGTCGGGGAATTTTGCGCTCGGCTGGGGAAACACCTGCGAGAAACTTCAATGTAAGCATACTCTGTTTAGGGACATACAGGATATAACTTACTCGTCGTATCTGTTGACGGGTATCCTTACCGACGCGGCGACGGGCGAATAGCTCGAAGTATTGATAAAGGCGGCGCCAGTATTCATCATATGAATAAATAAGTAGTTTCTTTCGTGATGTTTTGAACATCCAATCAAAAAAGTTCGTGTAGATCGTCTGGTCCTCTAAAAGAAGGAAGTCCACATAATCTTCGTTCGATTGAATGTAATACCTATTCTCATATATTATTCCCAGCCATAAGACTTTTCCCAACCAAGTGAGCACTCACTTCCGGCAATAACGTTCGACGACAGCGATACCTTCTAAGGTCTTTGGCTTAAAGTTTAGAGGGAGCCATCTAAGACTGCGAAAATGTTCCAGTCTAGCTCGAGTTTCCTCGCAAAGAATGGGATCGGTCCAGTATTGGTACCCATCAGTTTGAGCCGGATATACAGGCGTAGGTGCCATGTAGGAGATCAGATACAAGAACTAGGGTGGAAAGTTTGCATTGTGGGAAACGACAACGCCGAGGTCGGCTCGAGGCGTGGGCAACGAGGATGAGAGAATGGCAGGTGCAAGGACACCGGAAGGGAGGGAAGGCAAAGCATCTTATAGGCGCTCAAATGGACTGGACGAAAAGGGAGGGGACTTAAATTTAGCTGAAGGGGAGCCATTTTCGACGTCGTTTTGGTCGCCAGTGGAAACGAGGGGAACAACTGTGTAAGTCCAGCGTCTACATCAGGACCGGAGGATGACTAAAAGTGCTGGGCGGGTGCAGAATAGTGGTGTTACAGGACAGTGGGCGGTCAAGGAGCGGCTGGGGCATCCAAAGTTACGGGTGGAAAGGCAGCCGTTCAGCCGTTCTGGCCTCAAAAGCGGTCATTTTCGGCGTCAATCCCACAGGTCCCCATATTCTAGTTGTAAATTCTAGATCAGCTGCATCGCCAATACAGTTACGAGACAAAGCATTGTATTTCAATAAGCGTAAGTCCTGGTATTAAGACCCATAACAGGGATATTGATAGTCAGGGATTATTCCTAATATAGACTAGGGTCTTTTGGCGGAAGGTTAGAGAATCTCTCGAAGAGTGTAGGTGGGTGCGCCAGTTTCGGGACGCACTGTACAGTACATGGACCAATGACCGACTGTACAGGCCTGTGAAAAGGTATCCTGCATATCGTTCGCGAGGGGACAGGTAGAGAGAACGCCGGTACCAATCTGTGACTGAATATCTCTTAATTGTTGTGGAGCGAAAATGACGGGACGGGCCGAGACACGAACCCCTGAACCGCCTGACCGCGACGAACACGAAAATTCACCACCCCGATTACTGAGACCGAGGCGCTCCACCAGACCGCCTAACAATTATGCCCAGGAGCAAGAACTCGATATCGAACAAAGCAACGCGCGTTCTCAGCGGAAGAAGACCCAGGGCAAGCCAGTGGCCCAGCGTGAAGCGGTAGCCTCGGAATCATCAACAGAGAGCGAGGACCCGAACGCGTCGGAACTGTTGAAGGAACTTGTCAAACTCAGGAAGGAGATCAGACAGCGAGACGAATTACATAAGGAAGAGCTTCAAAAAGTCAAAGAAGAATTTACCGCCCTCAAAGAAGAGTTTAGCGCCGCCCTTGCAGAAGTTCGGCACGAGCTACAGACCCTGGCAGATAGACCCGCGACCCCTCAACCCCACCCCGAGTCGTGCTCCCCGAACAACCATGATGCGATTCTCCGCGAGATTCAATCTTTACGTGAGGAAATCAGCGCCCCCGCTCCCACGAGTTCCCCGTCCTATGCAGATGTCGCGCGCACTCCCCCAACCAGTTACCCAAGCAACATACGGACCCTGTCAACGCTGAACACGACACCGACCACCTTCACCGAAACTTTGTACTGCACGATAGACACCTCGAAGATGACCGAAAGTGAAAACGAGAGGAAATCTGCAGGCTCAATCAGGGCCACAATCGAGAAAGAGGTCCGAACGATGGATGATCACACTCACTGGCGCTATCGCGCGGTTACTGTCAGTCCAAGAGACCCCAACCGGATTAGGATCGTATGTCGCGATAAAGCCGAGCACCAGCTGGTCAAGAAAGTGGCGGAAGAAAAGATCGGAACGGGAGCCCGGGTGCTCCGGGACGAGCTATACCCGCTTAAGGTCGATAGCGTCAAGAAGTCTGCAGTACTGGATGAAAACCATGACATGCTGGTAGGAGCAGCCGCAGCCCTGGGTGAGGAAAATGAAACTACAGTCGCCAGGATAACGTGGCTTAGCAGTAAGGAGGCCGCGAAGCCATATAGGTCAATGGTCGTGTACCTCACCAAGGGTAGTGACGCGCAGAGGCTATTAGCCGACGGATACTTCCACGTTAGAAGGGAATCCAGGACAACTAGCGTCTTTAAATATCGGCCACAACCGATGCAATGTTACAACTGCCAGGAGATTGGTTATAAGGCATTCCAATATAAGAAGACCCAGAAATGCGCAAAATACGCCACGGAGGGCCATCATTATAGTCGCTGTGATCAAGAGGTCCCAAAGTATATTCCATACGGTGGGCCACATGAATCGTTTAGCAAGAATTGCCAGAAGCTCTACCCACCACGCCATGAATAAGAAACTTCGAATGATCCAATTGAATGTGAGGAAGTAGGGTGCCGTGTATGAAAGCTTAATGAACGACAAACAAACTAAGGACGTAGTGGTGTTAGCGATTTAGGAACCCTAGGCAAGGAGGATTTAGGGACAACTCTTGACCACCCCGATAGGACACCACAAATGGACGAAGATAGTTCCCTCCACCTAGAGGGAAGGCAGATAGGCGATCCGAAGCATACTTTGGATAAATAAGGACGTGGAAGCGGAGCAAGTGCGGATAGAGTCGCCGGATCTAACAGCGGCCGTGATTCGGCTTCCCAAACGACTGATTTTTATAGCATCAGTTTACGTAGAAGGCGGGGAAGTCTCTGCGTTGATCGACGCATGTGATCACCTTAGAAAGGCTATCATAAAGGTACGGCGAGACACGGGCGCTGTGGTAGACATCATTATTATAGGAGACTTCAACCGCCATAATCAACTCTAGGGCAGGGACGAGGTATCCTTCGGAAGACAGGGCGAAGCAGACCCGACCATTAACCTTATGAATAAATTCGCTCTCAGTAGCTTACTCAAACGAGGCACAAAAACATGGCATAGCGAAGGACAGTATGGGGACTACAAGTCTACAATTGACCTCGTCCTAGCCTCCGACAATTTAGCAGACCTAATGACCAAGTATGTAATACACGGGACTAAGCACAGCTCCGATCACCGGACGATCGAGACTATATTCGATACACCGTGGTCAGCCCCGAAGCATCAGGAACGACTTCGTCTGAAGAACGCGCCATAGAAAGAGATTAATACTAGAATCGCGAGCACCCTGGCCACCACTCCATCGGAAGGCACAGTGTAGCAGAAAACCGACCGACTGATATCCGCAGTCTCAGATATAGTGTATACCTTAACTCCAAGAGCGAAACCATCGCGACACGCGAAGCGGTAGTGGACAACCGACCTAACACAACTCCGTCACATATACACATACTAGCGCAATCGGGCTCGCTCAGAGCGATGGGCGGGGCGGAAAATACCTAAGCTCGAAAAGATGGCCCAAGATACGGTAAAGCAATACCATGATACCATCCGTAAGCAAAAGAAAAAGCACTGGAATAAGTTTCTCGCAGACAACGAGAATATCTAGAAAGCCGCTAAGTACCTGGAATCGGGAGAAGACGCAGCATTCGGGAAGCTACCACAACTTATCAGAGCAGATAGGACCACCACCGCTAACTATAAGGAGCAAGCAGAAGAGCTGTTATCCAAGTTCTTTCCCCCTCTGCCAGACGGGATTAAAGACGAGGGGACGAGACCATAGAGAGAACCAGTGAGGATACCCACGGTTGGCATAGAAGAGATCGAAAGATAGCTTTTTACTGCTAAATCATAGAAGGTACCGGGTAAAGACGGTCTACCGGCGGTAGTTTAGAAGATGACATAGCCGACTGTCAAGTATAGGGTTCTCGATTTATTCCAGGCGTCATTAGGAGAAGGCACGTTACCGATATAATAGAGATACGCGAAGATCATACCGCTTAAGAAGCCGAATAAAGAGGATTACACCATTACGAAGGCGTGGAGGCCAATTTCACTCCTAGCGACATTAGGCAAGATACTCGAATCAGTAGTTGCAGAGAGGATTTCACACACGGTGGAAACGTACGGATTACTCCCTACCAGCTACTTCGGTACCCGAAAGCAGCGATCCGCGGAGCAAGCGCTAGTGCTTCTTCAAGAGCAGATCTACGTAGCATAGCGTGGCCGACGAGTATTGAGCTTAATCAGCTTCGATATGAAAGGGGCCTACAACGGAGTGTGCAAGAAACGATTGATCCAGAGGATAAAAGCGCGAGGTATACCAGATGACTTGCTACGGTAGGTTAAGGCATTCTGCTCTAAGCGAACAGCGACCATCCAAATCAACGGGCAACTTTCTAAGGCTCGAAGATTGCCACAAGCTGGCCTCCCCTAGGGCTCACCCCTGTCTCCTATCCTGTTCCTATTTTTCAACGCAGATCTTATATAACGGTAGATTGACAGCCAAGGCGGTGCGGTTACTTTCGTGGATGATTTTACCGCATAGGTAACCGGACCAACCGCGTAGAGTAACCGGGAAGAAATCGAAGCAATTATCAATAAAGCGCTCGACTAGGAAAGGAGAAGCGGGGCGACCTTTGAGGCTAAGAAGACAGCTATCATACATTTCGCTCCCAAGATATATAAATCAGACCATAAGTCGTTTATCATCAAGGGGCAGACAGTTGTGCCCAAAGACCACGTCAAGATCCTGGGTTTGTTAATAGACACAAGACTGAAATACAAGGAATATATTGCGAGGGCCGCATCCAAGGGCCTAGAGGCAGCGATAGAGCTTCGGCAACTTCGGGGCCTCTCCCTAGCAACAGCGCGGCAGTTATTTACATCAACGGTGGCGCCGGTTATAGACTACGCCTCCAATATCTGGATACACGCGTGTAAGGACAAGGCCATGGGGCCGATCAATCGAGTCTAAAGAGTTAGAACACAAGCCATTATAGGGACGTTCCTCACGGTCGCGACCAGCATAGCGGAGGCAGAGGCCCACATTGCCACCGCACAACACCGATTCTAGAGACAGGCCGTGAAAATGTAGACGGATATACATACGCTACCTAAAACTAACCCTCTCCGCAGGGGTACAGACCAGATCAGAAAGTTCAGACGATATCATCGCTCGCCACTATACCACATAGCGGACGCGCTTAAGCACATCGACCTAGAGACACTAGAAATAATCAACCCGTTCACATTGGCCCCATACGATGAACGCGTGCAGATCAATGTTAATAGACAAGATAAGCCTCAGACTGAAGCGGGCGGACTAATGCAGATCGCGGTCAGCAGCTCGGCACAGAATGAGCTAGTAGGATTTGGAGTCGCAATCGAGAAACAACCTCCTCGAAATCGGAAATTAAAGTTCAAAACCTTTTCCGTCACATTGGGCGCGCAAGCAGAGCAAAACCCGTTCTCTACAGAGCTGGCAGCCATAGCACACATATTAAAAATAGTAGTGGGAATCAAAGACTACAAGATTACGTTACTCACAAGCAACAAGGCGGCGGCGTTCACGCTAAGGAACCCTCGACGACAGTCTGGCCAGGAATTTGTTTGCCAGATATACAAGCTGATAAGCAGGATGCGGAGGAATGGAAACAGCATCAAATTCCACTAGATCCCTACTACCGCAGACAACAAGCTATTAGGTCTGGCTAAAGAACAGGCCAGAACTGCAATATAAGAAGATACTCTCCCACAAGAACGCGTTCCGAGGATGAAGTCGACAACATTAAATATCGCACGGTCCCAAGCAGTCCCTAGCAATAAGCTGCGAGAGAACGTAGGAAGACACGCAAAACGAGTAGATGCCGCACTGCCAGGCAAACACACCCGGTAGTTATATGATCGCCTAACGTGGAAAGAAGCGACCGTACTGGCCCAACTCCGAACCGGCATAGCTAGACTTAATAGATATCTTAATCAGATTAATATAGCAGAGACCGATAAATACGATTGCGGATAAGCAAGAGAGACCGTGGAGCACTTCCTCTTCCGATATCGGAAGTAGACGGCGCACCGAACGGAAATGTTATAATACACCCAGACTTACCGAGGAAATATATCCTTCTTCCTGGGAGGAAAATAGCCTTCTGATGATCAGAAGTGGACGCTAAACCTAGAGGCAGTACGGGCCTCTATACGTTTCGCCATTGCGACGGGCCGACTCGAGGCCACTTGAACATATCAACGAACAGAACTCCCCACCCCATTCTTCCGACCCTACTCACCCACCACCTCGTGCTACAAACGGTAGACGCGCTTCAACTGCCGAAGATAGGATGTTGAACACTTGAAGAAGCGCCTTCAAGCCAGTCTACTAACTAATACTAACCCATAGGGTCCAACTATGAGATTGAAAGCTGAGAAGTCAATGCCGAAGGAAATACTGTATGGGCTCCAATGAGACACGGCGTATGCCTAAACATGCATGTACTGATAGATTAGTGATAGTTGCCCTTTCGGCTCAGCCGCCGGGCGTTAATGAATTGTGTGTGTGTACAGTACATGCAACGTTTAGACGGAAAGCTACTCAGTACTCGGATGATCCACTACCTCAAAATATTGGCATAACTTGGCTCCACCTGTGGTGGACATTCTGCCCGGGCCTGTGGATATGCACATATTTGATGTGTTGAATATTGATCACTGTCTTATATACGTTCAGCTCCTTTTCTTAGCTCTTTTCACCTGGGGCTTCCAATACGGCATGGGGCCATTGAACGGCACTCTGGTTATACAAATCAACGACACCCGAAAAACATTCAAAGTTTGAGCTCACGTTCAAAGGCACTATTTAATGTTGCCATATAATCTATTTAAACCTTTCAAAATCCACGCGAACCAACGCCAAGCAGGTTGTAGCTAAATTATTTCATGAATAGGGATTGCTTTCTTCACGTTTTCGACCCAGCGCCGAATGTCTTCTACGAAACGTCGAGCAATGCCCATCTTTATTCCCTTGCCGATGAAAAATCCTGGGTCTTGATCCTTGTAGACCTGCTCAAGGTCAAGACCATCCTCGAGCATCAAGTCACAGACTTGTCGAAATGCAGCCTTGAGAGTGTCATCAGTGACATTTGACACCTGCCACTCACTATATTCTCTGACGGCTTCGTCTCTAGATCCAGGGATCTCGAGCGGGCTTGAAGACTTCAAGTCAACAGCTTGGGCAGCCGAAATGTCAGATCCAGAGACCGAAGACTGCGAAGGCAGGACATTGATATTAATAGGAGGATACGGTACTCCATTTCCGATGATATGTCCACCTTTGCGATGGCTCTTCTCCAGTCTCTGCTGCTCTTCTATGAATAATTCCTCGTGTACCGTTTCCGGCACATCCTTGTGACCGTCCAAGATACCACCTTTTTCGACGTAGGTGACTAGGCGTCTCAAATAATGAGTTTTCAGTTGATAGTGCTTTTTTCCCCACTGGATCCACCCAGCAATAGGGGCCCCCAGGGCATGTCGACGAAGCGTATCGCATAAGATTATAAACGCTGCGCCAGACTGGCTTTTGTCCCGAGGTATCCTCCTCCGCATCCAGCTGGGCATCTCTTTCATCGAGCATCCTGCTTGTGACAGAGGATTTTCCTCTTTTCTCCACTTTCCGACTAACGGCTGCAGGGGAATGACGATTGTCTACATAGTTGAAACAGATTTTCAGTGTGAGTTCCTTACCACTGGAGAACAGACCCGACCACATCAGGAGCTGCTTTTCGATGGTATTCCAAATGATTTCGGTGTCGTCAAATCGTTTAGTCAGATTGCGCTGTGTGCGATCATTCACTGAAACGACAATGGCAGTGTCATCAGCTCTTACCATGCGATGGCGGGCAATTTTACGCCGAAGGACCTTCTCTAGCTTAGCTTCTTCTCTAAGAACAGCTGCCAGTAGGCACTAGGAGCCAAAACGAGGTCTTCCTCCGTGTCCTTAGACACCTCCCGGTTGTTAACGGCCACTCGCCACTCTATACGGTAGTGAATACAGGTCGGCGGGTCCTGGTTGTAATCTCTTCCATCCTCCCATTCGGACAACTGGAGCAGCCTGAGAGTATCTGGTTGTGACTGATTCTCAAGCCCACCAGGCGAGGAGGGACTGTAGTTGGACCGCGTTGCGTAGGGACTGCCAATGTATCCAGGGGTTGGAGCGTACAGCGAATTGTGTTCCCATGGCTCAAACACTTCGGGTTGAGATATGGAACCGACGTGATATGGGCTCTGCGACATCTCTACACACGATTACAGCCTTGAAAGACCCATGTCAGCTTCTCCGGGTACAGTATACGCTGATAACGAACGAAAATCGCAGTAGATTAACAGGAATCATGGAAACAAGAAGCATGTTTTCCTACCGGGTTACCTCTCTATGGTACCACCGCAGCCTTCTATTGGGTATCAAACGATTGTAGGCGAAGGCTGCCTGTAATGAGTAGACCGACAAGTGGGAGAGTGGGAGATGAATCTTGCCAGAATGTTTAGGATTCATCTTTTGTTTGGTTTGTTTGCATGAAAGATTCGAATTGATTCTACAGGAATTTACGGTACTAAAACAATGACTTATTTAATATTACCGACGAATACAATACCGTCCTACAGGGATTACAGGGGGAGGTCTAAAATTAGATTAGCGTGTTTTGAGTCAGGGTTTGGGAATGGATTCGAGAGAGTGTAGTGGTAAAGCTGATTTCGAATATTGCTGTATTGTGCGCAGCTGTACGCATGGAGAGGACGACTGTACCTTTCCTACACAATTGGATCGACTGTACAGCGCGAGCGACGTTGTGATTAAGATTATTCTGATATAAAACTGCGACGTTGTGTACCGAGCGGGAACTAACCCCCTGACCGATGGCGGACCCACATGCGGGAGGGCCCGAGAGCCCTCCCACAAACACTCAAGAAAGCACCGACGGCTTCACTAGGGAAGACCTCGCAACCAGAACCACCGTCGAGAACCGGAAGCGAACCCGGAGTGGAGATGCCTTCAGTCCTTCGGATCCAGCCGGTCGAATCACCACCAAGGAGGTGTGGAAACTGATCGGCATACTAAAAGACGTCATCCACCATCAAACCGCGACCATCGCAGCAACCTAACAGGAACTCCAGGAGGTCAAGCACAACCAGCATGTTCTCCAGGAACAGAACGAGAAGCTATACGATAAGGTAAAGGCGCTGCAGACACAAATCGAGACCAACCCCCCGGCGACAGCAACCAAGACCTAGGCCGCCGTCGCGGCGGAGGGCAGCAATAGCGCCTCCCTGGTGAACCCCTAACGACCCGAGAGAGACCAGGATTACGTCAGAATCAGTACCTAGAGGACCTTTGTAGACCCACAAGATAACGATAGTAGCGATAGAAACACGTTCGGACAATATCTCCCCGTCGATACCACCAACAGCTATATTCGTACCGCGTTGCAGAGCGATACTGCGACCCAAGATACCCAAGTAGCCGGTATCGGCACTACCAAAACCGGCTATATTATTCGATTTAAGAACACGGAATCAGCCGAGATAGCCCACAGAAACACAGAGTGGCTATACAAGCTAGGCAATAATATAAGGCTAGTGAAGCTACAATTCAGGGTTATTGTATACCGGACCCCTACAGAGGAATTTAATATTAAGACAGGGGTCGCCTAGGTAACAGAGAAAATCATCGCGGAAAACGACCAAGCGGATCACAGCTTCTATATTAAGGAACTAGCTTAGATAAAAGCGAAGGATAAGACCCTAGGGAAGTTCACGTTACTAGGAATCTAGTTCGATTCCCCAGAGGGAGTGGAATATATGCTTCGAAAAGGGTTCCTTATCAGCGGACAACTCATCACCAGTATTAAACGACGCGAAATCAAGAAGAAGAGGTGCTTCCGGTACCAACGGTTCGGTCACCTAGCGTGGTTATATAAGGAAATACCATAATACAGACATTATATAGGATAATACGAGCGGGAGCGATACCCGCCTGGAGTAAGAGCCCGGTATCTAGATTATAGTGGTAAACACCCTATAGGCGATTGAGAGTGCCTAATACTATTAACCTCTAACCCTACTAGATGCTAGAGAAGAACCTCTGTATCCTACAGTTAAATATAATGAAATTAGGACTAAGGATAGAGGTACTAATTAACAATCCCTAGAGCCTAGATCTAGATATTCTACTAATCTAGGAACTATCTATTACTACCTACCGAACGTATATCAACCACAGCGCCTAGCGTTTATACCGACCTATAACTCTAACTAACACCGTTCGATTTTATAGCTTACTCTATATTAATCGAAGAATTTCTACCTTATCATATCGCTAACTACTATACAACTACCTAGATATCGCAGCCATTAAGATCTAGACAGCCGATTCCTAAACGCTGGTATTTTCAGTCTATATACCTCTAGTACCACTTTTCACAGGTAATAACTTATCAGTATTACTAGCCCTTATAACGATATAAAACTCTATTATAAGCGCCATATAAAATAAGCAGTGCGCGATAAGTATTATTATTTCTAGTGATTTCAACCGATACCATCTAATATAGGGCAATAACTATATCGCTCCTAGATTTATTAAAGATACTAGCGACCTAATCGATTTCTTCTAAGCCTATAACCTCTATAGTTATCTCCCTTAAGGGACAGCGACTTACTAAGCATTTAATAACCCTAGACAGAACTCGACCATTAACTAGACGGTAACAGATAACCTAGACTTACTTATCAAATACTATCTATATCACAAAAACTATAGATCTAACCACTGTACTACCTATTTAGAATAGAACCTTCAACCCTAGAGTAGGCTAAATACTAAAGTAAGGAAGGCATATAAGTACATAGACTAGACTAGGATCGGCAAGGAAGTAGCCTAATAGATAAACCTATAGAAGTAGATTAAGACCCAGCTAATACTCGACTAGGTAGTAGAAAACCTTATAGTAGTAACGGCCTAGGCAGTCGACTAGTTCACACCTAATATATACCCTATACCATACTCTAAGCGATGGTTTACACTAGATCTTAAGACCTAATAAGTTAAAGTCAACTAACTGCGAAGGAGGTAGTAGGTAAACTGCGCTAAGCTAAGAAGAGAGTATACTAATACCATAGCTACCTTCGAAGCTATATAGTAGAAATAACGAGTATAGATAAGGACTATCGAAAAAGCTAAGTCCTCACACTAGAAGCAGTTCCTAGATAAAGCTAGTAAAAGGAAGCTCTGGAAGGCTACGACATACATAAAGCCCTAAGAGACATAGGATTACATCCTAGCACTGCAAGTAGGCTCAGAGGAGTACACCTAAAATAAAGAGAAAGCGAAGACATTCCTAGATACATTCTTCCCTGCCATAAGTCCACCCGAGTTTAACCTACCTACTATACCGGCGACAGAACTCCTGTAGTACCTAATCACAGAACTAGAGATTAAGTAATCACTAAAAGCAGCTAAAGGGAATACAGTACCTAGGGAAGATACCTTACCGATACTAGTTTAGAAGAAGCTTTAGGGGTATCTTAAGGCCTTTATTATTAGTATCTTCACAGCGAGTATAGAGCTAGGGCACCATCCAAGACAGTAGAGGAATACAAAAATTATTATCCTACGAAAACTAGGCCAGCCTGATTACTCAAAACCTAGTACCTACCGCCCAATCTCACTTCTTAATACACTTGGCAAGCTCCTAGAGGCAGTGATAGCCCAACAGTTATCCTATCTAGCGGAGAAACACAGCCTACTACCAAACAGCTAGTTCGGCAGACAGCCGGGTAGGACCACCGAGTAAGCCCTACTAGTGCTATCCAGTACAATCGATAAAGCCTAGTATAAGCATAAGGTAGTGACCCTAATTGCCTTCGACCTTAAAGGTACCTTTAACAGAGTAAATAAGATAAGCCTAGATACGTCGCTATAGGCAAGACAGATCCCAATTATGGCCAGAAAATAGATTACAAGCTTTATAAGCGACCGGTATACTAGTATTAGGTTTAATAACTTCTGCTCTAAGACTACTCTACTATTGAATGCTAGGCTAGCTTAAGGATCACCACTTTCCCCCATCTTATTTACATTCTTTAACGCCAACCTAGTCGACCAGCCCATCGACTCCTAGGGAGGTACATCGGCATTCATTAACAACTACTTCCAATAGAGAGTAGGGGGCTCAGTTCAAGAAAATTTAACTAAGATACAGTCCAAGGATATCCCTCATATCGAAAAGTAGGCACAGAGAACTAGATCCTACTTCGCGGTAGAGAAAACCAAGCTTATCTACCTCACTAGAAAGAGGGGAGAGCATATAGAAGGACAAATTATCTTCAATAGGACCGACGTTAAGCTATCGCCTACAGCCAAATTACTAGGAGTAGTATTCGACCAGGGACTTCGCTAGAAGGAATATATCCAGTAGGCTATCAAGCGCGCTACCAAGACCACAATCGCCTTAAGTAGACTACAACACTTACGCCTAGAGCAGATATAACAGCTCTACCAAGCATATATCGCGCCTATAGTTAACTACATATCGACGGTCTAGCATAACCCACTTAGGGACAAAGTTTATACCCAATACTTAAACATAGTCTAGAGAACCGTGCTAATCAGAACCCTATCGGTGTTTAGGACGGTAGCAACCGCGACCCTAGAGGTTAAAGCCTATATACTTCCTATATACCTTCGCCTTCGCCACCGAGCGTAGCGTATAATTACAAGACTATACACTCTACCTTGCAACCATCCCATTTAGAGTACTCTATTAAGAGCCTAGAACCGTAGGAATAATATCGGATTATACACCCACTTCCTATTAGCAGAAGCGCTAAAGACTATAGACATTAATAGGCTTAATGAACTAGAGACGATTAACCTACACCCGCTACCACTGTGGCGAAAGGATGCCTTCACAGAGATTAAGCTTAAACCCAACCGAGAGATAGCGAGAGGAAGGGCGGCATCCATAAAGGACACGTCAGATATCGTCGTCTACTCAGACGCCTCCGGGCATAAGGGTTATCTAGGAGCCGCTATCGTCGCCCTCAACGATAAGGATAAGGTAATAGAATCTTAATAGGTACAAGTAGGGTCGATAGAATAGTGGTCGGTTTATATAGCGGAACTTATAGGGATCTTCTACACAGTTAGTATAACATTTAAATTAGCTCACTAACGTGTAATCGTTAGAAACCAAAGGCAAGTAATAGTAACAATCCTTTATAATAGCAGATCCGCTTTATAAGTAACCCAGAACGTAAGAAATAGATTAGGGCAACAAATCATCTATACAATCCTCTAAGTAGCTACCGAGGTTCAAGTAAGGTATATAGCCCTCCACCTCTAGTAGATACTAGGATATTGTAGAAACGTTAGGAATAAGGCAGCGGATCGACTTACTAAAGAAGCCGCGCAACTGGGCAAAACCTATCCTTTCCAGCCGCTACTAACAAGAGAGAACGCCTTCCTCTACGGCAAGATCCATACTCAGTAGGAGTAGGAGTAGAATTCAAGCACTAAAGGCGCGTACCTACAGAAGGTAGACGGCGCGCTACTAGCGAGGCACACTAGAAAACTATACAGGAACCTACCTAGGAACCGAGCATATTTACTCACTCAGCTACGCACAGGCCACAACTGGTTATCTACCTACGCCAAGAGACTCGGCTTCCGTGACAATAATCGATACGAGTGTAGCGCGCAGGAGACGGTCAACCACGTATTACTAGAATGTCCAAATCTACGAGACTTACGGACAGAATTAAGAAGAAATGTCGGGGACGCGATAAATAGCGTGTCGAGTCTGCTAGGAGGCTTAAACGAAGGTAAGAGAGGTGAGCCAGACACTGTCTCAAGGGCGAAGACGGTTCAGGCCGTATTGGACTTCGCCGAGGCATCACAGCGGTTTCGCAGTCGTGCGCCACAAGGGAAGCCTAACAACGGGAGCGGCAATGGGCCAGGGTAGGCCGTGACGAGGCGCTAAGTTCCTGTCAGAAAGTGGATCACTCTATATGTACATTATCCATGATTTATAGTTGTTGTATCCTGCATATCGTTCGCGAGGGGACAGGGTAAATGAATTCTACTACTACTACTACTACTACTGCTGCTGCTGTATTGTGCGGAGCGGTCGCTACTGTATATTCTCGGGTACTGTACATGTCCAACCTGGACATAGAGGTAGTATTCGGACCGGTCGCTACTGTATCGGGGGGGCTACTGTACTCCATTGAGTGGTCGCTACTGTAGAGAACAAGGCGCGTCTGTACCTGCGGAGACCATGGGGATGACCACGAGAAGCCAGCGGGTGGGGCTGGACCCTCAGCTTCCAGAGCCCCCAGCCCGTCGCCCATCTCCCATCCTCGAAGCCGCAAACCCCGCAATCTCACCCGAATACCCCAACGTTGAGGACTTTTCTCTCACCGAGGATGATTCTCACGATAAGGATTACTTTCTCGTCTCAATCACCTACGACTACTCCACCATCACAGCCCGAGCTCGTTCGTTCCAAGGAATAGTGCTTGCTGGGGCCACTCCGCTCCAACTAGCCCAGAATGGCTTCTATTACCGACCTTCAGGAGTTAGCAATATGGCATGCTGTTTTGCCTGCCAATCGACCAAGCACTTATCCACCTTCCAATGCACCCCGTTCGAGGAAGTGCAACAACTACACGAGGAAGACTGCATATGGCAGATAATCTCGTGCGATTTAAAACACCACCTCGGAACTCCTAACAGACCCCCCTCCCTTAACCACCGCATTCTCCTCCCCTAAACGGTCAACTCCTACCGCCGATTCCAGTACACAAACTACAGACGACTCCAGTACAAAGACTCAAACTCAATCCACGCCGATTACATCTACTATAGCGAAGGAACGGTTGAACACTAACCTGGACTGCCGTTCCAATCCGCTACCCGCCATAATAGACCCAGAGCCTCAACAACCTCCAACAGCCCACTCTCCCCAGCCTCATCAAACGATACCGTCTATCACTTTCTCGCCCCAAAACCAACAAACAACGTATGCTTCCGTCCTCCAGCGACCTGTCACATCTATACCGCAACCGACTCCTCCAGTACAAGAACCTTTTCTTCCCGCCAACCCCATACTCACAATTGAAGATCTTCATCTTCGTTTTCACAATAAACCGTCACCGTTCCATCTCGAGAATAAGACAAGCTAACGCTCAATCAAACGAACTCGGAACAAAACTGCATCTGTCACTCAGTCACTGTCCAGATTCTTAGCCTCTGCTTTGCCCGCATTCTCGCGGTTCCTAACAGAGATACAGCCAAAACCGGATACTTCGTATCCGTCTCATCCGCAATTCCACTATAGCCGCGCCATAAGGGCAGCCTAACAATGGAAACGGCAATTGGCCACGATAGGCCGTGACGAGGCTCTAAGTTCATGTCAGAAAGTGGATCAATCTATATGTACATACCCGGATATATAGTCGTCGTATACTGCATATCGCTTTGCGAGGGGTCAGTGTAAATGAATACTACTACTACTACTACTGCTGCTGCTGCTGCTGCTGTATTGTGCGGCCCATGCATGGCCGTTTTTTATAGAATCACCCGAACCACGACGAATACCATGACCTTTCCGCAACCTCTGTACGATACTCCGTAGTGGTGTATGCACGTGACTCTGCTGGCTTGTAGATTGATTGGCTATTGATGGCGAGTTTGTGGCATCCAGCCTCGCTTCTCTAGATAATTGGGAGATAACAAGCCAGGCCACGGATCCTTTCCTCCATAGAACATATTACTGTAGCCAACGATGTAGAGAAGTGAATCTGACAAATGAATACAACCACTTCGAGGGGTACGGTATAAGTTCCCGCGTAAAGCTAATGGATCAGAGAAACCAATGTATGATTGGGGATTGGGTACTCTGGGTATCTTTCTCCACCTTGGAGTAGCATGGCTGACGTTCACTTCATCATAAGCTCGTCCTTGGTGCAGCGACCTCATCTGTTCGCATCCTAAGGGACGAAATCAACCCATAGAAGCTTCTGGAGCATTGGTTGTCATAGTCGCAGCTGTATTGGCCGTTTTCGATTATGTACAACTGGAAGCAAACCAATAAGGACTTTGTTGCTTTAGGGTGGAGAAATGAGTAACTAAAAGCCAATTGTATTCCTGCTACAATACCATCATGCCATTGGCCAGCTGTTACTCCTTTCTCCACCTTGGGGTAACGAGCTCTCCAGACGTCGAAAAAAGAGCGGGGCTGTAGGCTTAACACTTAATACTTTTTCCCTCTTCTCGTATTTGGTCAGGCCATGCCATGCCAGATTGATACTCCTGGTCGAAAGGGCCAGCAAGTATCATGCACAAAACCGGACCAGTGGGTATAGTACCCAGGTCCGTTTCAGTCAAGAAGTTTGTGGCATTTGATTGGAGAGTCCTGGCTTCCTCTACTTGCCGGACCCTCTAGTCTGGCCGGACCCTCTAGTCTTGCTGGACTCCCTAGTCTTGCTGGACTCTAGAGACTCTTGCTGGACTCTCTACTCTTGCTGGACTCTCACTGTAGGCTATAAATCATGTCGTGCCCCAGAAACAAGGCCCTTCATAGCCATAGATCTTATGGGCTACCGTGCAAATTAGCTGGCCCGGCAACAGCTGCAATACTTTAGAGGACCTAGGCACGCTATTAGTTGTTGTCAGGGTTATACATGAAGTATACAGGATGAATGGAGACTTGAATTACGGGATCCATATTATGCATATGAGTTCCCCTTGAACACGAAGAAGGCTGTCTCTTTTGCTTCCTCACGCTACGTTTTGGTATCTAGAGTCAACTATAGTTGTTCTTACTGTAATATCGATTGTTCATCTCGAGACACTATTCACCTCTTTACATACATCAGACCCTCACAATTGTTCCTAGAAGTAGTAACCCAAGCTCCCAGGATGCCACCTCTCGCTCCCCGGAGCTATATAGTCCACCCCCGGGAGCTGTAGACCCTCTATAATTCCTACTCCTGGGAGCAATCAATAGCGTTCCTGAGAACCATGCCATGGATCCTGGGGTCGAATATGATCCTAGAAACGTGAGGGTCTCACAACATAAAATGTGGGATCTGTGATCAATATTAGGAATACAAATTGAAATGCGTGTAATAAGTGTGGGCAATAGAAAGAAGAGGTGATTAACTGGGCAAAAATATCGTGTAAAGACACCGCTTGAAGAGGAATGATGTTGAACGATATATTAATAGAAACGGTTACTTAAGAGTTGACTCAACGACGATTTCCACGACATATACTGTATCAGTAGAATAAACGAAACATCATCGACTAGCCGATGAATGGAGAAAACATGAGGGTCAACGGGCAAGCAAACTTGTAGCTGGTGATTAAACCGACTATTTGGTTGTCTTAGAAATCTGAGTACAGCATGGTCGACAATAACAAATAAACGGATTCATTCATTTTCTTGTTAGATATAGTGAAAGAAGTAGGGTGTTTATTGAATATTATTGGCCAGACAGCAGTCTCCACTCTAAACCACGCGCATTTCCTAATACCCAGACACCCCCCAAGTCTACAGCAAGAATTTATTTCACCCTGCTACCCAAGTAAGATGTCCTCTTGGCATGCCCACTTTCTTGCCATATTCCCAAGGCCTCCGATCCAAGTCCCCTTCCTGTCCTAGTACCTTGCTTACAGTATTATTTTGTGAAAATAAAAATAAAATAAAAATAGAATAAAAAAGGCTCTAAAGGCCAAAACCTCAGGCTAGCTACGCTGTGTGCAGTTGACCAAATTTTCCAAAGCAGACATTCATTGTTTACGGTTGGCTCTCAAAATCAGACCAAGACTTGATGCGTTCTTCGGACACCATTAATTGCTTTGAAAGAACCAAGCTCCCTCCCTTTTGTGCTAGGCGTTAAAATGGGCGTGGCAATAAATTTGTTAGGCACATTTTACGTTCATCACCTGTTGGAGTGACCGTTTCGGAGTTTTGCTGGTCATAAACTCGGAACCCGCAGTTTCTGGAACGCGGATTCCTCGATCGCCTCTAGGTGTGGTTTTCAACGCAAATTCGTTGCCTGCTGTGAACACATCACAGTTTCAGGTGTTCGTTGTTCATAAACTCTAAAGATCACGGTTTCTAGAGCATCACTCCTTTTCAACGCGAAATCCCATAAACATGAAGAGGGCCGTTGTTTTTGTACCTTTTGTAGCCTTAAGAATCCCTGAGAGCCACTTAGTCTATACCTACGACTATTTAGTGACCTGTTTCCTTCAGTCTTTTCCAACAGTAACGCGTCTCTTCATATGGCTTCCGCATCTACCACCCGGTCCAATCGATCTACATCGGTCAGAAAGTCCAAGCGCCAGAAACAAGGCCGTCGAAAATCAAGCCTTATGAAAAAAGCGGCCGAATACAGCAAGATGTGCGATGCTGATGTCTGTGTGGGCATACGCCTTCGGGAAACCGGCCAAGTATTTATCTTATCAGCAGATGCTTCGGGATTTTGGGCTTTCCTTGGCTCGCAACTAGTATGTCTCCAACTATGTCTCTGATGAAAAGTCGACTGACCTATCAAGAACTCCTACTATCCAGCCCCGAGACTAGTAACCGAGCAGGATCTGGAGCTAGTTGATAAAGATACACCGGAGCAACGTACATGAAGTCATGGCAGCACTTCCATCAGACTAGAAACTTTGCAATTAATTCAGCGACTTAAAACTACCATTTATGGCTTTTTTTCTAATAGTTCAAGTTACTGAGCGTAAAGCACGATAAGTTGTGGTTCCGACGTGGATTGATTCTCAATACGCAAGAGTTCTCTATACATAGTAGGTTCTGAAGTCGGTCACAGCTACTTATCGGCCCGAGGAATTAAGGGAATCTAGATAGCCTATGTGGTCGGTTTATCGCGCGTGTACAATTCACTGTCGTAGAGACAAGGCGATTTCTATATGTATGAATAAGCCCGTATATGCATTGATGGGAAGCTCTCGTGAGGTTTGCAGAAAAACTTTACACTGTGAGCTTCAGTAACGTTGCATGGATTCTATTAATTATTATGGAGAACTGTTATTGGCCAACATAGTACGAGAAGGCGGGTTGGATTGGGGGCCTGGGAAATATGGCATAAAAGTGGACATGTCACGGACTTGTCTAAGAGAAAAACTAACTTGGGTAGCAGGGTGAAATAAATTCTTGCCGTAGACTTGGGGGGTGTCTGGGTATTAGGAAATGCGCGTGGTTTAGAGTGGAGACTGCTGTCTGGCCAATAGTATTCAATAAACACCCTACTTCTTTCACTGCGCTTAACAAGGACATGAGTGAACGATTTCGTTTATTTCGACCAGGCTGTACTCAGATTTCTGAGACAACTGACTAGTTGGTTTAATCACCTGCTGCAAGTTTGCTTGCCCGTTGACCTCATGTTTTCTCTATTCATCGGCTAGTCGATGATGTTCCATTTTATTCTACTAATATATGTCGTGGAAATCGTCGTTGAGTCAACTCACCAAGTAACCGTTTCATTTTACCGTTCATCAATATCATTCCTCTTCAAACGGTGTCTTTACACGATATTTTTGCCCAGTTAATCACCTCTTCTTTCTATTGCCCACACTTATTACACGCATTTCAATTTGTATTCCTATTGATTACTTATTCCGGAGCCCACGTTTTATGTCGCGAGACCTCTCACGTTCCTAGGATCATATTCGAATCCAGGATCTATGGCATGGTTCCTAGGAACGCTATTGATTGCTCCCAGGAGTAGGAATCATAGTTGTCAAGGATATAGATGAAGCATGCGGAACGGATGGAGATATGATCCGCACGGGACCCACATGATGTACATGGGTTCCCCTGAACGCGAGGAAGCTACCTTTCTTTTGCTTCCTCGCGCTACGTCTTGCATCTAGAGTCAACTATAGTTGTTCTTAATATTGATTATTCATCTTGAAACACTATCCACCTTTATGTATACGTGAGACCCTCACAATAGTTCCCTGAGACCTCCAGCTCCCGGGGGTGAACTGTATAGCTCCAGGGAACGAGGGGTGGTATCCTAGGAGCTTGGATCCTACTTCTAGGAACAATCTATAGCGTGCCTAGGAGCATAGAAACTAGGACCAGATATCATCTCTAACTGATCCAGACCTCACTGAATTTTAGATCAAGAAGGCGAACCAAACGCCACCGCTGTATGAGGCGCAGGAATATATGTATTTAGTTTTGAGTCTTGTCTAGAAATATGAAGTCCGACTTATGACCTTTGTACGAACATGAGCTATGTAGTTACAGGAGAAACGTCTCAGGACAGTTTACCACCCGAGAGGCATCTCTTAATTCAGCATATGTAATGTAGAAAGAATTTTATGTGTTTCACTATAAGAAGGCGATCACGACAATACTATCCCAAGAATCATGATAACTTGAAAAGAAGGTATTAAGAGCCTTGTTTTAAGAGCGGGATCCTCTTGTGACGATCCTCTTGAGAGCAATACGTTCACGTGAGATATTACCGAAGAGCACAAGCCTTACAAGAGGCTATACGTCATAGTTCCACCAAGTATTCTAATCCAATCAAAGGAGCCTCCACGTTATAATAATCCATATATCATATTCGGCCCCTTGTAAGGTCTAGCCTACGAAATTCGTCTTCCCTGCCTATTACCATTGCTTATAGACTGGTCGTACAATGACCCAGTCATACAAGAGTTTGTATTTATTCCGCCAAGATAATATAGCTACTCCAAGGTGGGGAAAGGAGTAGCGATGAACCAATCAAATAAGTTCGGCCAGATTTATCTTTAAACCACATGTTTCCTGAGTCACAAAATTTCACAGCCCTCGCGAATTATTGTTGTAGTCTTTTTTGAGCTCTGTTTCAGCGCTACGCGGAGATTCTCGAGAAGTTGGACGAGCAAAGCACCATCTTGCTGGACACAATCCTGCATTTGTAAAATAGTTTCCGGCGATCGTCACCATCTTCCTTCATTCTTCACGTTCTCGATCCGATGTCCAATAGAAATCCGGTTAGCCTACTGAGCATGGTTCTCTACGACGCTGTTGCAGCCTCCTATAAGACGTCAATCAAGTGTAGCCGAAGGCTGCATATAAGGGGCAGACCAAAATGCAAGAGAGTGGACATGGATGGATTTTGCCAGGCTGTTATAATTCTTTCTTTCTTTGTTCTATTTGCATGGAAAATTTGGATGTATTTTACACAATATTACGGTATTATAACAAAGGCTCATTGTCGCTACCAGCGAATGCGAGACAGCCCTACGGTGATTATCAGTGGGTTAAAATTAGATTCGCGTTTCTCGAGTCAGTTTTGGGAATAAATCGCAAGTGTAGGAAGTACTGTATTTCGGGGTAGGCGGGGAAGATTGTGAATTATGTTGTCATGGTTCCACCTCTTGGGACTGAGAGACGTAATTATCGTGGTACTGGCTGCCGCTTATATCTACGCGATCAAAAGCCCTAGAGGTCTGTCAGCGAAGTGGGTGGGGTGCTACCAGCAGTGATTAGACACGCCCAATAATATAGCGACGAAAGGGAGTAAAGCCATGGGAAGCATAAAAATGAACCATATTGGCCTGCCGGGTTACTTCCTCTACAGCAGTAGCAGAGTCTCCGACATGAAAGAGATGTAGACTGGCCGGGGAAGAAAAGGAAAAAAGGAAGATGGCTTAGATCAAGCTAGATTTCCGGATCTCCCCACCTATTTAAATATCTTCTAGAACATTCGAAGGTAATTTACAATAACCGATTAGACAGGAAAGCCTGACACGTTCATCCGAGAAACTCTAGCAACGGGAAAGGAAAATATCGTTGGAGATTATTCTTGGCAGCTTTGGGGTAGCTAAACATGGTCTCAAGGGCAGCATGGGTGTTGGACCAGAATCTCAGATATCGGGATAGGAGGGACTTACCAGAGAGTAGGGACTTACCAGAGAGTAGGGACACACTGGAGAGTAGCCTTCAGGGCGCAAAGCGAGGCTCGCTGAAATCAAAAATAGTGACTCTCGTTTCATCGAAGGGTTCTGTGGAGGCTGTACACTTGTGGGGAAGACATCGAAATGTATAATTCAGATTGTTGATTGTCGAAAAAGCTAATACTGAAGAAAGCTATGTAATACGGAGGAACTCCAATATCCTTGCTAACACATGTTACCTAGGGCAGATTGTATAAGGATGATATCCCGTACGCGTTCCGGCAGGGATACATGGTTCGAGATAGGTGGAGCATTGAGCCGCGAAGCAGCCATTCTGATCGAGAACGCCCTGCAATATTAGCTGATTTCGGATGTATAAGCGGACAGTCTTTGTGCTTACAGAAAAGAAGGGCCGCTTGATATACCCTGGTCTCTGCTTGATAAATCACTACGTCAGTCATTAAGCCTATGAAAAAATAATAATAGACCCACTCATATACGGGAGTCTTCAATCATGGAACGCGAAAAGACCACGATATTCAAAGTACTACACGAAAATCGGTCCTTTGTGTGTTGAACCTATAAAGGCAGACCCCGCATAAATGGAAGGGCAACAATTACTGGTGTTATTTGCGGTCATCAAATAGGTGCGGTAACGTGAAACGACCGTACTTGTAACGTTATTGACATATTGCCCGCTATACCTTTTACGTGTCTGCAACGTCACTACAGCATACTTTCAGCACTAGCAAATCCTTGAACCGTCGGGCATCATGTTGATACACGATAAAATATAACGGTTAGGAGTTGACCGAATCATTGATACCCTACTAAAAGTTAAAAGGTCAACCAACGGGCAAGAGAAGATTTGCAAAACAATTGATTGTCACAGAAATCTGACTACAAAAAGAATAAAAAACCAATTAACTCATTTATCTTTCAATAAACGTGGTGAAAGAAATAAGGTGTTTATTATGTATGATTGGCTAGGGAACATACTCCACTCATCAAGTGAATTTCCTAATACCCAGGCAACCCCCCAAAGTCTGGTGTAAGAATTATTTCATCCTACCAACCTAGAAAAAATCCTCCATAGCATGCCAACTTTTATGCCAGATTCCACAGGCATCAAATCCAAGCCAGTAGTTCCCCCTACAGTACGGAAGGGGGCTGAGATTTGAGGTAGAGTGCCGCTTGGCTAATAATATTCAATGATTAGGCCTTCTTTCTGTTGCCGCTCTTATTGCCCGCGTTCTAAAATTTGTATTTCTAAAATTGGTTATAGCTATGTATTCTAGACCCCCTTACTAGGACTCTCATTCCTAGGATCTATAGTATGGTTCCTAGGCACGCTCTTGGTCGCTCCTAGGGATCAGACTTAGAGTTGCTCGAGGACACGAGGTGTTTCTGGGATCACTTGATCCGTGCCTAGGAGCGCGTCTGGCGTTCCTGGGCTGTGGTTGGTTCCGGGGAACTCGATCGGCATTCCCGGGAGCCCCACATCTTGTTCCTAGGGTTCATGGGTCCAAGTCCTGTCAGGTCGTACGACCATGGCCCATGATCCTGGCGAGCCCTCTGGCTGCCAACTGGCGTCCCTCCTAGTCCCAGGCCTGGAGATGTGCGTCCGTGGTTAGGGAGCTGCGACCGCAAGGCCTTGGTTCTAGGCCCCGTGATCCAGAACAGTTGACTCAAGGCGAATTACCGACAGCCGTGGACGCAGGTCCACATTGGACGTACGTCCACGGCTCCTAATCTAGGTGGGTTTTGTAACTGTCAACTGGCGGCCACCCTGGCTTAGTGACCATAAGGGTCCTCGGTCTTCTGACTACGGTTTATATGGGTCACAGGGTAGTGAGTCCCTATTCTCCAGTGTGTCCCTACGTAAATCACCTTCTCTTTGCAAGTTCCTGGAAAGACGTGAATTATTCCTAGCTATCAAGGAAATACATGAAGCATACAGGGTGAATCAAGATATGATCCGCGGGACCCACATGGTGGGGTTCCCCTGAACGCGAGAAGCATATCTCGTTTGCTTTCTCGAGCTACGTCTTCTATCTAGAGTCCACTATAGTTGTTCTTTATATCTATGTATACGTGAGACCCTCACACTAGATGTGACCGTTTATGGATGCTTGGGTTTTACCACTACGCCATCTGGCCAAAAGGCACAATGTTTGGTCAGCGACCAAACACCCAAGCTACTCGATCTCTGACACCCACCTCTGGGAATCATTTGTTAATTCTGGGGAGCCCTCGTGATCCCAGGAATCGTACTCAGGGGATTAGGAACGGATGTAAAAAGTGTGGGTGACCCCACTGATCCACCGGCACCGATCTTGCTAAACGCTAAAGTCCAGGGAACACACTCTAGTTCTTGGGGGCTATACAGTCCATTCCCAGGAGCGGTAGGTCCTCTGGGTATGTCAAGGATATACATTAAGCAGTCCATTTCACTGTGCGCATTTTCTTTGTTACCACATTCACATTTGACATGCGTTGATCGAGACTTTCGAAGGCCTCGGCAATGCGCGCATTGCGAGACTGGGCGCCCTTTCTTTTTGATATGCAGCAGGGGATTATCTGCCTCGTATCAGCCTCGGACCATACACAGTGGACGAAAAGCGGAAGCCGAGAGTGACGTACCGCTGTGCTGGCAGCTGTTTGCACGATCGCCTCGAACACAGGCCCTGCACGCCCACTTCTCTCCTTGAATCAGCATCGCCGATTCACTGGGACAACAATATCCAAATAGGCAAACGAGGAACAGAGGGATCGTAGGAGTTAACAATATGGGAAGTAAAACAGAGAGTTGTAAAGCAGTGGCAAAGACAGGATGAATTGGATGGTTTTTAAGATGGATGGAGGTCATCGGCGGCTGAAGAACCGGTGGAGACGATGTGGTAAAGTTCCAATGGCGTAATGAAGCACCAGCCACCAGCCAATTGTGGCGATACAAGGATGGGACAGGGAGGGCATGGACATGGGGCACGCAATTATCTGCATGACTTCGCGGTGGACCTATCATATTATTGTTTCCCTTGCTATCTTGCATGCTTGCCACGCGTCGCGCTCCTCACACCGTCCGTTTGCTAGTTATCTATGGCCTCGATCACACTTGTTGAGTGTGATAAGAATCCAAGAGCAACCCATAACTAGGTAGCTAGCTTAGGGAGATTCCAGGACCTGATCTACAGCTCATCATTTTCAGTGGACATGAGTTTTGCCAAGCAAGATGATTACACCACCATTACCTAAAGCACAGACCCATTTTTATGATTTTACTGCACTAAATACCTATCCAGGTTGAGCGCCCATGGAACACGGGCAAGTCTCGCGAACCTGGTTGTGTGTGAACTCCTCCAGACCAACCAACTCAGCGACCGTGTAAAGACTCGGTAACAAGGAGCCTAGAAGGACAGGCTTTCTAGACGGCGGTGCTTGGGCTTCATGTCATTGGGTACGAGATAGCCGGTTGCGGCTGCAGCGTGAAATACGGAGAAATTATTGGCCACTTATCACCCTAGCATCGCTGGCCCCATCAGTAAACTCGGCTTCGTATTGATCGACACGCCACAACCAATGAAAACCAAGCGATCCTAATAGTATCTCATTATCTCATTATTGATGATTTGCACGTGACCCACGCAATTTCGTGACTCTCGGTGGCACCTGTGTATGAACAGCCACTCAAGTAGTTTGACTATCGCCGGGGTCATAACAGCCAATCCAGGTTGTCCAACTACGCCTTTCAGGTCTTCTTTCGTGACTTTAGCAAGAACCCGTTCAAGTGTGCATTAAACGCCAAGGTCCAAGTTCCACAGTCTAAAGCCAAAGCAAAAGTAAAAAAAAAGTCTGTTTTCGAGGAACTCAATCATCCGATCTGAAACCGACCAGTGGCAGTCGAGCCTTCATCAAAAGACTGCTGGATACGACACTGACACTGCTCAATGCCATCGCGAGGCTGGACCAGACTGGATCCAACCGGACATGGCTGCCGTTGCTGACGATTGGGTAAAACACTCCCGCAGCGACTGGCACGGCAATGCAGTTGTAAACCAGCGCCCAGACGAAGTTAAACTTGATCCGGCGGAAAACGACGCGGCTTAGATCGATGAGCGTCAGGAGAGAAGAGAGACGAGAAGACACGAGGACAAACTCTGCAGCCGAGATCGCAATGTCCGACCCTGAACCAATTGCAATGCCGACGTCGGCCGCGGTTAGCGCAGGCGAATCGTTAACCCCATCACCAACCATCGCGACAAGTGCCCGGGCGGAGCCTGTTTCCTTCTGTAGGGTGTTCTGGAGATATCGAATCTTTTCTGCCTTTTGCTCGGGCAGAATACCGGCAAGGATGTTCTCTGGCGGGATTCCGACCATGCTGCCCACCGCATGCGCGGTCGTCGGGTTATCTCCTGATATCATCCACACCGCGATACCCCGATCCTGGATAGCCTTGATGGTCCCCTTGGCCTCGATCCGGATGGGGTCGGCTACTGCCAACATGATGGAGAGCTTCCAGGGGACTATTTCGGTGGCTGATTGCTCCGGGCGGATTCTGTGCCCTACCAGGACCACAGACTTGGCCTGGCGCTTCCAGGCGCTCAATTTTTCGGCACTGGCCGAAGGGATGACGATTCCGTGATCTTGCATCAAGGCCTCATTGCCCACGATGACTTCCAGGACAGATGAGACCCGATTGCGAGCGCCGAATGAGCCTTTCATACCCTTTCCTGGTATTTCATCCACCATAATCGCTTTGAGGACCGGTGCTAGCTTGGAGGCGGTAAAAATCACAACCGCCTTAGCAATCGGGTGATTGCTGTTCTGTTCGAGCTCCATAACGGCGCCCCAAAGATCATCGACGCCTGCGCTATGTGTTACCTCATGATCAGTGATAGAAGGTTCGCCGCCCTTGGTAATGGTGCCGGTCTTATCGAAGACGATGCAGTCAAGCTGGCTGGCCTCCTGGAAGGCTTCACCCCCACCTTTGACGAGGATCCCATGCTGAGCCGCGAGACCACCACCGACAAAAAGGGCCGTCGGCGCTGCGAGTCCGATACCACAGGGGCACGCGACAACAAAAACTGAGATGGCGAATTGCAACGACCAGAAACCCCAGCCTCCCGGAGTGTTGGCCTTCCAGGAGTCGGGCAACCGGCTGGAGACACCAAGGCCTAGCCAAATCACCCAGTCCAACACCGCGATGAGGGTGATGACGGGAACAAAAAACCCCGTAATCAAGTCTGCCGTGCGCTCGATTGGCGCTCGACGGACCTGCCCCTGGCGAACGGTGTTGATGATCTGATCCAACATCGAGTCGCCTGAAAGATGGGTGACACGGACCAAGACCGGGTTTGCCTGGTTGACTGTTCCCGAAAAAACTTCGTCTCCAATGGACTTGGAGACCGGTCTTGATTCCCCAGTCAGACTCGACTCATCAAACTGTGACTCTCCGTTGATCACCGTTCCGTCATACGGAGGTGAGGCACCGTTCGCCACCCGCACCACATCTCCGAACTCCAGTTGGTCGATTGGAACTGTGCTGGAATTCGCAGAGGCGGAGAGGCTACCCGCTCCGGCCGTGTCCACAAGTGTGGCCTCTGTCGGGCGCAGCTTGCCCAGGAGGCTAACTGCATTTCCCGCTTTGGCTTTGCTGTAGGCCTCGAGCAACCGGCCGATCAGTAGGAACATGGTCAAAAAAACAACCGCATCGAAGTACGAGCCGGTATGAGAAGCTTTGGGGCTACCGTGTGGCTGCGAGGCATTGATGGCCAGGATAGCGATGGAGGAGAAGTAGGCGATGCTAGTGCCCAGTGACATAAGCATATCCATACTTCCAAAGCGATAGAATCTACGCAAGATAGGAGTTTTGCTTCCGGGTCGCCAGAGCGCCTTGAGCTCGGTGAGCATGCGGCGGTGGAAAATGTCTGCAGCGAAGAAATAGACAGGACTCGACGTGATGAAGAGCGCCCACTCAGAGCGTGATGCTTCACCTGACCACATAGGCTCCTCGAGGTAAATCCGACCGGGATTGTCGTTGTTGACCAGGGACATATACACCACACCGATGATAAAAGTCGGGATGGCAGCTAGCACGGCCAAAATCAACCGGCGAGCGATATGCCATTGATGCCGGCGATGCATCGCCTGAGAGCGTTCCTCAAGGCTCGGAGGGTGGTACACTGAAACGGTAAAGGCTTTATCGATATCGGCAATCGTGCTCATGATATGTCGGATGGTAAATTTTGGCGCCTCAGGCAGATAGCTCACAGTAATCTTCGGCTGTGTCTTGCTAGGAGGCGCGGTCACTTTTAATCTGTCCGAGTAGACGGCGAGGGCATCGAGAATCCGCTGTGGACAGCGTGGACAGTGCATCCCCTCCACCTGGATGGTCACCGACCGCTTCGAGCTGGGTTGACTAGATGTGGCTCTGCTCTCGACGTCGCCGAGGGTGGCCGTGTAACCAAGGCTGTTGATAATGCCAGGAATCTCGTCCAGGTGGTCCTTCCCTTGGAACTCCACCATCGCACTAGCGGAGATGAGGTTCACATCCACTGTGGTGATCCACCCGTACTGTTTCAGCGTGTCGGTCACTTTCCCGACGCAGGAGCTACAGGTCATGCCTTGGATGACGTACGAAGCTCGCCACGTGTCTTCCAGTCCGGACGCACTCGATGGCTGCTGGAGTCGGATCTCCTCACATTCGATCAACTCCGTGGTATAACCCGTTTCCCTAACCGTCTCGAGCAACTCATCTATGTGCGACTTATCCAGGAGCATGACAACGGCACTGTTCGTCAAGAGATTGACGTCGGCCGATTGTACCCACGGTCGAGTTTGCAAGACCCCGGTGATCTTGCTCACACAGGAGCTGCATGACATCCCACTGACGGACAATGTGACTCGCGCCCGAGTGTCGATGAGGTGGTCATCCATAACGGACACGAGCGCTTCTTCTTTTGTCTGACCGACGTGTCGACCGAGCTGATCTTTTTTGTCGGCGACTGCTTCCTTGTGAACGGTAGAGGACGTCTTCGACGACAGCATATCGAGCTGTGCGGAACATGCGTCGCATTTTGAGAGGTGCAATTCGGACTGAGCAAGGACGTCGTGTTCGAGCTCGCCACGGGAGCTTCTTCTTTGAGCTTCTGCGGCGTTGGCCTCGATATCACCCTCGCTGGCATCGGGAATAACACTGTCAACCTCGAAGGCAACATCCTCTAGAGCGCGTACGATGCGGTCGGCGCTAAGCGTAACGGAGTGCACGATTTCGATCTCATGTCGAAGAATAGATGTCGAAATGGAAAAAGGAGGCGGCTTTAGAGCTGAAAGAGTCTCCTCGACGTTTGTCACGCACGACGGGCAGTGCAAATTGTTGACTAAGATGGTGGTCAGCCTCGACTGAGGCAGCGACAACTTATCACTCGGAGCCATCTCCGGCGGATAGACGAGAGTGTGAGAGAGACCAAAGATACATAAGGTGGTTGTCCGATCTGCGGAGAACAGCTAGCTTTTATAGATCTCGAGCCTTGGTTCAGGATTGGACAGGGTGACTGATTTCGAACGTTCTAGGGTCTGCAAATGTATTACAACTTCCACCACGCTACCGCACTAATCGCGCATGTTCCTAGGTTCGCCACTGCTTGCCAGAGATGACAGGTGCTGATTCGAGATCCATGAAGAGTTGGATGCGTTATTTGTGCGGCTGAGCCAACGGCGGGAAGAAAGCTAAATCGAGGCGCCACTTCACCACGATCTTACCTTAGAGCGGGGGGCAACGCATACAGAAAAAGGTAATATGGCGAAAATAACGCACTTCAGGCCATAGTAAAAAAAGACATATCATGAAACCTCAAAATTAAAATTACCATCTCATTTTTAGTATTCAATATGTCGTGTCAAAGTTGTGATTTCCCTGACGACAAAAGTCTCTCCGCACGCGCCTTTTGATTAACTTCGACAGTTATACCCAGGTCTGCTTATTGTCCAGTTCGTGTTGTTGGTTACACCAGTATGCTCATTCATTTGTCATGGACGCTTACCAATGTATACCTTGATACCGTCCCTGATTTTGTTGTCTTTGCTGGCGCAGTCACTGCAGCTAGCATACTGATATTGCACTTTTTTAGTTTTAGTTTTATTTTTATTTTTATTTTGGCCGTCTCGATCTTGATCCTCGCGTGGAGCACCCGGCGAGAAGGCTTCAGTCGTAAAAATATCCGCCGGCCGATGGTCTGTGCTTTTTGCGCAATATCACCAACGGGTTCAGTCTTCCGATAAAGCGCCATAGCTGCCACTGGTTTACTCCGTTGGCTTCCTACGAACGACTCGAGCCGAAATAGAGGTGGATATGAGCATCCTTGAGAGCATCCAATTCCGTTCTAGGAGCTTGCAGCGATCATCCAGGAGCCAAGATGATGTATAGATCATTGCCAAAGAACATACGCAATGATTGGTCCCACCTAGCTTATGTGGGTTTTCCTAGGCGCCTGAGCGCCTTTGCATTCCTCGCGATGTGTTTTGTCTTGTATCTAGTATCTAGAAGCCCCTAGCGACACCTTGGTGATTATCTTTATCCAAGGACATGCTCCGAACTTCGATATTTCACTTACCCTACGTTCAGGGTGCGTCAATCAATCTCTGCCCCCAAAAAGAGCCAGGTATACAATGAGAGAGGACGTACATCAAATTTCTTCCTTTAGTTGGGAGTGCAAACAGTGACTGAAATGGGAGCGTCACAATTTCATCGACTTGTCTGTGCCACAATAACTGAAACATCACCTAAAATACCGCTCTCCTGAATAGGGGACATATTCACAGTGTACTCTTCACAGTTGAGGTTCGCCATATCAAACTGATTATGAGTCCGAGTCCATGGACCATTCCAATACAGCGAGACTATTTGACCGTCGATATCGTGGTATAAATCCAAAGTGCCTTCGACCCCCACTCTGTAAGTTGCGCTGCCACAGAATGATATTGTTCTGTTCTCATCATGTGGAATCATTATTTGATTCACGTCTTCGGGAGACAAAAGCTTAGCGATATCGCTTTTTTCGTACGGTTGACCACTTCCCGAGTAAAGTTAGTCCAATTTCAGTCTCTGAATGGTAATATTTCTCAAATACCAGGCTATGACGGTGGTCTTGATGACAATGTTGCCCTTAGGAAGATCGTTCTGGACGCTGATGGAAAGACGCTGTGTGACATGATGTTCCATCTTCGAGGATTTGAACTAATACTCTCATGTAGAGTGTACTTGTCAAAATAGAAACTCGCAATAAGAAAAAGTTTCAGAACTAATATACACGTCCGAGTGCCTTTCGCCACCTGGCACGTTGGGTTCTGGGCTGTCTCTGCTTTCTGCGTTACGCGTAAGAGACATCAATATTCCAAGGAACTTAAAAGACCAGGCCAACCGTTCTGAAGGCCAAGCATCCATATCCAATGCGATCGTTAACTTTTTGACAATTCGATTGCGGGCCCACTTCGGTCATTTGACCAATCCACATTCTCCTATGCGCGATTAGTGCGTAAAATTATGTCATAGTTTACCAACAGGCCAACTTTGCGCCATGTCCCTGACATCGAGCAGTGCCAAGACCGCGCTAAAATCCGCGAAAATATCGCAGTCTCGTGGCTGTACGGAGGTGACGGATATAATAATGGCGACGTTTTCGCCCCCACAAGGGATTAAAGCGTGCCTTTCTACAGTAGCTCCTCCTTATCTGCCAAAGATGTCCGTTTGCCGGACTTCGTACGCCATTTGGCTTGCACTTTGTTACTTTGTGTCTCATTCAAATGCTATTCTCCGTACATACAACTTGACGGTGCATAATGACGTTAAAGCTCCGGGTACGTGGACCATGAGCGCCAAACATGGGACTTTCAGAGCTAATTCCTAAATAGATGGTGTCAGCCGCGAAGTCTTTCTGATCAATGGTCAGCTACCGGGGCCCCTAATCGAGGCAGACGAAGGCGACGATCTGGAAATCTTTGTCAAGAACGACCTCCCCGTTGATACTTCTCTTCACTGGCACGGTAAGTCACTTCCATGAGGAAACATTTTTTTTATTAGAACCAGTGATCACTGATTGTGCCATAACAGGGATTTTGCAAAGGGGTAGTCCCGATATGGATGGAGTGCCTGGTGTCACGCAGGTCAGTCCTTAAATATTTGACGGTAATTTACATCCTTGTTGCTGATTCTAGACCATAGTATCCCATACCTCCTGGCGGTAACTTCACCTACAGATTCTCGATCAAAGATCAGTATGGCTTCTTCTGGTATCATTCCCACGTTAGAGCATACTACAATGACGGCATAAGAGGGCCACTCTTGATACGACCATCTCCCCAAAGACTGCGGCCATTTGAAAAGCTTGCTCATAGCCCACACGAGCGTGATATCATTCTGCAGACGGAGAGGGACGCTACATCCATTCTTTTGAGTGACTGGACACATGAACTTTCGGACACCATTTACGCTCGATACTTTGAGACAGGCGCTTTTCCAAATTGCGTCGACAGCATCCTTGCCAATGGATTCGGGAGGGTTGAGTGTTTACCGGAGAATATGCTCCAGGCAGGACCCAATATGGGATATGAAGATATGAACCAGCGTTCTTCATCAATGATGGCAATGTCAATGGCGAAACGAATGGACATGGACATGGACATGAGCACGGACGCATCCGCCACATCTTCTCAGATGTCAACAGGTACGATGGCTATGGATACGACCGTGGATATGACTATGTCTAGCACTTCTATGTCCGCAATGCCGATGTCAGCTACAATGACGATGTCGGACATGTCACCGTCCATGACTTCATTGAGTCCCCGTGGCTGTATGCCGCCAATGATGTTTAGGCAAGGCTACAATGTCAGTTCACTCCCACCTGAGACCTGCACCAATACTTCGTCGTCCTTGCTCACCATCCCTGCGGATCACACGAGTGGTTGGCTCGCGCTGAATCTGGTCAACTCCGGTGCAGTCAGCAAGTTACATGTCTCTCTGGATGCACACTCTATGTTTGTCTATGCTGCCGACGGATTGTATGTGGAAATACAGGAGGTGAAGGTGAGCATACCTTTGAAGAGTATCCGTTATATCCCCCAGCCTGGGCTCACCACATGTCATTTTAGGTCCTGGAAATAGAGATCGGCCAACGGTACTCAGTGATGATTCGACTTGATCAGAAACCGGGGAATTACTATCTCAGATTCGCATCATACCCCAATGGTGACATGCAACAAGTGCTTGAAGGGCAAGCTATTGTGTCCTATAACGTAAGAAAATCGGCAAGCAAGTCGCGACCATATCATGCCCGTGCTGACTTTTCGTTTTCATTTTGCAGATGAGCATGATGAGCAGCAGAACCCCAATGAACGTCACGGTCGATCCCTCAACCATTTGGATGTTGACCAACGGATCAGCCAAACCTGATACCAGCGTACTTAATCCTCAGTTGCTTTCTCCCTTCGCGCCTGTCAACCCTCCCTCAGCACCAGCAGATCAGACATACACTTTCACAATTAATCAGACCGACATTGTGACATGGGTAGTGAATGACGCCTCATACTCTGAGCCAAAAATACCAATCATCCAGGGCAACGTATCAGACGGTTGGCAGGCGAATACAACCATCCATGTGCCGTCTAACTCAACGATTGATATTATTATGAGAATTGCAAACGATTCGATGGATACGGTAAGTCTGTTGGATTAGTGATTCCAACGACCTTTCTATGATGTGGACAGCTGGAACTAATGGGGGATAAACTCACCGCAGATGAGCCATCCCATGCACCTACACGGCCACACTTTCTGGGTGCTTGGGTCCGGTACCGGCTCTTTCCCGTATGATTCCGCGACGGACGCCCCAGAATCCCTAATAAATCTTCGAAATCCTCCTTATCGTGACACAACTAATCTTCCTCCGTCAGGATGGGCCGTGATCCGGTAAATCACCTGAATATTCTACTGGCAAGACAATAGCTTACCTTTTCTTAAAAACAGATATGTTACGGATAATCCCGGCGCGTGGATCTTTCACTGCCATATCCAGTGGCACATGGTGGTGAGTACAAATGGCTAGACGGTCGTATCCTAAATAATCGCAAAAATCTTGGTCTTGCTAACATTACATTATTTTCCTTCACAAGAGCGGCATGGCACTTGTCCTTGTTGAAGGACCGGATCAATTTCCCGCCCTGATTGGTCAGTCTAATAATGGTACCCCTCCTGCTACGTCAGCGGCGCCGATGCGTCGTATCAGCTCTCGTCAGACTGCTTTGACTGCTGCTGCTGCCAGTCTCATGATGTTGGGATGAGTCCGGAATATTAGATACAGCAGAATCTCTTTTTTGTCGATATTTTAAGTTGAGCGGTGCGAGAATCGGCCAGTTACCTTCCTTCAAGTATGCAAGGTACGTGGGTTTTGCCATCGAGCTGCTAGTATCTGGCGGTTTTTCTTAGTGCGTTATCGCAGTAGATTATGCTGTTTATATGTTGGTGTCACAATCTGAAAACATCTGAAAACAGTCAAACACGCAGGGCCTGAATCGTACTATAAGATCACTGGTCTACATAAAGTGGGCTAGTTTACAGAGACCTCGATGTGGGACTTCGACGAAATTGTTCATGTTTAACTCCTCTGCGAGTTAGGTTCTGATCGAGAGTTTCCATGGACTGGCTCTTTGGCCGTAGTGATCAATAGAGGGGTAAAAACAGAACCAGCCGAAGAAACGATCATGACCATCGACAATACTCCTCGAGTCTCAAGGTAGAATGGCACCACAAATTAAAAGCTTGGCACCCAAATCAAAAACCCATCGTCCAAGTCATGTCCCTCATGTCTCGAAGAGGCCTTCAAAGGCTAGTACAGCTTGTTTTGGATGTCGAAGACGGAAAGCCAAAGTAGGTACCATTTCCCCAGATGGAGAGTATGACTCACAGCCCCTCCAAAAAAATAGTTCTATGGAGGGATACCCTGCGTGTCGTGCAACCGAGAGTGTGCGCCTTGTATTATGAACGAAGAGAGCGATGGTCGGCGAAAACTCTCGTACAAACGAAGAATTGCTTCACTAGAACATGACCGCGCTTTGCTTATGCGCTTGATGGAAAGTCTTCGCACCCATGATCAATCGGAAGCCGACAGAATTGTCAGAGCAATCCGCAACGGGGCATCGTTAGCTGAGATGGATTTGGTTCTCACTGCAGGCTCTGGATTGTGCGAACCTCGACGAACGCTAGAATTCAAGGTCGGCAATTTAGACACACGGGAATCGGAAAGTGGGACATCAGGCGCGCGCCAGACTTATTTGGATCTAAATCAGCTATGTGTGTAGCAGTCACGTTATGCGATATGCCGACGTATCATCTATAGACCCGGTTTCATGCAGTATTCGTAAGGTAATTGCGACAGTATGAATAAGCCCGTAGGTGAACAACTACGTCTCAGGCAACGACAGGAGCCTGAGTGGTAGCTGGGTTAGGCATAAGCTCGATTAGTCAACGTATTGATAAAATGTAATTGGCTGCAAGTGATCAACGAGAATTTCGAGCGAGGTGGTTAACGCAACAATAGCACGTGACAGAACAAAAACGTCATAGACCTTTGGTCGGGGGATTCATAAGAATTGCAGTTCAGGTAGACAACCATCGAGTAATTGGAAAGTCCTTCTGAGAACACTGGACTACCTCTTAAAATGCAATCAGGGGGCAAGGAACCATATCCTGAAGTAGGGCCTTTCCACACCCACCCAACCCTGGAGCAAAGACGCTAATAATATTCCCTCAGCCATTGTCGGAAAGTGAGAAACGTCACTTGAGCAAGTACGGAAAACGGCCGCGTGGAGGCTTACTGGGTGAAAAGTCCAAGGTACTTAAAATGTGATTTATTGTGAGTGTGCTGACAATCGGAAGGAACGGACGTACTTTGACTCCGGCGACTTTGCTTTTTCCGCCGCTCATCGAGTGACCGATCTCGACGCTATTCAAACAGGCAGAGCGCATCCCCACCGGGACAATATTTCGCACCCTTCTTCCACTATCCCGGCTACCAGCAACGTTGACAAGAAAGCCAACGAGGATATGCATAGGAGGGAACCAAGTCCCAAAAGAAGTCTTCTCCATAGGCAAACGAATGAAGACCCCACAGACGAGGATAATCTCTTCTCTTTCGAAGATTGAAACCAAATCGTCACAGCAATATAAATCGATATGTGGTTCAGCAGAACAGCCAAATAGGGACAATACGACAATTCCTAGGTGAAAGCTTATTGTGGAGAAAGAAGAGCCAGTCGACCAATGATACAACCCCTGGGAGCTGTAGGTCCTATGGAAATTCTCCAAGTATAGGCTTGCGACGATCAAAGATATTGCAAGCCTCTTGATTGGATTGTGTGTTTTGCAGGGTCATGTTATGCTACTCCAAGGTGGAGAAAGGAGTGAGAGAGAACCAATCACCCATTATGTTGCCACCCGCAACAAACTAGCTCATTTGCACGGTCGCCCATAGGATCCGTGGCTATGAAGCACATTGTTTTCTGGGGCACGACGTGAGATATGACTTTCGCATGCTGGGTGCTACCCACTGGCCCGTTTCAGTAACGAAGTTTGCGGCATTTGATTGGGGAGTCCTTGCTTGACTCCCTAGTCCTGGACCGCCTAGTCGTGCTCGACACTCCCTGCCCTCTTTCCTTGGAAGCCATATTTTCTTACTACAGTACAATTATGACTTCTTTTTTTTCCCTTATTATTGGTCGCAAAAATCCACCTAGTCATGATCTTTTCCAAATACTATTGAATGGAAAACTCGGCTTCCATCGGAATCCGCATGTTCCCTGATGATCCTCTAGGTTCTCACATTTGTAGACCCATAGATTATCCATTAGTCACTATGATTATCTGACGTTCCAGAGAGAAATCAAGCTACCTTCTAACGTGCTGATGGAAACCCGGTCGGAACAATCGCGGGGTCGAAGCCAGCGCGGGTTCGTAATAGATTCGGCAACGAGGAAATGCACACTTGCATGTACGCTTAGTCGACTGTGGCGTCACATAGCCGGAGAATAAGTATTCCAGAGGAGAAGAATAGGATGAATACTGTTCTATGCCAAAACCATTGTGGCATCTTGTTCGCACGGCTACGGCTGAAGGTCACCGTAGACATCATACCTAGCAAACGGAAATGCAACCTATTTAAAGTGTATGAGGAGAAAAATATGTAAAGAATTTCATTGCTAATAATCATTGGGTACCATCCTCATCTACTCCCTTTCAGTCATAAGAGCTATCAGCATTGCTGAAGCCTTTTCCACAGCTTAACAGTTATCCCTTGGTTGAATTTCCACCTAAAAAAGACTTCCCAGTAGAGATGGCTTTGGTAATATTGCTCGAGAGAAACTGGAAGGCCTTAAAAAAACTTATCGGTCTTAAAGTTGTGTCAGAAAAGATAGGATTTACCAACCAACCGAGCCTCATGACGATGGAAGGAACAGTGATGTTGTTCATGCATGCAAGCGCAGGGTAATTTTGTGATGTGTACTCGAGTATGTGGCTTTGGAGTACGTGAGTCATGGCATGCAGATGTGAAATAGTCAAGCTAGCACGTGTCGTCCAGGCTATGGCCGCATCACTGAGACTGCTACAAGCTCTGAAATCTCTGTTCCTAGACCACCGAAGACTGTTTCACAATGTAGAAAAGAGATTAGCCGCGGAGGAGGGCGGCAAGGACCATCACCGAATTGAAGGCGACTGCGGGGACCCACTACTTACAGCACAGCTGATAAGCCAATGAAATCGATATTCACTGAGGCAGCGTGACTGTCTTGGCTGAGAACCCCCTGGTCGCCTCTAGACTGTCTCAAGGTCTAGGCTTAGAATGATTGGACTAGGAAATACTACGAAGAGCCAGCTCATATAGCGTGTAGCGCGGGAGCGGAGAGACTAGGACTGGGGTGTTCGGCCACGACTAAAGAGTAGTGCAGGACTAGCAAGGACCACTCGCCAATTAAATACCGCAAACTTTGTGATTGAAATGGACCAGTGGGCAGCTGCCTGTCCTGACGACTGCGACGCACTCGGTTCTAACCGCTGTGGAAAAAGGTCTATTCATCGTACCTTGGAAGTAAACACATGGATTTTTGTAGCATATATTTGCATTACAGGACAAAAGATAACATGTAATTATTCATGAATTGTCACTGGCTGGACTTCTTTGCTCGTATTTCTTTGTCTGGAACGGAACGCATCTAAGATTCCTTGAAAAAGCAAAGGGAGCCCCAACAGCAGACCATTAGTTAGTAGCAGATTCGAGAAAGCCTCTTTTGGCATTTGCAGGTGACGAATGCAAATGGTATTGTTCTTGTTGAGCAGCTGCGCGAACAATAGGATCAAATGGCATGATGTGCTTGGCGGCTTTGACGGAGACTCGCCACGAGATGCACGGCTCCGTCGCATTGTCACCATGGAATGCCTCCCAGCGAAGGCACACGTTTGCGTTACCGCCTGGTTCAGATACCTGCATCTGATTCAGCGCCCCAGTGACCTGAGAATAGTCAAGCCACAAATTCTCAGCGGGACCAGAGATACCGTGGGTGACATTGAAATCCTCCGACAAACGGATGGTGCCAGCAAATATACCTAGGAAGTCTCCCTCGCATATCGGCACAATAGAAGAGACGAATAGAGTCTCGTCATCCTTGGGCAGAAGAGTGATGAATGCGGACTTGTCTGACCCACCTTCGTATACCGATTCATCACCGTGTGGTATGCCAAGAATATCAGTCGAGATAGACTTTGAGCTGCGTTGCCTGAATATTTCTTCTTCAGCGTTGACGGCCCACTCGTTTGAAGCATTATTCCACGAGGGCTCTGGCACTTTCAGTCGTTCTAGCACTTGAAGGTTGCTGAGGTAGCTAAGACGCTTCGAGTCTCCTGTTTTCAATTTGGTAATCCGCATTTCCAATTGTTCGATATGAGATCGATACTCGTTTTCCCATCTCAAAACTTTATCCACGAGTGGAGTTTCCGATGTCTTGGAATAGCCCCTGCAGAAACTGTCGAATTCTTTTGTACGGTAGAGGAGAATTTTGTCAACGCCAGCCTCACGCATATCGAATATGTTTTTCCAGAAAATGCGGTACTGTCGCTGGTTTTCTGCACCCACGCTATACCCAGTGTCCTCCATGAATTTCTTTGTGGCAGCTTTTTCCGTCATGGTGAATCCATCAGCCGGGCCCTTGGCGGGTGGCAGCGTGGCAGGGTCGATCAGCGCCGCGCACTTGAGAATGATTGGCCAGAAGATAGTTTCGTTGTATCTTGTCTGTATTGCTCTGCCCGTAGTTAGAGCAGTGTCCCTTCGAATGGCGTGAATTGCCTGCTCATAATTGTATCGAGAGACATCTTTGACATGCTCCCGCATCCTCTCGAGCCTAGTTGTTGCCAGGGCCATGCAGTCGCGCTGCCCATATTGTGCGATATCAGAGTTGCATTTGACACATTGCATCAATATTGTTGTTATGACCTTCATCTCGAAGGCTGAGTCTAGGTGTAATGGCAAAGAGCTGTCACGGGGATTCGGCACACACGAAGATTCGGCGTCGTCGACTTCGGACTAGACATGAACTATGTATCCATTAGACTTCCTTCAATCTGGAGGACAAAATAACATACCGTTGTTTGTATTTCTGGCGAAATTGATTCCTCATCAGCTACTGACGCTCCGGGAGGTTGATCTATCAACTCCGACTTGTCGCTTCTTTTCCTCTTCTTTTTCTTCTTTTCCGTGCTGGCCATATCGCTGTAGGTTGTTGGACCGTCCTTTCCTGTCTGTTTCATAAGTCGATAGGACCCGCGAGTTTCATGTGGTGGAGTCGGAGGGGTTTCTATAGTCGCTTCCTTAGCCTGAGAAATAGGCTCGGTCGCACCTCCAGCAATCACGAGTCGAGCTTTGTAAACTAAAGCGACCGTTAATGATCCTTTCTCTCAGACGTTGGCGGGGGCTAACTCACCATGATCGGCAGCGTGGGCGATAACCAGATTAAGGTGCTCCTCACTGTCCTCAATTCCGCAAATTGTGAATAGCTCTCGTATCTTCTGGGCTGTCAGGCTCAAAATGGCTTTATCCATGGCGGGCGATGATGATGGCAAAAGACTAAGACTACGTCTTGTCAATGAAGGCAGAAACCCTTCTGGAACGTTCGGGGCAACGGTTGCCCTCTGGCTGGGGGGAGGGAAGAATGAGCCAATCAAATCAACCACAGGCGAGGCTCACAAAAATAGCATCAACCAGGCCAGGCAAGACTTGACCGGGATTGACCCCCTCTTTTTGTTGTGTCTCTGTCGGCCATTGCATATCAAAAACAAATCAAACCATACAACTTTGTAAATGGTTCTTTCCGTAACCTTCACTGTCAGGATAGGTGCAACGCCCATCTGGTATGTGACTTACGCGCAAGGACAGGACAGAGCTTTAGGGAATATTGGTATCTGCCCCTGAATTTTCGAATCATATCCCCAGGCGTCTCTCCGTATAGTTTATTCCGAAAATGGGACTGTTCACGATGCGCCAACACACTGACCGCAGGAATGAATGGCCGGATGACATAAATTGAAGCCGATGCATGGTTGCACGATATTCCAGACTGAGCAATATCCCAATCATGTGCGATGTCGGTCGGATGTGGTGAGGAGTCGGTTTTTCGTAGAAATCGAGGCTCGACTCAAGACGTTGAGGTAAACATTTCGGGTGTGTTCAGGACACGGGTGAGCGTCCATGAATATGAGTAACTCTGGTGAACTCGTGGTTGCATCCGAGTCAACTGTTGAACAGTTGAACCGGAAATGGTAAAGGTTGGTTATGTTGATCATCTAAAAGTGGTGATGAAAAGCAATAAACGGATGGCAGGTGAGAGACGCCACCTCCTGGACAAGAGTACGGTGGTCAATTACTGCCATTGGCCGAATACACCCACGCTTCCTGGGCCCCGCACACATCACGTGTATCTCCTAAACCTTAAGAGTCACGCTCCAAGTTAACTGCGTGAAATCGTTTAGGCCTCAGTGGTCGGTCGATTTTATGCCACGTATTCAAGGACAGCTATTTAGTTAACTAAAAAAAATTGCTTTCCACGATAACTGCACCGCAGAATAAATGAGGGTAGAGTAATAGCGTGCAAGGAGCTGTAAACGAGTGTTAAAGGCCAATCAAATGCTGGTGAAAGGATAACGGTCAACGGCCAAGAGTAGGTTTACAGCTGGTGATTAACCAATTGAATTGATTGTCCCTCAGCAATCTGACTACAAAACGGTCGAAAAGAATAACAAAGCGATTAATTCATTTTCTTTTAAACGCAGTGAAAGAAATAGGGAGTTTATTGAGTATGATTGGCTAGGGGACACCCCCCACTATTAATCACGCGAAGTTCCTAATACCCAGGCGCCCCCAAGTCTGTTGCAAGAATTATTTCATCCTGTCTACCTAAAAGAATCCTCCTGTGTCCACTTTGTGCCAGATTCTCCAGGCATCAGACCCAAGCTCTTCTTGTACCTTTTTTGTTGGCTCAGCTACCAAGTTCATTTGTGACGGAAAATTCAGAAATAGAAACGCTAAGTTCTCCACATGATGTATTTCTCTATATTATTTCGGGAGTGAGACTCATGTTCCTGGGATCATATCCGGCCCTAGGATCCATAGCATAGCTTGTCAGAGATCGAGCATATATAGTAGCTTGGGTGTTTGGTCGCTGACCAAACATTGTGCCTTTTTGGCCAGATGGCGTAGTGGTAAAACCCAAGCACCCATGAACCGTCACATAGCTCCTAGGCACGCTCTTGGTCGCTCCTAGGAATCAGACTTATCGTTCCTAGAGGACCTATAGTTCCCGGGATTGGGTAATATAGCTCCGGGGAACGAGGAGGGGGCTTTCCGAGCTTTAGTGCGTTTAGTGAGATCAGCGCTGATGGATCATGAATTCCAGGAGCATGAGGGCTTCGGAATTAACAAATAATTCCTGGAATGTATGAACTCAATTGGACCGCACATCTTGAAGATTAATCTATTAGTGATCATACGGATCAAGCAGGATAGCTTGTGATAATGTCTACAATGTATTTTTCGACTCGTCTTCCAGTACTCCTTCTTCAGTTATATGGTATAAACAATCTATTTTGATATAATATAGGTCAAAGAGCGTCTAAAACCCACCTTCCAATTGAGGAGTTTTCGCTGAGCTAAAAGCTTTCATTAAACGTAACTGGGGCTACTATGAAGCAGATCCTGATCAAGGATTTGATGCCTTCCTCGCATGGTGTATTGATATTGTCGGTGCAAAAGAAGAAAGCGCTAAAGGTCATTTTCGACACGCAGGCTTGAAGATTGAAGAAATATTAGAAAGGTCCTAGATGCAGCCTTGGTTGAAATCGATTTCCCGCGCAGACTCTCCACAGAACAGACCGCTTGTCGTGGGCCATTTACTCATTAAACCAAGGGTCATCTAGAACTTGTCTAGCTGACGCCCTTGCTGACGGTTCAAACTGCAATAACTTTCCGATGATTTGCCCCAGCCTCGTGATATCTTCTCTGGTGAGATCGGGACTCCGTGGGCCATCAAAGTACACTTCTTCTAGCCATTCCTGCAAGTTGGGCCCGTACTTTCTATGATTCTGCCGTCTCCTGCGTTCACACGCATACGCTGTACTGTAAGAAGAGACTAATCAAACCCAACGTGGCCGAAGTAGTGACAGCGTCGTTCCAGCGAGAATACAAAATAGTTATATAATTACTTCTTCAGCGGTGAGAATGAAGCTGAGAATGGAACGGATTGAGTTGAGGCTTCCTTGGAGGAGTCTTCTCTAACATGAGGCAGATTATCGATAACGACAGGATTGCAGCATTCTGCGATTGCGATTCGAAACTGAATATGACAGATGTCGCGTTCCATCTTCAAAGCGACGATTCCAGTTAGGCATAAACGAGAGTTTGTGGGACTTCAGTGGTGGTCACTCGTGCAATAATGGTGCTCTGTGCCTAGAACTTCGACCAGCGCAGAAGCAGCGCAGCAGCAATGACTGGCAACACACTCACCAACTCTCCCAGTCCCGCAAACTCTGGGGGAATTCTGGCATTGACAAAAGCACCCGCAGCGAGAAGGACTGCAAAGGTATTGTATACGAAGCTCCATATAAAGTTGAACTTGATGCGGTTGACAGATTTCCGACTGGCGTCCATCATGGTGGGGATACCAGCCAGAAAAGGCCGCATGAGAACCACGTCCGCGGCGGATTGCGCGACATCTGTGCCTTCGTTCATGTGGACGCCAATCGTAGCCTGTGCGAGAGCAACAGCATCGTTCGTGCCGTCACCGCAGAAAACAACAACCGGTTCCTTACGATCTATGCGAGTACGGAGGAGTGTCTGGATATAGTCCTTCTTGTCGGCGGGCGAGCTTCGAGAACGCACTTGACCGCCAGGAATGCTAAGCTTGGACGCCAAAGACCGAACAGCTCCGTCATCGTCGCCAGAAACGACATGTACCGAGACGCCACGCCTGTGTAAGGTCTCAATCGTTCCCGCAGCGTCAGGTCGAAGCTCATCTTCAAGACCATAGACCGCCTGTAACGCATTGTCGATAGTAAAGCAGAAGACAGTGTACCCTTGAGCAAGCATTGGCTGAACAACTTCATTTTCCGATAAATTCAGCCAGCGAGAATTGCCTGCTCGAAGTTTCCGGCCACCAAAGGTGGTTTCAACACCTTTGCCAGTAAGGCTCTTGGGCTCAGGAACAGTCGAAGCCGTAACTCCGGCATCCTTGAGGTGAGCAGCCACAGAAACTGAGACTGGATGTCGGTTGTTCTCGATGAGGCCTAGAAGAAGCGGGAGCTTGTCCACGTTGGCGCACTCCGTCGTTACGACAGAAAGCTTTCCCCGAGTCAAGGTCCCAGTCTTGTCAAACACGACGTGCGACGTCTTATGAGCCACTTCAATAGCATCTGATGACTTGAAGATGATACCTCTTTCCGCCGCGACTCCGCTGGCAATCACAATGACCATAGGAACAGCCAGTCCAATGGCGCAGGGGCAAGAAACAATGAGGACAGTAATGGCATAGGTGATGGCCTGAATTGTAGCTTCGGATCCATCATATCCACGAACAGTCATGCCTACTGCAACCCAGATGACGAACGTGATGATTGTCAATGCCAGCACAACCGGGACGAAGTAGGACGCTACCCGGTCTGCGAGATCCTGCAGCTTAGGTTTCGACAGTTTGGCCTCATCGACCATCGCAGCAATGGCATTGATAGTGTTATCGCTAGGCAAGCGGTTCAGTCGAACAGTCATAACTCCAGAGCCATTGACAGACCCAGCAACCACCACAGACTTGGGATATTTCTCTACTGGTCTAGATTCACCAGTGAGCATAGACTCGTCAACCTCAGACGACCCATTGATGACAGTGCCGTCTGTCGGGATTCTGGTGTCAGGGAGAACTTTGAAGGTGTCGCCGTATTGAAGAAGTCGGGCGTCAATCTCACGTTCCGTTCCGCTCTTTTGGTCGACAAGGATAGCTGTCGATGCCTGAAGTGACCGGATAGAAATAGATTCAACAGCTCTCTGACGAGCGAGAGCGGCAACCCATCGACCAACCATGATCAAGGTGACTAAGAGAGTGCTCGTTTCAAAGAATTGACCAGTCGAAAGGGGCTGCTCTGCAATGAGGTACCCAAAGGAGACCACCGAGAATATGTAGGCAGCACTGGTGCTCAAGACGATCAAGAGGTCCATCTCGATAACCCTCGAGAAAATGAGAGCCTTCAGGGCCTTAGGATAGAAAGGCCCTGCTATGACAACTTGAACAATCGTGGCCAATGTGAGTGAAGCCGATGAATATGCCACCTCCCCGTCAGGAAGCGAAGCCCATGCCATGACTAGGACCGGAATCGTTAAGACAGCGGAGAGAAGCGTCATGTATCCGACATGACGAACATGCTTGCTGCCAGCCTCCAGCGAAGGGTCGCCACGTGGAGGAGCAAGTTCAATTGGCGGACCCCAAATCTTGGAGAGTTCTCGAGCTCCCACGATATTCGGATCAAACGCAACTCGCACAGTCTGCTTGTCTACAGGTGCCATGTCGAGAACTCCGTCCGGCCACGTCTGACTAATGAAATTCGAGGGCTCATCAGGGACAATAAGATCTAGGCTAGATCCCTGGTTCTGGACTCTTTTGCACTTAAATTCAGTGGTTCGCTCCAGATGTTTCATGACTTCCTCAACTGAGCTAAGGCGCAGATCAATGTTGAACTCGGCTCGTGAGAGAACCAGACTGGTTTTCAGGTCTTTGACGGCGGGGAGAGTATCCAAGGTTCGGCTAAGCTTTGTCTCGCAACCAGTACAAGTCATGCCAGAAATGCTGAGGACAACATGTTCCTTGCCGGTACTCTGATTCTCTATGTCGGTGATAGCCTGAATCGAGGCTTCCTCAATCTCTAAACCAGGGTCGGGCACAGCAGAAGAGCAGCAAGCATCAGTGCAAGAGCCTTGGGGGTTGGCCGGCTGCTTTTCTGTGCAGCGAGAATCTGCGCAACTAACGATATCCTGCTTCGGTGGCTTACAGCAAGAGCCAGAGGAGGCGGCGTTAGGTAGCTGTTTGCTAATCGTGTTCTTAGCTGTTCCACAAAAAGACCCTGCACACCCACTAGTTAGAGGTTCAACAACGGATCCGACCTTCGAACAGCATAGGTCCGCATAAACGCTCTTGGTGTTATTGTCTTTGACACGCTGGTCTCTGGGACAGCAAGATCCGGGGCAGCTGACATCGGGCTTTTCGAGGGAGTAGCAAGACTTGGCACAGTTATCCTTAACTAATGGAGCCGTGGTGGGAGTGTCCTCAGAGCAGCACGGCTCCGGGCACTTGCTTTTGACAGGAGGCTCTTTGGCGGGCTTGTCCTTCGAACACAAAGCGACAACACAGGCATGGGCGGACGCCTTCTCGACAGACCTGGTGCTTTCACGAGAGCCCCTTCGCAGGCGAGAACGGTTCTGCGCGGCCTGGTCCTTGGTGACTGAGCCGTTGCTGCAGGAATTCAGTGAAATGCGAAAGGAGCGAGCAGACGACTTCTTAGAGCACTGCTTCCCGTCCAGTGACTGTCGGTCGCGAATTTCACAGCAGGTTTCCTGGCCAAGAGCAATAAGAGCGCGGCAGATACATCCCAGAGCCTGTAGAGTAGCGCCGTAGCGGTCGAGGGCAGAGAGACTATGTTGGTTGCATGCCTTGTGGTCGGTAGCTCCACCGCAAGCTGAAAGGGAGTTAGCAATCTTTGAATGCCATTCTCAAAGGGCGGACACTCACTGTTTGGCTGACTGTTTGGGCCGGGGGCAGCCATAGCACTCATCTCGCATTCCCGCATAGCCAAGCGGTCAAGGCAAGACGTGTCGCAGCATGGGCTGACTTTGCCACGGCAGCAGTCAGGCGCGTCGGTATGATTCTCGGATTTGTTGTCCGCACATTTTTCAGGAGAGCAGCAATCATCCAGTTTTTCCGGGGCGGGCGTTTTCTGACCCGGGGCCGGGGTGTGCTCAGTGTCGTCGCTATCGCAGCAAGAATCCTGGCAACTGCTCGGCTTCTCACTTGGAGCCGCGAGTGCCGTAACATTGGGCTCAGGGGCCGGAGTCGGTAGGCCGCAATAGTCGCCTTCCATCGTTGAAGTCAGCGTTCGCTTTCAGTCCAATTTGTGTGAATTTGAGGTGTTGGTCAAGTTGAGTTTTCGGAAATCGTATCAGCCTGTCGGTTTCCCCTTGGACATGCCAGCACGTGAATGGTTCGAGTCCCCCTGGCCAATCACATCCACGGCGGCTACCTAGCGTTGGAGATTGACGATACCAGCCTCCTCAACTGTTTGTCTTTGGGCTATGGGCTTAATCGGCCGCCTGTAAACCTTTTCATGCACATTGACAAATCGAGTTTTTCGGATTCTGTTAGAAATGGTATCGATAGTTATGCTGGCGTGCGCTCGATACTTGGACGAGATCGTGGGAGTGGGGTTTATCTTTGAAGAAGCAGTGCATGTGACCACGGCAGTCCAACCACAAATACGCTGACTAATATGGGGTAGTACAACCGGGCCTAGCTGCCATCTGGGAGATCCTATGATCCGAAATACCGTTTAAATCCCGTATTGCGACCGTTGTAATTCGGTATTTCATTATACTACAGATTCCTACAACAATCGAGTAAACACGGTATTATAAGGAATCGGTATTATTTTTCAAAATACGTATTCTAAGTTAAATACCGCATTTAGTAGTATTCTTTTCTAAAGCTAGGTATTTAAACGGTATTTAAACGGTATTTAAAGGTATTTTCTACTAAAAATAATAACGCTGCCTATCTAACCTTAGTTGGAATAGTAGTTAACCTTTTAGCTAAAGGGATCACGTGATATCACGTGGCCGTCTCCACGACCTATTCTAAGGGTAACCTTTAATTTAACTAGGCGGACGTCTATATTACGTATGTATATTTACTATAGAAATCTAGTATTAAAGGTACGACAAGCTTCAGCCCTCCAATGCGCGGATCATTCTGGATATTACGGATAACCAGCCGATTCTGCAATATAGCAGGAATGAAACGACCAAGGGGAGTGAGTGACCCTCCTCGAAATTCCACCCCAGTGGTAGTCTCTTCGTCTCTTGCGCTTTCGTCAGATAAATAAGTTATGGCGCTAGCGGGGTGAGACTCACAGTGGTATGCCTTCGGTAGAGTATTCTTGCCAACAAATGAAGAAAGCACGGCTTAGGTTGGCCATTGGGACGCCAGATGGGTTAAATTCTGGGTTAACATCGATAATTCCAATGTTGAAGAATGAAAGTGAGGGCATTCCGGCAAGCCTGTTTTGTGTTGAGAGATTTTGCTAAATTATAGGGCTCGAGGAAGAGGCCTTATAGAGTAAATGAAAGATAAAGTTGTTTGGGGAACTATAGGTGCAGAGCGAGGAGAACTATATATATTCAAGCTGTCGGTGGACGACAGGTCTAGGCAACGCCGCGAGATTTAGGGTGATTGGAATTAATTCTTTCTTTCCTCAAAACCATTATGTACAATACCCGCTGACAGAATAGGTCGTTGATTATTTTAGTGCCTCACGCGTGATAACCGGCCGTTGGATTACGAACTGGTAGAGAGGCCTTTTGAGGATTTAGTATTTTCCGGCTCATTTACAGCAGGTTTAGTCAGCCTATAGGGGCCGGCAGCAATTAAGGTCGTTTGCTCTAGGTCCTCATTTATTTTCCACTCGATTTTCGGTCCAAACAAAAAAAAAAGCTTGTGTGTGTAGCTTTGTAGAAGCAATCGAAGCGAGATAGATGACAAGCACTTCATGGAACCAATTTGTCAAACAGATTCAAATCATGTAGACGAGTATGTGGTAACATCATCAATGGAGAGGTTTCGAGCTTAAGCTGGTGCTTCTTTATTCAAACCAGGAGGCTATAAAGGGGCATATTTCTACTGTCCCAGGTGGCCATCAACTGCGCCTGGTCATTACCAAAGATTTAGCCATGGTAAGTACCCGCGCCTCTCGCTTGTGACGATGATATGCTCACCTTAGAAGCCTGCCGCGATTCCCGTCCAATTCCTATACGGGCCGGCAGAAATTTCTTTGAAGGCAATGCTCTTGTTGAGAATTGAATCTCCGTATCTCAGGGAATGGACGCCCTCGGAAACTCCCAGCCAAGACGCGAGGATACTGCTAGATGCCTGCAAGACTTTGAGAAGCAGAAGGTCCCAGGAACTATGCCCCGATGGAAACACCTCTCTCGAAAACGATTTATGCGTCTTAGTGGAGAATGTCCTACACGACCTTGGTTATAGTACTATTTTGATGCTAGCGCTGATAACTTGGCATTTTGGTGCTTCATCTTCAGAAGTGGGGCAGGACTTGATTATTTTTTTGAGACAACCTCACGATATTGGAGTGAGGCGAATACTTCAAGATAGATCCCAAAGGTTTATGTGCGAAACGGCCCCTTCAAACTTTGACTTTTTGCTTGTCTGAAATTGAGCCCCATCAAGTGATCAGTGCAGGTGCAAAATATGAATTGAATTATACGTGGGTTGATCAAATGTATCCGAGTTTTTCTAGGCTGTTACCAATGTCTTGGAGAGAGTCATTATACCAGTCGTTCAAACCCTCGTGTATCTCATATCCCAAAATAGCTGCCAAGTCTCGCCTTTTTTCATACTCCTGCAGGTATTTTGAGTGTAGGTGCTGGTAACAAAGAGCTTTCTTCAAGTCAGGGTCCGTTGCCGGTTGTTGCAAGACAATTGGGTCATCGCTGCTTAAGGGAATGAATTTTATAATCCCATATTTCCTCCGAACCCGTAAAATACCAGACTCAAGCACCGCAAGATCCACTAGAAATGCATTCTTTGTACAGCCATGCTCGTCCTGGGCTTGATGCTGAGCACCAAGCTCTTGGAGAGGAACGGCATCAACAACCACATCGTCGAGGCCATTTCTCTTGATGTCTTTCATAAGTTGAGTTATATCGTGAGAAAACAAAATCCGCACAGTCTTGTTGGGTTAGGTCTCGGTGGTCAATGTGGGGGGAAGGGCAGCTTACGTGCAAGCGAATCGGCGCTGAATCTCTGGTAGAAACACCATTATCGGGCTCGGTGCCTTTCGTGGATTCATGCATGTTACTTCGATTGGGATCTGGGCCTCCAAATAAATGCGTTTCGCGCGAGTTGCCCGGGGAAAAGAAAAAAGAAGATATGCAGTTCGAAAAAACCCAACGAACTCTATGTAGGCTCAAGCAGACCATGGTCTTGCAATCGTGAAATCCTGGTCAATGATTCGGATAAACCTGAGAAACAGTAGTTTATATCATGATGATCCAGCAGACTTGTCATTTCTTTTGCATATGCCACTGATTACAGGTCTAGGACAGTGAAAGTTAGTTTCAACCAAAATTTCAAAATTAATGAGAAACAGCCTTCTAAAAATTTGAGCGATGCCCGAGATATTGTGCGAAATAATTAGTGGGCTCTCTTTGATCCATTCTTTTGGGCGGTCTCGAAAGTCCGAAGGCGCTAGTATCATACTCCGTCCACGTATTTTGAGTCTATTTTTCGCTTCTCTGACGTTGCTAATGCGCATGTGAGCTCATGCGGTGGGCATATACTGCGCCCAATCATTCTTGTTAGTAGATTTTGTATTGACTCTCCTTCCCCGCTATCTCCTCAGAGGACTGAATCATCTATTCTACATCGTACTGTCATCTTTGAATGGCTTCGTTTGTCCATGAGATGGAATCCAGCAATGCTATCCACTACGTCGCCGGTTTGGAGAGGCACATTTATCACCTTCAGCGGATACTGAGAGAATGGACGCCTTACATCCCACAGCATGTCCTCGTGCGATCTCAAATTCCACTCGAAACCACACCATCCCATCTTCTCCAGCCTCCCAGCTCCCAAACCCTTTCAGTGACTCAGCGTAAAAGGGTTTCGCTATCAGGTTCATCTCGATCGGAAGATACGTGGATGAAGCCATTAGAAAGTTTCATCAACAAGATTCCTTGCGCAGAAAAGTGGTCTGGAGCCGTATCTTCCTCTTTCCCTCGAATTTCCGTTTTGGATTCATTATTCCAAAGCGAAGGTTGCCTACGAGACAGTGATTCCCCAACATCAGCTATCCCTTCTCGGCATTCAGACATCATCCAAACTCTTGGGGCTTTTGCTTCGCTCGCACAAAAATGCGCCAACAATGCGAAGTGGGCGAGATTGATGTCATCCTACCAGAATTTCTTGTTAAGTGCGCTTTGCCATGTTGCGTGTTGTCTTGGTGTGGATCCAAATTCGGTGAACAAGATGATGAGATGTATTTCAAAAGGCGGAGCCAACCATCTTCAGGAACTTCGGCATGGTGCGGCTTGGGGGGTCGAGGCAATTGACCGCCTTCAAACTGAGAGCGGTTGGGATATCAGAAGTGGTGATATATTGTTTTACTGTCAGGCTTCCTTGCCAATTGGGTTCATACGGAGCTGACAAATGAATATAGTTACCCCGACCTTTACTTCATTGAGGTACTGGGCGAAAGCAACCAAATCGATACCCATATTTACCACCCGTCTGAAAGAAGACCAATATAAGAAAAGCCCAGAGAGTTTGCACTCAAACCATCTCTCTGTTCCGTGCATCATCAAATGCATATTTGGCAAAAGTGTCCAGTACGTCTACGAACCGTTTCGCTTGTCGCTTTTTACTTACAGTTAGCCTAGACTCTCCGACGTGTGTAATGTTCTACACTGCAATTTTGATATTGCTCTGGAATCGTTTGCAAAATGGTACCTAGATCCATTTGGTTCAGATGCCATGGATGAACTGGAAAGACAAAGGCTCTTCTTTCCCGTGCATCAGTTTTCCCTGGACAGGCAAGCTGACTTTGGGGTTGAATCCCAAACGGAAAGGGACTCGCAGCCCGCAAGAGACTTATTGCACGAAGCGCGGAAAAGACGTCGCGTTGGCAGCGGGACCAATTTAAATCTAGACGGCCCGTCTCTCAATCCAATTCTGTCGGCCAATGTACAACTACAGACAACCTCTGAGGAAGATCCCAATCGTTCCATTCCAAATCTATCGGGTGAGCCTTCCGGGCAATGAGATCCATCAACATGATGCTGACTCCCACAGACCAGGAGAGAGCTTCCCTGAGCAGGAATCCAAACCCTGAGGGTTTCCCACATCAAGTGACATGTGACCATCGACTGCGGCTTGTTAGTCCAGATCCGCAATATACAGTCCACGGGCGTCAGACAGCATGTTCGCTCCCCCAAATTCACCAAGATGACTCACGTAGGTCATCGACAATGATGAATGATCACTACAGACCAGGAGGTCAAGTGGGCATTGTCAGACAAACAATATCTCCTGCTATCCTCCAATTAGAACCATCACCAAGCTTTACAGACCATCAATCTCCCCTACACTTTCGACGAGCTGCCATAGGATCTCTCGAACGGGATTTGCCCACCTCCAGTGGAATTCGAGGGTCCGCGATCAGCGAAATGCTCAATGTCTCGAATGCAGCAGTCTGTGATGAAGTGATTCTTCCACCGATAGGAAGGACTGGCGTGGCTAACGGATTGCATGGCAATTTGGCAACGAGCGATGGCTCTCAGGAGCTACATTCTCAATTCACTCCATCGAACCAAAGTTTCGTTGGCGGATATCCGTCACAGTATTCTACGGCTGGCCAAGGTGCTCAATATGCAGGGGTCGGTGAGCCGCAAGTCGTTGACACATCACTCTGCTCTCATAATATGTTGTCTTCATTGCTATTTGAGGAACAAGAAGGCCCGCATATCGATGCCGAGCCCCAGAGAGTTGACACATCCCTTCGGTCGCATTACATGCTGCATGATCTTCTAGACCAGTTTGAACAATCACGACAACAGCCTGATTCCGACATAACCTACCAAACGCAATTCACTGTCTAGCAACAACAAATGAAGAGAATCAGTATGTGCAAGATTCGATCACGCAGTCATGCCAAGTGATATAGACTTTCCAACGCTTCCCTAATCGAATCGCCGCATTCACTCCCTAGCCATAGTTGTCATATATTCATTTTTTCTTTGTTGCGCTGGAAACATAAATGCAGTCCATAGGCGGGTGTATGACATCTTCGTTGCATACACGGGTTATTGATCCCAGTGGTAGAGGGCGTCCTTGTCCGACTCGCGGAGTCCCCGAAAGAACGATGAGATCGCCAGAGCCTGCTTTGCTCTTGAATTGAGATGATGCCTCGGTTCTCCATGCAGAATATTCAAATCCCTATAGCTCTAGTGGTCAGCCTGCTGCATAACGTACTGTTTGTTGCAGAAGATACCTCTTCGTAAACCCCACTGTCAACTAAAAGAGTCCAAACCCGCCGTCCCAACTCACGGTCGTTGCATGAGGATACACCTTTCGCAAATGCTTCAAAAGATGCAGTACTGAACCATTGTGAGAATGCTTTTCGTCGACCTTCATCGATGGAAGAGCATGTCGTTTCGTCAGGCGGCATCGCTTATCCGAGGATAAAGGTAAATGCGTCTCAAAGGGGCAAGTTCAGCTGATCGGATCCTGTAGATGCATAGTTACTATAATCAGTTTCTCCCTTGATTTATCGCCTCTTTCCACTTACTGAATGTGGTGGAACCATCGCGGGGAATATTTTATATTATCGTTTCCTGGTCAGCGCCCAACGCATAACCCCTCATCACGTGCCATTTTGTATTATCATGTGATTAATAGCACCATTATTTAAAAGCTCCGTATGATCTCACCTCTGCTAAAGTGAGAAGAATCCAAACTCCTATTCCTCTAGCCTTCACGGTGATGATGGCTGGTTTCCACTTCACTGAACAAAAGTTGGGCAATGATCTTGTCTCGTCTATTTCTAGTCTTCTCGACTCAATAAATGTCCCAAACCTTCTCTGGGGCAACTATCTACTCACTGTTTATGGAGTTCCCACGATTGTGGATGTCAGTATTGTCTCGATTGGCCGGAGCATCCACTAATGTTCTAACAGGAAGCAGCTTTTGTTATTCCGGATGATCTCACCCAGGTCGCATTCTCTTCACTCATGAGTGCTGGGTTTTTACCCTGTAACCAAAGCTCGGGCTGTCCGCATTCAGATACCTTACGAGTCCCACCGGCATTCAAGCACCTGCATATTAATGATGAGCTTGTGGTCTCGCTTTATCGGAAATCTGATGTGCTATGGGAGTTTGAAGATCTAAGGTACTTGCCTGAGAAAAATCCAGATATCATGATTGCGTCGGACGATCGACTCCCGTCGGCATCTCTAGGTCGTGGCCGAGGACGCTTCTCGTCGCATCCTTGTACCGTGAAACTCCCTTGTGCTGTGAGATATTGCGAGGCCCTGATTCTGTTGCTTTGCCGTGACTACGATTCTTCTTACGAGACTTATTGGTTGGCTATTCTGAGCTATATGTTGGAGTATGTCGACGGTACGGACATTTTGGATGAAAACAAGCTGCAAGAAGGTTACAGAAAGTTTTACCATGCCCTCAAACAGGGAGATCCTGAGATGTATTCAATGCTGGATGAGCTCCGACTCAGCTTGATTGAAGAGCGTCGCCTCCCAATGATAAATGATTAACAAGACCGGGCTAATACCTCAATCTCCAATCGAAATAAACATAATTTGGCCACTCAAACTCTAGATTTCAACCGTCTTCTCACAATCAAATCCTTCAGACTGAGTGAAGTAATAACCTCTTTGGTTTGAGGTCACTGTTTTCCCAGTTTTCAAGTCTTGGAAGTCACAATTGAAATGCGTGTGGCCAAAAGCCCAAAGTTTGACAACCCCATTTTCCCAACAAGGCTCGCTTGATAGGTCGGTCATGAAAGCTGAGGAGATTTTGCTGTTCCTATGTCTGGGATCGACAACCATAGCGTGGGTTGATGGGCAGAAATGAGTAAACACGACAACCTTACGATCAGGCTCCGAGCGCGAAATATGTTCAATTTCTTGGTTCAGCCACACTAGATCGGCATGGTGCGCATCTTGATGGGCTTCGATGGTCCAATCATCAATGTAATAGAAGTCATTCAGACCGAAATTAACGCTTTCTTTTTGTGCTTGGGCCACCCGCGAGAACAAAGTACATCCGAGGACGGTGATCCCAGGTGAAATGTCGTAGCGCGTTTGATCGAGAATGACAAGTTTACCGAGCGTCTCGCTGGATCCTCGAGTGTCGTCAATTCTCGTTTTGAACTTGTTGACGGCGGATTTTGTCTCAGACCAGCTGCTGTGATACGCTTCGTGATTACCCATCACCAAAAAAACGATGCGGAACACTTCCAGCTGCCTACGCAGGAAGTGGAACAAGCCTTCGTCTTTGACATAGCCAATGTCGCCGAGTAGGGCTAAATATGGTGCCTTGGGGTTGACTTCGAAGACGTCATATGCAGCAGGAGATTCCAGGTGCAGGTCAGAAATAATCTGGAACATCATATCGTCCTTTGGCGTTCTATTTGTGGCAAAATTTGTTTCATGCTAGAAAGTGGTTGTCGGGGTTACGGGGTGGTCGGCGCTAAATGTCGCTGTTGGTGGTACCGTAGGTCACATGACTGTTTATAACCAAGAACCGATGTGCGGCTGGTCGCCCTGTGAGCGTATATATAAACTAAGTCTTAGGAACCAAAGCTAGCTCGTCAGGATCCTCTGGATAACTTCTAAATATTTGAGTCTCCATCTAGTTGCTTATAAAGCATTCGTTCATCTCTACCATGTCTACGCCGTCCTTTGCTGAACTGGAGGTCGCTGCTGGAGCAGTAATTGATATCCTCAAAACCATGCCTGAATTCTCGAACTCCAGAATAGCTGTCATCGGGGGCTTGGGTCTTTGGAATTATCTCCGACGCTATCGCACTACTGAGGTTCGATTTCATGATTTTATCTGCTTGAATATTCTCTGAATAATGTTTGAAATAGGATGTCGATTTCCTCATCACTGTTCAAGGAGCGCCCAAAGCAGTCAAGGACAGGCTGCTTGCTATGCCATCGAGTCAGTTCCAGCAACAGGCTCAACTCTTTTTTTACAAAGGAGTGGGCGGCAAGTCGATTCAAATTGACATCACTCCTGATTGGCAGGTAAGCTCGGTGACCAGTTTTCATTGCAAACAAAACATATACTTATGGTTTACAGTCTCCCTACGTTCCATCCGCCGCGGTGCCAATATCGGCAGCTCGATCAAACGCCTTGCCTTATATTTCCGAGCTTGATCTTCTCGTCTTCAAGATCAATTGTTGCGGTTTGCGACCCACGCCGGCCAAGAAGCTACGTGATGCAACCGATGCAAGGACATTGGCAGAAGATATGTGTTCCAGAGGATCTATTAATCTCACGCCTGCTCAAAAGAGTGCTGTTCTCCAGGGCTTAGATGATGTAGCCCAGCTCTCCAGAAGAGATAAGTCGTGGTGGATGGCAAAGTTGGCACTGTAATAGTGGTTGTCTGAGTATGGCTCGACGATGGGTCTGAATGGAACAAAGATCAGCAGCAATGATATGTAACGGTTGTAACCTGCGAACGGAGTCTTGCTAGCCCAATAAAGAGCCGATATGCTATGGTAACGACAAAGGTGTTCCTTCGTCCAATCAGCTGGCTGCATATTTCTGAAAGCCCGTTGGGGATACGCACGGACCTAGGACCTAAGTGGAGAAGGATATACGTAAATATTAAAACCACCTGAATTTTCCGCGCTGGCTACACTTCCCCCTCTCATTTCCTCTCCCTGACTTTCGAACTTGGCTAATATTCCTCTCCTCCTGTTAGGCCAGCGGGCTATGTAGGAGCGGTCATATAGATGGATGGGCTACGTAGGTATGGCCATGCTTTTCTAGATCGAAGCCTTCGTGGGTCGTGGGCGAGTGCCAGGTGGGGCCCATGGAGCAACGCCAAGAGGTAAGCACACGCCCTGTAGGGACAGCCATGGAGAAAATCCTTGAGGATCTGCAAGGCTAGAAGCAATGCGCAAAGGCGCAAATCTTCTTCACAGCTAGAGTTTGAGCAAAAGCGCATGTTAACGTTTATGTCTTTGCGCATGTAAGAGATTACTTATAAAATAAAAAGCCACAGGTGCACATCAGATCCATGTAATTTGGGTCTTTCTTGGAATCTGGCACGAAAATGATTGGGAGTTCCGAAACTTTCTGGGGAGTAGAAAAGGGGGTTCTTGCTTGGCGGAAGGTGCTCACCGGGTAATAATTCGGCCGGTCCGAAACTGAGTAATTGTACTCCATACTTGCAGGAGTTGCGCCTACAGACTTGCAAACTTAGTGCAGCTTCGCTTCAACACCACACCCCAATTGTTTGTGAGGGCCGAGGTAGTTGAGGGACTGCTGTCACGGCCTACCGTTGATTCTCAATTAATTGATGACAGTCCCTTGGTCAGATTAAATGAACTAGTCTAGGAGACATAAAGGCCTACCTAATTCTAAGTTCAACAAAGGTTAGTGGAGAAACGGAGGTGGTGATACTGTAGCAATTAAAATTCAAGTATTTAGATGTTTTAATATGAGGCCGTTGAAAGTGGTGATAAAAGTGGTGAGAAGGTCGTTTAGACGTTGTCCTCTCTATAGAAAAGTCGAGTTGATTGAATGATTGGTTAAACGTGAGGAAAAGCAATGGCGGGCGGTGAAATTGTGACCGAACTACCCGCCCAAGATTGGTCAGGTATTATAGCATAATTGGCTTAGGAAGCCTACAACTTGCAAATTGAGAGAAGTTCAAGTCGCAAGGTATATTGCATAATCTGATAAATATCATGCCAGAAATTGCTTCCCTCCTGTTTCCCTAAATCCCCAAGGGTGTCTGGGCATTAAACGCTGCACGTGATGAATCAATTATTGCTATTTCAGATAGACTGCATAATAGCAAACCTAATCAAGCCTAGCGGCACTCTGAACGACATTGAGAGAGACACTAACATCGTGGTATCTCTTATCTCCATCGCAAACCCTCGCAACAACAATCCTATTGTGGGTGGCTAGTTTCCTCCAAGAATATATACGGAGGAAACAAATAGAGCCAAAACACAGTTGTCGTTCCCCGAACGACACAGTCTGCTTATTGGTGCTCCTAGGGTATTACCTATCATTCCCGGAGCTATACAGTCCACTCCCGCGAGCTGGAGATCCTCTGGGAACTATGACTTGACTCCTAGAAACGACTAAGAGAGTGCCTAGGAGTTATGTTATGGATTCTGGGATTGTATTCGATCCCAGAAAAGTGAGGGTCCCACTCGCGAGATAAAAAGTGGGCTCTGGTATAGGTAATCAATAATTAGAATGCAAATTAAAATGCGGGCTAAGTGCAAAGACACCGGTTGAAGAGACATGATGTTGATGAACAATAAATAACCTGCAACCAACGGTTATTTGGGAGTTGACCGGAAGTACAATTAATATTAATAACGCCTTCCACTATAATCAGTATAGTAGAATGAACGAGAATAAACACATAGTTTATAAGACATCGACGAGTAGTATAATGCCTATCGTGGTGAGAAACGAGGGCTAACGCTTGCAGCTGTTGATTAAACGATCGGTTGTTAGAAATGTGAGGGTTAAAACAAAATTAAATAATTCATTTTCTTTTTAAATAACTGAAAGAAGTAGGGTGTTTATTGAATATCATTGGCTAGATAACTGTCTCCACTCCAAATCAGCGCATTTTCCTAATACCTAGGCACCCCCCAAGTTTACAGCAAAAAATTCATTTCACCTAGGTTAGAGATGTCCTAGGCAAGCCCGGTGCCAAGCCTATTTCTGCCATATCTTCCAGATAGTTTTCCAACCTTCACGAGAGCTTCTTATTAATTCGTGTACTGACTTTTCCATACCTCTAGAAGCCACTTTGTCTCCACCACGATTGAATTACGTACCCGATAAGCTGACTACACAGGCTATCTACTTTCCCCTATCCTCAGGCCTACTAGGAGTCGTGAATGTCTTCGGAATTTACAGCGAACTCTTGAGTACCCTCTGGAACCACAAATCATCGTGCTTTACCCTCAGGGCCTCAGTGACTTCGAATCCATTGCGATAATGACTGTTTCAGGTCATGGACCGAGGATATGGCAAAAAATAATTGATTGCATAGTTCTGGTCTGGTGGAAGTTTCGCTTGGTCGTACAACTTCATGTATGTTGTTCAGGTTCAGGTGTATCTTTATCAACCTGCTCCAGATCCTGATCTGTTACTAGCTTTGGGGCTGGATGGTAGAGGTTGGCTTTCCCAAAAAAAAGGTCGAGGAGCCGGTCAACAATACTATATTAACGCATCAAGCTGAGGCCTAGTTATGCTATAATTTTCTTTGTGACAGCTAACCGATGTGTAAACATTGGGTGTCTCCGACGAGAAACGGTCAACTGCACTGTGGGGTTAAAGCAACGGATTTTTTATTTTTTATTTTTTTATTTTGTATTTATTGATTTCACAATTGGCATCCCTCAAATTCAGGAGGTAAAGATCTGATTACTCTTCTGGACTCGGATTTCTGAGCTAGCTAATTGTTTAATCACCAACTGCAAGTCTACTCTTAGCCTTTGACCCTCATGTTCTCACCACTCATCGGCTAATCAATGACGTTTCGTTCATTCTACTATTATCATGGAAAACATCGTTGAAAGTACAAATTTGGCCAACTGTCTTTCTGTTGCCTAGTATTCTATAGCCATCCTGTGTTCCTAAATCTGTTGCTCTTTCCATCTGAATCTAGAATATCGAACATGGGAGTCTGTATTACCGAATTTGGGTTAGCGTCACTCTGAACCACAGGAATAGAGACGCTAAGAGAATTAAGCATTAGTGAGTGGTAGCCAACGATGGATCAGGGAATTTTGAGGCATATGATGAGAAGCTATTTGGCTCAACTTTTTGAGGTCGATGGATCTTAGGGAAGATGAGGAGATGGTTGATCTACCAGATAAGACATGTCTCCGTTCAGAATATTATGCATACGTGCTGATATTCCCTCAATTCTAAAAAAAAGTGCGGTCTAGGATATAACCCCTGGGGTATTTACACAAGCTTCAAGTGATGATAATGAAGGTCTTTTTTGATGTGAGTGGTTATCTCTTCGGCATTTTTGATAGATTTATGCGGGCTCCTTGGTTCTATGGTACACTTTGCCATCAACCTGCTCAAAACTGCTGATACTGTCAGAGACCACCAGGACCAAGCAAGGCTTGTCCCTATAAATACCTCGTAGACGTCGGCCCTCCAAGTATTTTTTTATCTAATGATCATTGCAGGTTGTGTCAACGAACAAAGTTCAGCGACTCGTGCAGAGATCCTATTCCTTACAAGGCCTTAACTGCCCAGATAAGTCAGGTACGTCTTTTTACTTTCCCATGAAGTCCCCTGGAATGATTGTATGATGTCTAACCGCAAAGCCTAGAGCATACCGAAGCGTGTTTTGTCAAACAGACGGACAGCGAGAGGTAAGCTTATTCTCTCTATTTTGAAAGAACTTCGCTGACTACTAGCTTTATTGTGCACCTTCCTCACAGCGAAATGACGTAACATAGTTGTCGTTCGAAGTAAACGGCTGCCATAGGAGGGCAGAATGAGGGCCTCGCGAATGATGCAATTGAGATAGTGATCTCGCTGTGGTGACTGTGCATGAAGAGGATTTTGCAGGCGGGCCGAATTTATATATGCACTGACGAGGCAAATCTAGGTGCCATCGAAACAGCGTATATTTGGAAACAGAGGCTCTGAATCAACGGCCAAAGTGCCTTGTCGGCGTGGGCCGTATTGTAAAATGTAGGGGTCCAATCAATGGTGTTCAACTCTCTGTATTGCTGTATCGACTTTCCTAACAATTTATATGGGCCGCCGATTACTAATCTAAAATTACAAAATGCATAGGATCAATGGATCCTCCGGTATGCCGGTATGCCAGTGCATCTACTCCGACACACCCCCTCAGCGGGCCCAGTATGCATACTGAGGTCGCTGCACTTCATACATTGGCATGCTGCATGATCCATTCTCTTCCCCAATTCCTAGGCTATAAGATAGCCTATATCCACCATCCTTAGCAGTCGTACGAAGTTCTCATGCTTCTGTCGGGATAGCAGCTTTGTGAGGCCATCGGCAACCATGCTCGCCGTCGCCACCCAGCGTACCATGATACGTCCTGCTCTGACTTCCTATCTCAGCCAGTGGTGGTGTATATCCACATGTCGTAGCTTCGTTTCGAAGGCTACATCCTCGCTTGTCAAGAGGCTGATCGTCCTCTCATTATCACAGTCAATGGTTAGGTGATGAGACGGGGTAAATGCTAGGTTGTTAAGCAGCCGCCGCCACCATTGAACCTGCTTCCCGGCCTCGGATAGGCCTAGCAGTTCTGCTTCCGTGGTTGACGTTGTCACAGTGGGTTGCTTGCTGGCTTTCCAGTCAACTGGACCGCCGTATGCCTGGCAGATATATCCAGCTGAACTCCTTCTGTTAGGGTGGTCCCCGTACGAAGCATCGCTTGCAAATTGCACCGAGTCCATTCCTGTACTGGCTGCTCCGGCACTATATTCAATAGCCAGATTCCGGGTGGTGTAGAGATAGGTGATGACTCGATCAGCTGCCTACTAGTGCTAGGGACCTAGATTTGTGAGGAACTGCGCAAGCCGAGCGGTGGCTTTTGCAGCGTCCGGTCTGGTGATTGTGGTGGCATATCCTACAGATCCAACCTTCTGTTGGTATAAATGGATCTCTCTCGGCGTAGCCGTACCCTAGTAGGGTGTCAATTCGTCAACTGGCAGTGGTGTATAGACAGGTGGACGGTCTGTCAGATTGTATCGGGTAGCAATGCTCGTCACATAGCTATCCTGACAGAGCCAAAGCTTCTTCTGCTGTCTATCTCGGACGATCCGGATATTAAGAAACCATGCCGCTTCTCCATGATCTGTTAGCTCCCAGTGTGCTTCCAGGTCTCGCTCCAGCTGCTGTGCTTGCGCTTTAGCAGTACAGTGACTAGCGATCAGGATATCGTCCACATAGAAGAAAACCAGCAAGCCCTATCCCATAAAGACGTAGGGGTCTTCCGGCATCTGTTGTAACCCTAGCTTGCGTAGTACACTTGCTGCTTCTCGTTACTATAGCCTCGGTGAGATCCGCAGTCCGTACAAAGCACGGCGTAGCTTCCAGCACTTGCCTAGGGTCTGGAACCCTTCTGGCATATAGGTGTACGTCTCCTTCTCATCTAGCTTGCTATTTAGGAATGCAGTGACAGCATCCCGCTGTCGCAAATCCAGATCAAAAGCAGCCACTAGTGCGAAGATCATCCTTGCTGTCCTTGCTGCTAGTGTAGCAGCCCTTTTCTCTTCGTGAGAAATGGTTCCAAGATCTCCTCGTACGCAGATACGAGCCTTCAGTTTTAATAGGTAACCGTCCTAGTCAAATTTGTATGAGAAAACCTATAGTAGAGGGAGGATCTGCTTCCCTCTGTCCCTTAGTCTGTCGATGATTTCAAAAGTTTCCTTTTCAGATAGCGAATTGATCTCTTTCCTCATTGCTACGAGGAAGCCTTCCTGAAATGGGTGATTTATAACATCCTTCCAATGCTTCGGCGGTGGAGGAAGATCATCTCGATGACGACGACTGTCCGGTTTCTCTACGTATAAACCAGCGGCAAAGGCATGGAGTAGAGCCGGGGGCTCTTCATCCCGTACTATAGTGGTTGTTGCATATGCAAAATCGTCATCTCTTCTTGCTCTGCGTGTTCGTCTTCCACTTAGTATGTTGCCGGTGTCAATGTCACTAACTATCTCTCTGCTTGGTGCTAGCAGCTCAGACTGTAGCTGCCTTTCGAGCTCATCTTCTATAGGATTAGGAGTAGGTTCGTGCTGAGCCTAATCTTCGTACTGGGTCTGGTCTTGATGCGCTGGATCTTCTTGATCAGCCTATATATCCACCCCCTGACTAGAGCTAGTATTCGCTTCTTCTTCCTGTTCTTGTGGCGGGGTTATCGGCAATGGTGGTAGATCCTGATCCTCCGGAAATACACCTGGTGGTGCTATACGCGCCGATGGATGACTAGATGTTGGCCAGTATACTTCTTCTCTCACCCCCTAACTCGGGGTAGTCTCTCGTTGAGCACTTGCTTTACTAGTTGCTTCTTGAATCACTTCCTGAGAAGTATCTTGCGCTTGTTGAGGACTCCCCTGTGCTTGCTGAGGATTATCTTGCTGGGAATCATGCTACTGGGGATCATCCCGATCCTACATGCCCTGACTTTCCTCCATCGTACTAGTCTGTTGACCAGTGATTTCATAGTTGATCACCTAGGTGATCTCTTCAGCTGTGAGTTCTTGCGGTTGCTTCACTAGCGGTAGTGGGATCGGCTTATACTGGTCGTACTCAGGTGTGTACTTCCGGGTTTCATCAATGACTGCATCCCTTATATGCTTCACCTTTCCACTATGCGGAAACCAGATCTTCCAGATATTCGAGGCACGGTACCCTACCAGGAAGCCAATCTCTGCTCGAGGGTGCATCTTATCAGACTATACTTGATTCTCAATCCTACAGTACGCCATGCTCCCGTATAGCCTGACATTTGACAGGTTAGTCTTCGGTATCACCGGTGCAAATTCCTTCCTAACTTCTTCCCACGGAACCACCCAGCGGTTCTCGGTAGCGATATACGACGGCGTACGATTCAATAACCATACGGCGGCGCTTGCAAATTCTGGCCATAGGTCCTTAGGAAGCTTCCCTTCGAGAGCGAGCATACGCATGCGGGTGATGATCATCCCGCCAGATCTCTCAGCATACCCATTCATTTCTGAGTGTCCAGGAGGAGTATGATATACTAAGATACCATCAGCCGTTAGGCTGTACTCCGCTGCTCTGCCTGCTGCGGCTTCATTATCGTAGTGGAAAGCCTTGATCGGCAGCTTCCACTGATTCCTTGCTAGCTGTACGAACTCCTTTATCGCAAGCTGGCATTCCGGTTTGACTTCATGTGTCATGATCCAATGGAACCTCGGTCCTTCTAGATAGAAGTGAGATATCCAGCGATGTCTGTTGTACGCCGGTGGCAGTTGAATTAGATCAAAGTGCACCCTTCCAAATCGTCCAAAGGATCTTCCGACTGGCCGTCGTGATATCTGCCTCGGAGCACTTCCTGTCTTACAGATTTGACATAGAGATTGCTGCTCCGTCGACTTCTTATCTTCAAGAACGACGCCGTCTACCATGCTAGCAAGCTTTGCTATAGTACGTGGTTCAACGTGGGCTAGGCGCCGATGCCATAATTCGGAGGAAGCCTTTGATTCCTGCGGCTTCACTAAGTTCAGTACGCCTGCCTGGGTGGCATATGCCTGCTGCGGAGGAGCTTCGCCAGGCTTATCAAAAAGCCAGAGGTTAAAGTGATCCCAAAAGTGTACACTAACGACAGGCCTATCATTAGGATCCCGTATGCAATTCGTCTTTTGACACCAAAGGCCACCTTTCTTCCTTAGCATCGCGTATGATACTAGATTTGTATGGAATCCAGGTGAGTATAGAGCATCACTCAATGTGATCTCCATCCTTCCCTTCACCGGGTGTCTTCCTATCAGGCGAACTGTACCCCTACCGAGCATCTTTGTGGTGCTGTCTCCAGTTGAAACTTCCATATCGTCCGGGGTGAAGTCAACAAATAAGCTCCTATCATTACAGATATGCGTACTCGATCCAGTGTCGAGAATCCATCGATCATGAAGAGAGGGCTCGTCGCTTTTTGCTACAGATAGCACATGCTTACTAATCTGTACGGCTTCATGCTTTTGGTAGGTGGTAGCAAAGCTAACCTGGTTAGCATATTCCGCCTTTAGCTGAGCTTCAGCAACCACTTTGTCGACCCATTGCTTCCAAGCGAGGTCCTTTGCTAACTTCTTCTTCGCTTTCTCTAGCGTACGCTCATTAAGAGTGTATCCCTCCGGTCGAATTGCTTCATTCATGATATAGCAAGTGGCAACCTTATGCCTCGGGTGGGAGCTGCCACAGGGACAGCGTCTCTTTTCAAATGGGAGCTTCTCTTGCTTCATTTCCGGTTTCGCTTCTTGGTGTCCTTGCCAGGTTGAAAATGCACCTTTTGGAGCATTAGTTAAGGTCACAGTTTGGACACCTATCTCACGATTCATAGCGCGGAATGATTCGAGAAGATCTCGAGTATCGTACACCTTCTTGTCCATAACAATCTCCTAGTATTTCCCTTGCCACCAGATAGGGAGCACCTCTTTCACAGCGTGTAAGAAGTCCCTATTTGCATCTCCATCATTAATGCCAAGACTGACAGCTTGCTCTCTTAGTGTGTTCCACTGTTAAAGCCATTCCTCGATGTCTCCTATCGGCTTCTGCATTGCAAAGACCTTCCACTTCATACGGATTTCTTCTTCGTACGCAGTCGATCGGGCAAAGCGAGACTTCAGATACACAAGCCTATCATACAGAGTACGATATGCAACTAGAGAGAGATGGTGGATTGGATCAAGGTATGTGAGGATATATTCATTTACATCGCTCAGTCCTTTTGCCTGCTTTTCCCACCTTATGTACTTCACTTTGTACACATCCATACGGTCTCGCCAGATCCTTCGGTCCCTCTCATCGCCTTCCTCGGGGTATTCGGGTTCCGCCGGTTCTTAGAGAGGCTCAGGTCGTTTATTAGCGAGATCGGTTGTCGTGGTGAGGTCTGGATTGCATAGATCCCATACGTTCTTTTGTACGGCATATAGCTGCACCTTTGCAAACCAGGTGAACCACTACGGCGAGTCCTTCAGTTTTTCGCCCTTCATGGCGGAGAGGATTGATGCTGCCTCCATTACTGGATTCAGGGGTAGCTTTGTACAGCTTCAGAATAGCTTCAGGGGTCGCGAGACACTTCTAGCAGCGTGCTAGATACTGTATTCCAACTATAGTAGTCTCATTCAGTGCGAACCGGGCTCATAACTGTCGGCGTGGGCCGTATTGTAAAATGTAGGGGTCCAATCAATGGTGTTCAACTCTCTGTATTGCTGTATCGACTTTCCTAACAATTTATATGGGCCGCCGATTACTAATCTAAAATTACAAAATGCATAGGATCAATGGATCCTCCGGTATGCCGGTATGCCAGTGCATCTACTCCGACATGCCTTATATGCCTGAGGCACCAATCGAATCTGCAGTCAAGGGGTGAGTAAGCTGGATCCCTCCGTGACAGTCCGTTCCCCTCGCCAAACAGCAGGCGGCCTACTCTGTTAACTTCATTCGATTATCTGCTGGATACTTTTATAAACAAGGGATCGAGGAAACAATTGCTGAATTACGATGTCAGCCTGAAGAATAACAAAGGCTCCGAGAAGCAGCAGAGCGCAGCCAGGAGGAAGAACGGCGACTCCAACCCACACCGTATTGGCATTCTCTATCGCCGTCACATCTCTGTCTAGAGCGATCCGAGTTGAGTCGGATGGACCCTCATGACTCAGGGCGAGGCGACTGACCCAGTGAACTGACTTTGCCCCCAGCGCATAGTCCCTTTGAAACCAGAGAAAATCCAATTTTTTGGTGAGTGCTGAGGCCTCCCTTTTGTCCAGGAAGGGGATATTATGTCATACTTTGAGATGCTAAAATTAACTAGTTAGTTAACCAATAGAAACCTTGCGTCATTTGCCGGGAAATACTTCTACCGGAAACCGTGATCGGCTGACATCAGCCTCCTGGATCAAGCATCCACCAATCGAGACCTGTCGCGATTGTCTCAAGCTATTTCCCCCTCGGACAGATCGATGGCCGACAACAACTCCCCAGATTACAAGGCTCTCTTTCTGCAGGCGGAAAAGAGACGCAAAGAGGCCGAAGAGCAACAAAGACAGGCCGAAGAGCGACAGAAGCAGGCCGAAGATGAAGGAAGACGAGAGAAAAGGAGGCGGGAGCAGGAAGAGGAGAGACGGAAGCAAGCCGAAGATGAAGGCAGACAGGAGAAAGAGAGACGAGAACAACTTCAAAAGCTCAGCCGACCGACCACTTTCGTGGAATTCTTACGCCATTCGCATGACCTGCTCTCCCGACCGCTGAGAGTCGAGATACCATCTCGCTCGATAACTGGCAAAATACCCCTTCCCACTGGGAAATATTACCCAATACGATTAGAACACTAGACCAACTGCTCAGCACTGCAGTCGGAGCTTTTCAGGTCCGTCTACAACTATCTCCAGTTAATACCAGGAGGCGCTCCGCGTTTATTTTCATCCTTATATAAGCTAGAAGGATTAGGCCGACGACTTGGTCGCAAGCCTATAAGTAGCGAGTAAGAACTTAAGGCCTATAAGCGGTTCGCTGTAGAAGAGCATATTAACGATATAATAACGGAGTTATACAAGATACCCGCTACTTATAATGAGCTCGGCCTCGGAGATAGCATCCAGTTTAGCAATTATATAAATTCCTTAAACGATAACGGTACTATTAAAGTAGATATAACTTAACCGTTAAGTATATACTACCTAAGACCTAACCAATTCTATATCTATTGTATCGACCGCAATACTACTACTCTCCTTATATCAGTTAAGTATAAGCTACCTTATAAGCTTTCTATCGCTACCCTTCGTATAGGGCTCTGACCAATAGACTTATAGAAGGATATAGTTAGATTAAATAAAATACTAATAAACCAGAAAGCGAAGCTAAGGTATAATACAGAGCGACTTATCTATTCTGCTCTTATCTAGGAGTATTATATAATAATCTAGGAAGGGCTCGAGTACTCCTATATAACTAATAGGATTACCTAGGTCCTCCTCTATATTTAATAAAACAATCCTAGTATACTCTACTACTTTCTATATAATCCTAACAGTAAAGTAAATATAGAAATAGAAGCTACCTTTATAAATAGTTCTATTATAAGAATACTATATTTATATCTAATAGTATTCTACTTACCTATATAAGGTTAGGAGTAGAGGAATTCCATACAATCAGATATTCTAATATAGAAAACTAGTTTTAATTACACTTACTCTTATATTCCCGAAGACAAATTCCTATAACTTTCCCTTAACTCTAACAGTACTACCCCAGAATTTCTAAGCCTAGATTCTAGTTTAACTTATAAACCATTATTATCTCTACTAGATTCCTCTAAATCAATAGCTTATTAAGTATCTACTAGATCTTAAGTTAGCTATACCCTATCCGATATAAGATATCGCTTACAGTTGTTATAATCGCTAGACCCCGATTCGAAACTAGTAATATATTATAAACGAACCTTTAGCTAAGTTCTATCTTCTCTATCTACCTAACGCGTAGCTTAACAAAGAGATATATATAATAATAAAGGACTAGAAAGCTAGTCCTACTACCGCGAAGCGCAATTTTATACCTAGCGATACTTACTTAGACTATAGTCTAGCGGTATTCTAGATAACTACTATCTAAATATAATATACTATCGTCGAAATAAAGACAATCTTTATTATCTAATTACCTCAGAAGATTTAGTATATTTACTAAAGGTATAACTAGACAAAAACATTAATAGATATATACCCCTTAGAGGTTATAGGGCTTATAGTATACTATTCAAACTTATATATATTATATATAGCTACACTGTTATCGGAAAAGGAACCATATCGGGATTGTAGAAAGATATCTCTTACGAAGTGTAAGTATACCAAATTTTACGTAAGGCTTAAGGGTCTGCTATGCCTATATTTCTAGGGACGATCGACCTAGTAAAAATTTATTTCCTTCATAGGGCTGGAGAGATTCGCTATATACTCGTAATAGGCTGGGGAGGCGAAAGTATAATATCAATAGAACTCACGCCTACCCTTCTCCAGGAGATATATAAGTCGAACAGAGAGATCAAAGCTTTAGGAATCATCCACGAAGACCTTCGGCGTGATAATATTCTGTGGAACGAAGAGCTTAGGCGGGCGTTGATCATCGACTTTCACCGCTCTACGTTGAAAAGTCGACCGACTTTGCAGCGACCACGAGCCGTAAAACGACGACTATGTCAACCAGAGATAGGAGATCCAAAACGTCTTCGTGTGACGTGAGCCAGTGTGCTTATTTTATTGGATTAGCAATACAACTATGCATGATAATGAAGCATGAAGCATTTCCGGCCGTATCCGCATGAATCAGTCAGAATTCTATCTATTATAATTCTTGATGCCCGCTTCTCCAACGCACCTACATGGCCTCTGGTGATATACGATTCTATATGCGTTGACAACCACGAATTGATCATCCAATTCTGGCTCTCGAACTTGACTTTTGTGTGATGCCATGAACCACATAAAAACCTTGATTCAACTATGAAGCTTCAGAACCGATATTATGGACTGTCGTGTACTAAGCGAAAATATTGCGATAAGCGCCCAACCGCTCGACAACCTCGAAAAACGAGATTATCAACATGACTTTCCCAGGTATGCTATTAGACATACATTCCATCAGCAGGCCTCTCTCTGCCAAACTCCTTTGAAAATTTCTTATTTGATTCGGCGGCTAACTTCAAGTATTTGTAGTTCACCCGGTTGACGTCAGCCTCAGCGAGAGCGTGTGCAATTGCTGCGACGTTTTTGATCTGGTTCATGATTGGTCAGCAAGTGAGATGTTCAGTGCCACTCGGACACCTACCTCTCGTCCGTTCAGAGCTAAAGACTCCAATCGTCGAAGTTCGTGCTCCTCAACAATGGCAGGTCCTTGCATCGTACATGCCTTGGACAGAAAAGTTGACCAGAGATCTCTGCGAAACTCTCTCGTTAAATTCTCATACTCAATGATCAAATGAATCCGGCTGAGAATTGCGTCATCAAACTGGATACCCCGATTGGAAGTCAAGAAAAGAATTCCTTGATAATATTCCAGCTTTCGGAGGAAAATGGTCACAAGGCGATTATGGGTATCGTGGTAAGATGTACGCTGCTCCATGAACGCGTCTGCCTCATCCAAGAGAAGCACGGCATTAAAGTGTTTGGCGATCTTGAATACTGTTTCAAGTTGTTGCTCAAGCGCATTGGAATCTCCGTGGTTGACAACAAGTTCGCCTGCAGATATCTGGAAAAATCAGTGACGCCAAAATCAGCCGAGCTGGATGGTTCATACCGAATAGAGGGGGAGCTTGAAATACTCCGAGGTTGCCTCAACCGTGAAAGTCTTTCCGACCCCCGGTGGGCCACTAGCACAAGTTAGGTTGGGAAGTCTTGATAGCATAGACGCTTTGCCGACATACTTCAGAAGAATGTTGAATCCTTGGCCCTTTCTATCAATTACGTCGTCGAATGGTACCGTCGGTATCATCCCCAGGCGGGTTTTCGCCAATGACAAGAGGATGGTCTTGGTCTCTGAAGAGATCTTTAGGCAGTCGAACGACTCCGGTGACTAATCCACGTCCCTAAGAGCACTAACTGCGCACTCCACTGGAATCACATTAGCCGGACACCAAACCATTGTCAGTCGTCTCACATACAGAACATTTTTTCCTTGAAGCTGAAACAGCAAACTGTTGGGCAGGAGACCAGTAAATCCGCCTCGCTCAGCTTTTGTGCATCCACACCGTCTCCTCGCATTTTCTCCTTCTCTCGCTTACGGTCCTCCATGAGCATTGCACCAATGTCAATGACTGCAATGCTATTCTTGTCTTTTACCCCTATGTCGCGGAGTGACGGTCGGGAGTAGTTTGGCTGCATTTCATGGAAAAATGCGGCGTCCACTGCCACTCGGCTGTTGATGTTGATTTTGAAAATCTTCCCCTTGTTCATAAAGAATGCACTGCCTTTACAGTGCTGAATGTGTGAGCCTGCCAACCCCAGAAACTTTTGGCCTCTCTCGACCAAGTGTTTCTGGATTTGCTCGTGACTCGGATGGTGGCGGAGAGGGTAAGCCGCAAGAGTCGCGATCGGCTTTGACCCCCGGAACTTTGGCACACGCAGAAAGATTCCGGTCTCACCGAACTTGACTCCGTCATAATCAAGGAATCGGCATTCGAGATTAAACCACGTCTCGTCATTTTGTGTTATCTCTTCACCTGCGTCGAATGTGACACATCGCGGCTCTTTTGTGCCAATGCATGTGGTATAAACATGGCAACCAGGCTTGAAAAGCGCCCAAAGAAGGTCATATGTAATATGGCCGTGTTGCAACATTGACTCGAGACGCTGTAAAGTAGAAGTATATTTGTGCTTGAGGTGCTCGATGAGTAAGAGGAGATGCTTCGCATGTGCCGACTCATGGTCCGAACTGCTATCCATGTTCTCTGCACATCTGTCGAGCTCTGGGAGGAAATGGAAAAGGACGTTTTGCTCGATCTAAATCCACGTCAGTGTGCTCCTTGATGATAATACTGTCTCAATTACCGATGGCTTGTCCTCCATCAGGCTAACGGCCTTGATGTCGTGCAACACGTCTCGCAGGATGTCGCGTAGGCCTTCCGACTTGATGTCTATGAATGACACTACCTCCTTGGACGTCCTGTCTGATCATACTATTAGTAGGTATTCGGTCCGGCAAGCAAAGGTGTCACATACCAACACGTTCACGGACAACGAATGCGTACTCAGCGTAGTCGTCCAGGTCATTGCTAGTCTCCGTTGGCTCGGCAATTCTGTATTTACATGCTTCTTTGTCCCAGCTAGACCCGTGTCAGCTATCTGAAAAAGTGGAAGGGGTGGTTGGCTGGTGGCTCATACACTTCCACAACTGTTTTGAATTGGGATTTTGATGCCCATTTCTCAAACGACTTGAAATCATCCGGTGTAGTACAGATCTGGCTTTCGATATCAATCTCGTCTATCGCCTGAACATTCTCTTGCTGTTCATTGCTGGCAGAAGAAGATCGAACAGGCTTAGTTGCCAGGGAGGGTTCAGCTGACCCACATTCATCGTGGGTGAGCTTGACCATCAACTGCTTCAGTCGAACCATGTCGAGGCCTGGTGGGGATTGGTCCTGGGAGACGGGAGTGTTTGGAGGTTCTTGGTCGGCAAGATCGAGCAGCGCGTTCTCAAGAAACTCACCAAAGAGAAGCATCAGATCCTTCAAGGTGGCAGGAGACATTGTCGACTCCTTCGTTGGGCTATCTGGTGGCGTCAAGCCTTGGTGACTATCAGGGGAAGTTTTTTTCAATGCCATATTGTGCGGTTAATGACTGAGACTAGAATTGGTTGTCGAAAAGGTTGTAAAATCGATTACAAAGGTTGATGTGAATATCAATGAAAGATTCATGGAACGGATGAAGTTGCTTTCTTTTATATCTCCGTCGCCCCCCTCTCAATCCTTGATCTGTTGATCCTGTGCAGAGGTACATGCTGCGAGTGTATGAAATTATATGCATGAGGGGTCTCACAAATGAGAATGATTGGCTTGGAAATTCTGCAAATAATAAATGGTAGATTGAGTGGAAGATTGAGTGGAAGATTGGGTGGAAGATTGAGTGGAAGATTGAGTGGAAGATTGAGTGGAAGATTGAGTGGAAGATTGAGTGGAAGTTTGAGTGGAAGATTGAGTGGCTTTGAAGGCTAGGCTAAGCGGAGCAAATTGTCAAGCTGAAAGAAAGCAGCCAAGAAACACATGAGGAGCGGACCGATAGTACGACAGACCTATAATTTGGCCTTGATTCACAGCGCTCACTGATTAGTTAGTGATGAATCTAGTTGATTAACTAATTAGAATCAATGTCAACTCTCAGCATCGATGGGCCGGGATGATCGATAAGGCCACGGGAGAATGTAATCCCGCTGCCCCTCCTTCCCCTGTCGCGCATGATTTATCGTCGGGCAGCAACTGCTCGGATATATTATTTACTCTTGACTATTGTCAGCTTTCATTTTCCCAGAGTGTGGGTGAAAATTCTGAAATCAAAAGTCATTTGAATGTTTTCTTGTCTAACCAGGCGCCTTGTCCCTTCCAGAACAAACCGAAACGACCGTCTCGAATAGTCAGCCGACTCCTCTGGCGTTGCTAACCCAGCAGCTCCGAAAGCTCACTCTGCGAAGAAGGCTTCTTGTTCTCAGCGGTACTTCATCTACCCAAACCACATATCGGTCAGCAGAGCAAACCACGATTCTCTCCTCTTGGTCTGGGTCGCTTCAGACCACAAAATACGCATTTCTTGATTATGTGCTCGGTCGCTTGATAATTTGAAATGTCAACCAATGTGTGTTGCTTCTATTGAACTGAATACTGGCACGTCTAATACGGGAGACCTTTAGGTCGGAGATGCAGCTCTCAGAGGCGAAGAGGAATATATTCGAGGGCATATATTCGATGGAGTGGATTATGAGAGGCACATTATTGGCAAGGGCACCCTTATCATGATCATTCCTCCCTCGGCCAGTGAGGAGGAGCCAAAAACACACAGGAATGTGGAAACAGAGATCAAAATTCCAGTTCCACCGAGGCACGAGGTCAAGGTACTAGATGCCCTAGTAATGATGACCACGTAGGTTTCAGTTTCAGCTTTTCGAGAAACTGCATACCAGCCCTCTGTCCAACTAACAGAGTGATGGATATATCTGCATTTGTATCCTCGGGTATGATCGTCGTGAAACAATCAGTTGTCTCTTCTCCTGCCGCTCTTTCCATCTTCCATTGCTGGCTGGTTTCGATCGCCTTGTACATCAGCTCTCCGAGTTGCGGAACGAGGTCCACTGATGCTTCCGAATACGTGAACGCCGGTTCTAGAATGTATTTAGCTTTTTGAATTGATTGTCTGAGTTTTTTTTGCTCACGTCTTCCATTGATCAATCCAGTTGGTCGAGGCCTCGACAACATGGCTGCTTGTTCGTACGTGTCAAACAATGTGTTGTCACTTGGTGCTTTTTCTGTTGGGATTTCTAGCTGCTGAAACCCCTCTGAGCCCGGATCTACGGCAATTAGCTTGATTTTCTGGCTTTGAACCAACACTCACGCTGTGTAGTATCTGGCAAATTACATTCAACAACAGCAAGCTCTCGTATAACAGTCCCAGAAAGCCGCGTATCAGTCTTTAAAATGCCCCCAAGTCGATCACGGTTTTGCTGGTTCATATTAGCGACAATGACTTGCCCCAATGCAACTGCACATAAGAGGACCGCATGAGCGCCGCAATCTTTCTGCAGGCTGCGTAAAAACAACTGATATTTTTGGCGCTTCCAGCTGTTGGTTTCTGTTTGTAAGATTGTGAGAGCAGCCCCAAGGCTTTTTTTCTCGCTCTTGGTAAGATACTCTCGTAGAGATAGACTCTCGGCTTTGTCAACGAGCCGTTTCAAAGCGTCCGTCGCACTGTACGGCTTTTGCGGTCTGACATATCGTTTTCCCCCCATGTTGAGAAAGCAGAAGAAACTGTGGAAGAGGGGTGGAAGAGGGGTGGAAGAGTGATGGAAGAGTGATGGAAGAGTGATGGAAGAGTGATGGAAGAATAGGTGGAAAAGTGAGTAGAACAAACTGCGGTTACAGCGCATTTGACCGCGTGTCAAGGATCATCAATCACACGAGCTTTTTCTATTGGCTATTTTGTAGAGTGTGCACGGCTCGCTTCCCTTTATCATATAATTGGTCATGAGGAGACAGCTACGGCATCTCGTCGCTTTAGGAGGACAGGACACTGCAGTATTTGCTGCAGTGATGACTGGGTTATCACTCACATAAGTGGGGCAGTCGTCCAAGATTTGCTTGAACAGAAAGACCGTGCAGCCGCACATAACCTCGGTCCACCAATCCCACGAGCACTGGGCGCGTAGAGCCGCAACCAGACCTGCTCCATGTTGCCCACAGTGGGCCAGGCGCTAAGAGAACACTTGCCATGCGCCGTTATGGGTGTAATATGGTTCACGGAATTGTTGGACAAAGTTGCCAACATGCAAACTGTCTTGCTTGGTCACTGAGAAACGCAAATGTTTGACCGTGACGTTTTCTGAGCGCTCAAGCCCCCCGGGAAGTCTACAAATACGTCCAAATTTCCCAATAATCTCCTTTCATCCCCATTGAGCTTCGAAATCCACGACAATTACATTCTTCTGGTACCGTATACATCCAACGACGTGGATTTATCGCACACCCGAGTTACATCTTATCTTTGAGTGAGTATCAATGATCATCACTAGACAAAAACCGCTTTAGCTGATATGGATGAAACTTACAGGCATCATGTGTCAGAAACTTATTGACACAATCGAGCATCTATGCAGACATCGAGTTGATTCTCCCGGGAGGATCAGGGAACTTAATGGCTGCAACAATTGCGGCATCATCCAGAAAACAGAGTACCTTGGCAAGACAACCAAAAGGGACCCATGCGATGACTGTATCGACAACGGTACTTATGTGAAGAGCAATGGGGTTTGGAAGAGGGCCTAGTGGGTTTCTGGAATTTGCAATCCTGGTAAAGATTAGTCTCACACAACTTCATAAATCTTATCTACATTTCCTAGCCCTTGCTGTCGAATTATCTTCTCGTGGAGTCTGAATCCTTAGGGAAACATATATATCACAATCACGATGATATAAAACCTCTCCAAATTCCCTAAAGAGGTTATAAATCACACAAAAATAATCAAACTATTAAAAAAGTTCCAATTAGACAGCCGTTGTTGAGATACCAAGTTGTAATTCATCGCATTTACTTTATGGTGTCTTCGGGGTGGACCACTCGGCAGTTGAATACGTTAACAACTAACCTAGCCAATTGAACCAATCAGAATTGATTATGTCACTGCGCCTCGCTGGTTAGCCAACTAGTTACTTTCTTGCTCCTATCCCTTCTCTCCTCCAAATATCCTCCAAATACTGCTGCTCCATCTCACGTCAACCTTTCAACCATGGATATCCAACGTCAGTTTCCAAGTGTTCATTGGATCTGGGGCGGAGGCATCTCTTTTGTTTATGAGGTCCACCCTCGCATCGTGGTCAAAGTCCCAAAGCCTGGGGAATTCGAGAGGGAACAATTTCAAAAAGAGCTCGAGATATATCAAGTATTCTCGCAAAATCCGCCTTGTCCCTCTATTGTGCAGTGTTTTCTCTTTTCTAGCAGTGGCATCTTCCTCGAATACATGAGAGGTGCGACCCCTATTGGCAGTTAAAAGGTTGTCTACTAATTTACTTCCTAGACATATCACTTTCTTCTAGGATACAAAAAAATCATACTCGGGACCAGCAAACTATGGTGGTTACTACAGTGGAAAAGTTGGAACCTCTACACCTACGAAAACAATGGATGAACGATCTTGCTCAAGCCGTCGCTTTCTTGGAATCCGTCAACCTCGCTCATGGTGATTTACGACCTGAGAATGTTCTACTTGATCGCAACCGATTAAAGCTATCCGATTTTGATTGTACGGCGAAAATTGGCACAAATTACGAAGCTTGCATGGCTCCGTATGGCCGAATACTCAATAATAACGAGTCAGACCAAGGGGAATGTGGAACTCCTGGCTTTCTTGGCCCTCGAACAGAACAGTTTGCCCTCGGTTCCTTGTACTATTTGATGAACTACGGCTTTGAAGTTTATGGAGATCGCTGTCTTGCCGAGGATCCTTACGAACATGGTCCTAAGGTCGTGGACTTACTACAGAACATGGAGTTTCCGAAATTGGATGGCAATCCCCTGATTGACAATATCATCGACAAATGTTGGCATAATAAATATGTCACCGTTTCAGATCTAGCCGCGCACACGAAAACACTTTTGAACGAAAGAACCGACGTGAAAGAAAGTAACGAAAACCGAAAGAAGGAAAGTAGCGAAGTGACCACCCTCGTCATACCAATTTTCAACGAACGATGGCGTATGATCATGGGTCGCATAATTCATGGGATATGTTATCGCCTTGGGGTGTGGTGGAGGTCGTTATTACAGAGTGTCCACGGCGACGCAACTATCATCGGGCGAGCCAGTGGCGACAATCGTGATTATGTGGATCAAAACTGCATGGAAGATGAATTTCTTGCGAGAAAGGAATTTTGTCAGGACCTGGAGAAACGTGGACTTCTTCACGCGCTTTCTTCTGGCGAGCCTGAGCAAATTGGATTCACTTTTGATTGGTATAGGCACAGCCTCTAGGGTTGAATAACCATACAAACTTCATAGGAATCTTGAGGTTTGCAGCGATGTCTTCCAACGTTTGCAGGTCGGTCCATGACCAAGAAATGTCACGCATCGCTAAGTTCAAGGCATCCAGATCTCTAGCGATTTCCATCTTCGTCATTCAATAGGGGAGCTTATCGCAACCCTGCTATATACATAATTCAAGACCCGTGATTTCCAGTCCTACGAGACCTAGAGGGTAGACCGCATGTCTCTTGTGGAGTCACGGCCACAGCTGCAGGATATGTAGCCCTTGCATTCCGACCTTGCCTGGGACTTCCAGTTCCTCGGTCCTTGAGCCTCGTACTATAGCGAACCTGGAGAGAACCCTTCGTCCTCCCAGGGAAATGTTTCACGATCCGACTCCACGGGAGACCTCGTTCTTCCTTCAGTTCAATCAACCGGTCGTCCTCATCGGGCAGGAAACGAGACGCACGCGCTGGTTGCTTTTTGCTGCTGGACTGCGTGGCGTGCCTCGTATTGTCTAAGTTTTTGTCGTAAGCGGGAACTTTGGTTGGCCCATGCGGACAAGAAGGTTGCCTATCTTCCTGAAAGGTGCACGAGTAGATAACTCTTGATAGAAACGTTTGCCGAGTGAGAAAGCCTCTGACGGGAATGGTTTGTATGTCCTGCAAACTTGTGGCAGGACGTGGATTTGCAATTTCCTGTTCCGGGGCCGGCGAGGAGAACACGCGATGCGGGCTTTCACGTCGAGCCTGAGCGGGCTGGATCTTCGTTGTAGTAGGTCGTCTCTGCCTTTTTGTTAGACGTGGCAACCTGGTGATGTCACCAACACCAGAATCGTTCCCGTCCGTATAGTCACTGTCGTCAGGATCATCGCTTTCAACAGTGCAAGCGGAATTTGCTCGATTTTGCCTTTTCCCTGTATAGCGTGTGGAGCGGGATCTAGTGGACCTTGTTATTGGGAGTCCACGGGACCGGGTTACAGGCACAACAACCGATACAGAGCACGACCTAGATAAATCTCTTGGTGGATCCTTTCCCTCTGATCTGGAAACTGCCTGCTTTTTTTGTTGCAGCATAGGCGAGATAGTGCTTGATAACGCTTCATCGTCAGGACAACAATTTGTTGAATGGATGTCGTTGCCGTCGCTCCGCACTTCCAGGTGGCTGTCGCGAGTTGCTGAAAGGTCCCTCGCGTCCAACTGGATGGAATGTGCCTCCGTGACCGGTAGAGGGCTTGATATTCTGTACTCTGCACCAGTTTCAGGACTCCACCTAAAAAGCCGCTGATTCGCAGGCTCTGGTTCATCTTCGGCTGGAACAGGTGTGCTGGGATTAGGCGATGGGGCCTGATCAGTTGAAACATTACCGGCCGCCACGATGTTGACGTCTGTCTCGCAGCCAAAAGCGGAAAGCTGGGTTTCATTGCGCTCAGTGGGTGTAGGATCTGTAGCCGTATGATAAGAAGCAATCTAGGAAAACACTATCACCAGACACCACTAACCTTGAAGGGGACACGGCTCGTTCGGTGAAACGGAGCCATCAGCTTCCATAGGACAAGTGGGTGCACTGGCTGCTGATGAAAGGTCTGTCCCGGGAGAGTCTGATGAGGCGGCGGTATCTTGCGGCGTAGTAGGGCCCTCTGAGAGGATCCTTGAATCGTTCGTAAAACGATCGTCGCTGTGGGAGGCTCCTTTTAAAATAAGAAGTCAGCACATTTCACTTATCTTCAACTTAACAATTAATGGCACCCAATGGGGGCCTGAGAAGCTAGAGGAGCCAGCAGGTGGGCAGATCACTTACCACCGTGTTGATCATGCAGTTCCTTTCTTTGGATGTCGTTGATGTCCTCTGCTTGAGTCTCTTCGGTGCCTCCAAAGCATAATTCGGGAGTCTCCTGGCTCCCAAATTCGGCCATTTCCAAGTTGGCTAATTCTTTATCAAAATCGTTCAGATGGGCGTCGCGATCACGACGCACAGATGACACAGCAGGAGAAGGACTCTGTCGACGAGGGTGACAAGTTTGCGGGGACTCGTGAGAAAGGCACGGGGGTCGCGGAGGTAGAGGATGCATCAGGACGGGCTGATTGGAAGGAGGGTGGGAAGAACCACGAGAAGAAGTAGTCAGATGTGGCGGTTTGCAAGGGGGCTTGGACATGGGGGCAGGGTGGTAATGGATGATGTTGTCCAGATCGATAGAGACCATGATTTGCACGAGAGACGGAGAGAATGAAGCGGTTGGAGCAAATAGAAGGGGGGTGGGGTGCACTGTGATCTGAAAATTTGGTTCTTTCGCTCTCACGGAGATTCTAAAGTATCTTGTATACTGAGATAAATAGAAGAGAGCTGGAAACACAAATTTAGCGTCCCTCTGCGTAGGAGGGAATCCAAGGACTCTTTATACGCGCCTCCCGGGTCACCCTCTCCCTTCTTTCAACTTCCACTTCCCATCCGGGGCGGTTGGGAAATTGGCCCAAGTGCTGCCCGTCCCCGGAGAGATGTGATACACCAACATTCAGAGCAAGAATGACCAAGGGGTCAGATGGCACGGCGCTACAACATGCGGCATTTTTCTAATTGGATAATATATAGCATCGTATCATCAGGTTTGACCCGGCCTGTCCGTCCATGTATCGATCAGCCTTGCTGCGCCTTGTTGAAAGTGGGCCAGAGTCAAACGATCGCCCTTGTAGAATAGCAGGGCGCGGCCGAAGGCGTCCATTCAAGTGAGCGGCCAATACCATCACGGTGTTTTAGGTTCCATTGCGGAGTTCTCCGAGGCTGCTGTACGAGGCAAAAGGCTCCGCAAACAAGTGAGACACCTGGTCATTCTGCGCCACGGCGTCAAGACGAGGAATCGGCGACAGAACACCAGCCAATGGCACACGAGTACGCCGATTAGACAGCGCACGAAAGAGCGAGAGTCGGATAACGTCGTATCGTAGGCGCATTTGTGCGCAAAGACGAGAGTCAATCCAGTCTTCTGGCCAACAGTTGGGCACTGTTGATGTCCATGATAGAGACGGAGACATACAGGCGAGGTGGTGGGAGCCGGCCAGCACGCACGTATCCAGAGGGCAAATCCTCTCTAGCAAAGTTTGCGGACCGGCAACTGTAGCTGAAACCCCCCCCCCCCAGGGCGATGGACCAGTAGACAGCGCCGCTGGCGCTCCAGCTTCAGCGGGTGGAGAAGGGGCACTGCTCCGTGTGTGAGGCAACCAGCTGAAACAGGGGGTCCAGTGCCGTGTGATCCGGAAATACGGTATCATTTCACGGCGGCGAGGTCGCTGGGCCCGGCCGGGCGAGAGGGAAGGGTAGCAGACGAGAGCGAGGACGTCGAGCGACGCACCGAGTTATATACTCGCGTCGGTGGGGCAGGTCGGCGGTGGAGGGAGGCCGACCCCGATTCGGGGAAGGCGTGGGCCGCTAAACCTTCCTTGGACGTGCTAAGCCTAAAAAAGATGAGATGGATCTCGATGCCATTTTGGGGCTAGTGCCGCGCCAAACCGCTTCTGGACAGACTAAACCCGAACGGGGCACCTGGGGGCCAACGCCAAACCCGATCCAGGGGGGCGCCGAATCCGGCCGCGCCGGCACAAATGCTTTTTGTACCCCTATCCCTACTAATTAGGGAGGAAGAAAATACCTCCTATACCCTATTACCTTTCCTTTCTTCCTCTTCTTTATTATTATTAATTAGATTATACTTACTATCCTCTAGAAAGTTAGTACTTTCCTCCTTCTTAACCTTAGCCTCTATTAGACTAAGTAATTACTATAATTCCTTTATCTTAGTATCCTTAATACTAAACTTAGTTATATAGTAGTATAGTATAAGTTCTTTAATTATCTTAGATTTTAGGTAACTATAGTAATAATAGTAAATATCTTATATAATATTAAAGAATTACTTAATATTAACTTTAGTTACTAATATTAAAAGGATATTATAGGTAAGTTATATAATTATAGGAAAATAAGTTTTATTCTCTTATTAGAACTATAGAGGCTTAATATTAATAAGGTCTAAAGATAGAAAGTAGTTAATATAGTATAGTAAAATAGTAGGGAAGACTAAGGTATAGTATATTACTATTAAGGTATTAGGTTACTTTATTAATAGTTAGTCTTATAGACTTCTACTTACTCTTTAGTAGTCTATATAGCCTAAAGCTAGTTAGTATTATAGTTAGTATATTAGCTAACCCTTAGCCTAAAGTAAGGTATTCTTAATAAGGTACTAATATATCTAAGAAGGATTTCTAATATTTATTATATTACTTAAGCTTTTAGTAGCTATTTAATTAAAAGAATTAAAGTTAACTATTAGAGACTAGTATTATTCTAATAGTAAAGAGATCTCCTTTATAATTAGTTATTTATATATAGTACTTACTTAGCTTTTTATAATTAGTAATAAGTATATTTAGTATTTCTAACTTCTATAAAGTATACTTCTATTTTAGTAGTATCTCTACTTAGTTAAAGTAATTAAAGAGGGTATTATAAATCTTAAAGGTAAGGTAGATAGTTACTTCCTTTATCTTTAAGAGTTCTATTATATAGTTATAGAAAGGCTAGGTAATTTATAGAAGGTAGTTAATTTAATACTATTTTAAATTACTAGAAAGTATCTCCTTATAATTATAATTAGTATAGAAAGATATAAAGAATAGGTATATTCTCTTTACCTAATAAAGTATTAAAAAGGTTAAGTTCTACTAGGTTACTATATCTTAGATTAGAATAATATATAGTCCCTTCCCTTCTTATAATTAAAGGAAGGTAGCCTAGTACTTTAGGCTAATATAGATATAGAAGGTAAGATTATAGATCTTTTTTAGTATCTTTAAGATTACTTATTTCTAATAATTACTATTTTCTTTTATATTCTTTAAATTCTTATTAGTTTAAACTAACTTAATAATATTATTTTTTAGTATAGCCTATAAGTAACCTAGGAGTTAGTTAAGAGAGAGCTAGATAATATAGGTAAGATAGGGTATTTAAAATACCTATATACTACTTAGGAGCCCTATCTAGGTAGCCTTAACTAGTATTATATTATTAGAAATATTATTAGTTATAATTTTAAATACCTAGTCTATAATCTTATATTTAGCTAGGGTTTTAAGAAAGATAATACTAAGATACTTTCTAGTATATATCTAGTAAAATAGCTTAAACCTAAGTAGAACCTTATAATATATCTAGCTACTATTAATAAAGTAGCCGGTAATTACTATAAATCCCTAATTATATAAGGATATCTAATAGTTTAATATAATTAAGATTTTTATATCCTTAAGTAGTATCCTAAGTACTAAGCTTATACTCTCTTAAATATAATTATATAGGTACTAGTATATTATTATAGTAAAAGGTATTTAGGGAAGGGATAGCGCTATATAAGCTATTTAGAAAAGATACTAAAAGAACTTACTCTTAATAAAGGAGAAGGGTAGTTAACCTATAGTAATAAATTAAAGTAGGGCCTTATCCTAGGTAGCCTCTAAATATTAGGCCTTAAGGGATATATAGTCCTATCGACCTAGATATATTAGTAATAGCTAAGGATTAGGTAGTTAAAAATATATTTCTTTTAGAAAAAATTAGCTAATTTCTCTTCTTATTCTTATTATATTTTAGGCCCTAAGGTAGGTCTATATCTTTAGGTACCTTAATATAGTTAATAAGCTATTATAGCCCTTTCTATTACTTAGAAAGTTTAGGTATTCTAAAATACTATAGTAGAACTTATACTAAACCTTTAGTATCCTATCTCTATTATAGGTAACCTAGTAGAAGTCTTACTATATAGGAGAGCTATAATTTATATCCTAATAGATACTACCTTTTTATCTATAGTCTATTTATAGCTACTATTTAACCTATATCTTATTTATTATTTTATTATATAGGATATAGTCTTTTCTCTAATTAAGGCTAATATAGGTAAAGTAGGATAAAGAGTCTCTAGGGATTATAGGGTAACTAGGCTTAGTATTAAAGGGCCTAGCTTATTTACTAAGTAGTAGGCTAAAGGAAGATAGGGTATAAGAGGACTCTACTTAAGAGATCTAGGGAGAGAAAGGGATATAGTCTATACTATAGGTTATATCTATATCCCTATTAGATTAGATACTTTAAAATATAGTACCTAGTATAATAGTAGAAAGTAAGGGGGTAATATAAGGAAACGGAGTAGTAAGAGGGGTAATATAGAGTATATATAAATAGAGAGAATAGGTATATATAATAAAAGACTAATTCTATTATAATTAGATAAAGAAGATTAAAGATTAACTAGTTACCCTATTAGCTAGTTACTTAGCCTAATTTAAATAAAGATATATAGGCTATATAATATAGGCTAAGAATCCTAAAAAGGCTAAGAGACCTATAATCTAAGAAAAAAACTTATTTATATAGGTCTTACTAGCTAGGGGCCTAATAGAAATTATAAGAATATATATACTACTTTTTAGACTAAGAGTTTTTTACTTAAAAAACTAGTAACTAGTTTTTTAGGTAAAAAACTTTAAATAGTAGTAGTAAAGTAGAAGTATAAAAGTAAACTACTTTTTAGGCTAAGAGTTTTTTACCTAAAAAACTAGTAATTAGTTTTTTAGATAAAAAACTTTAAGTAGTAGTAGTAAAGTAGAAGTATAAAAGTAAACTACTTCTTAGACTAAGAGTTTTTTTATCTAAATAACTAATTATTAGTTTTTTAGGTAAAAAAACTAGGAGTAGTAGCGGTAAGGTAGAAGTATTATTATAAAAGAAATTATTATAGTTACATTTATCTATAAAAAAAAGATATATCTAGTATCTATTAAAATTTACTAATATAGCCTTAATTATTAACTTCCTTAAATTCTCTATTAGCCTTACTACCCTCCCTCTCCCCCTTACCTATCTTAATATTAATACTAATATTATTATTAGGCTAATTATTACTACTATTACTATTACTACTATTAGTATTACTACTATTAGTATTACTACTATTAGTATTACTACTATTAGTATTACTACTATTAGTATTACTACTATTAGTATTATTACTATTAGTATTACTACTATTAGTAGTATTACTACTATTAATATTACTACTATTAGTATTACTACTACTAATATTACTACTATTAAGAAGGTACCTCTTATATCTCTAAAAGAATAAGTCCTTCCTATAAATATCCTTTTTAGTCTTAATAGTTAACTTAAATAGGTAAGTATACTCTAGCTATACCTCTTACCTCTAATTCTAAATATATATTACTATAGCGGCCTTATTAGGCCTAAAGAGTATATTAAGGTCCTTTATAATAGTTAGTATTATCTACTTAGACTACCTTATTAGATATTCTAAAATAGTAGAGGTAGTATAGAAGTAGGTAGTAGTAAGAAAGGTATATAGAATATATATATATTACTAACTTATTAGTCTAGAGAGTATCCTAGTAGTATTAAGGAGGTCTCTATATATAGCTAATACCTCCTTTTAGGACCTAGACTTAGGTATATTAAATATTAAGTAGTTATCCCTAATACCTATAAACTATAATAAGATAGTCCTTCTCTATCTAATTACTAGTCCTATTAAGTTATAAGGAAGGGTAGGAAGGGATAGGTAGATATTACCTACCTTATAGACTTACTTTTTCTAATTTATTTAGTACTAAGCTATATCCTCTAGTTACTATATCTTTAGGGTAATCCTATAGATAAAGCTATTAAGGACTTTAAATAGCTTTTAGCTAAATAGGTTTTCTAGATCCTTTATATAGATTTATAGATTATTCTATTAAGAAGTAATATAGTATTATATTTCTAATAGAATAATAGTATAATTACTATTATCTTTATTATTAAAGGAGACTAATTCCTATAGGATATTACTATCCCTATTAATAGTAATAAACTCCCTAATATTAATATTAATATATTAGAATAATATTCTCTTATTAGGTAGTATACTCTTTATATAGTATAGAAATATAATTAATTTCTATTAGTAATCTAGCTAAAA